ACGTGTGCTAGCGATTTCATTGATAAGTTCGTTGTAGTATACTTGGGCGACATCGTTATCTATAGTAACACAATGAAGGAGCATGTGGAGCATCTTAGAGCCGTTTTCAAGTCCTTAGGGAAAACCACTCTATGTTAAAAGGAGAAGTGTTCCTTCGGCCTTGAGGAGGTGTCGTTCTTGGGGCACATCATTGGTAGGGGCAAAATCCGCATGGATCCGGCCAAAATCAAAGCTATCGTGGAGTGGGAGGCACCACGAAGCCAACGGAGCCGAGATCGTTCTTGGGGCTTGTTAATTACTATAGGCGGTTTATTGAAGGGCACTCCGCTATAGCCGCTCCACTAACGGATCTCTTGAAAAAGGGGCAAGCTTGGTGTTGGACACCAAAACACCAAACAGCGTTCGAGGCTTTAAAGGACGCCGTCACTCGAGAGCCAGTCCTAGCTCTCCCTGATTTTGAGAAACCGTTCGAGGTGTGCACGGACGCTTCGGACTTCGCCATTGGGGGCGTTCTCATGCAAGATGGTCATCCGATCGCTTTGAAAGTCGCAAGCTGAATGAGACCGAGAAAAGGTGGCCGACGCACGAAAGGAGATGTTGGCTATAGTTCACTGCCTTAGAGTTTGGGAGCATTACTTGAAGGCCGCCACACCGTTCAAGATCAAGACGGATAATCGGGCAGTGAGCTACCATCAAAGCCAACCTAAGCTTTCAAGCAAGCAAGCGCGTTGGTTGGACTTCTTGGCCGAGTTTAAATACGAGCTTGAGTATAGCCGGGAAGACTAACCACGTGGCCGACGCGTTAAGCCGAAAGGCGTGTCTTGCGCCAATCGTTAGCATACCCGAAGGGATGTTGGTTGATCGCATCAAGAAGGGTCTTGAGCACGACCGTCAAGCCCAAAGGTTCATGGAGCTCGTGAAGGAAGGCAAGACAACACGGTTCTGGCTTGAGGATGGGATACTTTATGCCAAGGGGAACCGTTTGTACGTGCCCGCATGGGATGGACTTAGAAGGGAGATTCTAAGGGATTGCCATGATAGCCGTTATGCGGGTCACCCAGGTACGCATCGCACACTTGCCTTAGTCCATGAACGGTTCTATTGGCCTCGCATGCGGGAAGACGTGGAGACGTATGTAAGGACTTGTCTAGTTTGCCAACAAGACAAGACCGAGCAAGACCTCCCGCATGGCTTGTTATCACCCTTGCCTATTCCGGAACGCCCGTGGGACAGCGTTTCGATGGATTTCATCGTAAGCCTGCCCGTTTCCGAGGGTTGCACCAACATACTTGTTGTGGTAGACCGTTTGTCTAAGTATGCGGTCTTCATTCCCGCCCCAAAAGAGTGCACCGCGAGATAACGGCCAAACTCTTTCTTAGGCATGTGGTGAAGTATTGGGGCTGCCTACATCGATCATAAGCGACAGGGACTCGAGGTTCACCGGCCGTTTTGGCAAGAACTCTTTCGTTTGCTTGGGACGGAGCTCAAGATGTCTACATCTTTGCACCCGCAAACAGATGGGCGACGGAGCGCATCAACGGCCTCTTGGAAGTGTATCTCGTGCACTATGTGGCGGCCAACCGAAAGATTGGGTACATTTGCTAGACGTTGCCCAATTTTCCTATAACTTGATGCGGAGTGAGAGCACGGGCAAAAGTCCGTTTGAGATTGTCCTTGGTTTCCAACCAACTACGCCTAAGGACATTCTTGGGGGCTATAAGGGCAATAGCCCACCCGCATACAAGTTTGCCAAAGATTGGCAAGAACGGGCCGACGAGGCAAAACTCTACTGGAGAAGTCGGCCGCACGCATGAAGAAATGGGCGGATAAGAAACGGACCGTCGCGAGTTTGAAGAAGGCGACCAAGTCTTGGTGAAGCTCTATGAGCATGGACGGAGCCGTGGTCTACACAAGGGTCTCATGCGCAGATACGAGGGTCCTTTCACCGTTCTTAAGAAAGTGGGTTCGGTTGCTTACAAGTCGGAGCTACCCGAGGCCTTCTCAAGGCTTCATCCAGTCTTTCATGTGAGCCTACTTAAGCCATACCGCAAGGACCCGGAGGACGAAGAACGGAACGTTTCCTCAAGGGCACCACCGGCGTGCGCGAGCATGAGAACGGACCGCAGAGAGATCCTTTCTAAGAGGATCGTTCGGGCGGGAGCGGGCAAGAACTAAAGAATACTTGGTGAAATGGAAGAATTTGCCAATGAGTGAGACGAGTTGGGAGCCAATCGAGAAGCTTTGGCAATTCACCAAATTGATCGAGGACTTTGAGGAGAATCGTGCACCCATTCCTATCAACATTGCCTTCGAGACTTAGGTGCATCGGGCGATGCACCATTTTGGTGGGGAGGATGTCACGGACAGTTTTCTTCACCACGAATTCGGGTGGTTTGATGCGAAACGGGCTATTTTCGTAGACGGACATGGGACGGAACAGTCTAGAGCCTTGTGGAATTCTCCAGTCAAATCTTGAAGACTGGAATTTTCTAGAGAAGCCTAACTCTCTAGAAACGAGTGGAACCGTGTGGAAGCTACCCGAGTTTGCTAGAACCGTGTGGAAGATTCTAGAGACTTGTAGATATTTTGAACTTAGAATATTTTATTGTAGGAATTCTCTAGAATCCCATTATTTTATTATGTACATAGAATTCTCTAGAATTCTTTAGGACTTGGGGGTTTGCCTATAAATACCCCATGCCCCCCCTTCATTTGTAACCATCCAAGCTTTGAGTAGAGTTCTCAAGCATTCCTTAAGCTCTCTTGTGCCTTCATCGTTCTTTCACTTTCAACTTTTCTTAAGTTTTTCTTTGCCTCCGTTCTTTAAAGCCTTGCCTAGCTTTGCACGCTTTGGGGGTCTTAAGGCTGAGCTAGCACTTGATCGTTAGTTGTTTTGTGCTAGTGCCGCACGGCCGTTACTTTGAAAAAGTAAGCCCGTGACAGTAGTAACAAATGTTGATCAAAATAAATTACCGAATTATGATGGAATTTCCTATGTGGCGAGGTCGCCAAAAAAAAAAAAGGGAAAAGAGCATATCAAGTTAATTGACTGGGGTAGGTGAAAAGAGAGTGAATTTTGGAAATGTGGCAACACTTGAAAGTTAATTTGAAGTGTAACGTAAGTTGATGAACTAAACCTGACCTTGCAAAGATAAAAACTCTTTAAGATTAGAAGTCATTTTGGAGTAGGTTGCAAGAATTAGTACTTGCGCAATTTGGTTGAATGAGGAAGCTAGTGGTGATTCTGCTTTGTTTTAGAGGGGTGGGGGCCAGTCTTAGTTGGAATGGCAATTTAAAGATTGATTTTTTGATAAGACGAGGGAGATATGGGGGCATATTTAATTTTATTAATGCAACTGCAACATCCTTCTCGTATATTCCTATTGATGATAGTATATATAACAGTTGTATCTCTGTAGAATATGGATAAAGACATGAAGGGGAGGAAGACGCACTAATAATAATGAAATAATGTGAATTGAAGCAGTGGAATTAATTAATTACTAATACTACTAGTGAGTGAGTGAAAAGAGAAGTCTGGTTAATTAATTGTTGGGTGGCTGGACGAGTCAGGAGGAAGGCGGTTATCCCGTCAATGATTAAGAGAAAGAAATTAATAAAGCCAAACTTTAACTGACAAAGTCATGCCTGTAATACAGGCATGACTTCAACTCACTATTTATGCTCGGACATTTTTTTTGTAATTAATGTTTGGGAACTCACACGATGAATATACGGATGGATTGTGTTTAGCATACACAGTAATTTTTTTTTTAAAAAAAAATGAGTCATAAATGAATTTTATATGAAAGGATGCGGGGTTACTAATCGAATATCAGCCGCGCTCTTAAAATTTTGATGAAAAAAATAAAAAATAAAAAAAAAGCAAAGTGTCATTGGCTGCAGTCCCAGCATACCTACGACCAAGTAAAGCAATGTTTTAGAATGAGTAGGAGTGGATGTGGTTGGAGAAAAAACCAAGGCATTTACTACAACATTTTACTACATGAACACTTTTACTCTAAGCTTATAAAAAATGGAGTAAAGATTACCCATTGTGTTAGCCACTTGAAACGTTGGAAACCATGGCCGCTAAAACACTCAAAACTGTTTCTATTGGCCCATTGGAAACCACCCCAAAATACATCACGTTTCTGACGTGAACCCAAAAAAAAACTCAGGAGAAAAGCAAAAATGGCCGGGGGGGGACAGAAATGTAATTTTGGAAGAGAAAAGAGGAAATAATTGGGGGAGGAGCCACCAAGCCCTGACAGAAAAGAGATGCAAATGTTGTAAACGGTTGGATTTGGATTGGATTTTAAGGTGTTTTGAGTTTGACAACCATTTCAAAAAGCATTTTGAACCCACACAAAAACAAAACATCATCATAATACCCCTGCAACGGAATGGATGATACATGATTCATTCGGCTTCACATGGTCTCGCTGTCTTCTTTGCCCCACCCCCGGTCCCTCCCTGTTTTCTTACTAGTATTTTCCTTCCCTGTGCCAATAGCGTGACATTTTTATCGTTACCATACTTTGGTTTTCAGTTATACAACAACATCATTATCCAAATAATCCCTACTAAATTACTACATACCTTTAACAATACCGACATTATAATAATGAATAATGAAATATAAATCCCCCCACCCCTTCTACACGTACAATATATATATATATATGTATATATGGTGAAAACAAAACAATAATCAGAGAAACTTGTATTATCAAAAATCGAATCATGACGTATTATGAAAAATGCACTTAAATAGAGTTTCGCTAAGAGTATTGTTCCCTTTCCCACTGATAATACTCGGTCTTGATAACTCTTAAGCACCAATAACTCAAAAAATAATCATTGTCAGATCACAATTTTAAAAATGTTTGATAATATGGCAAGAAATTTCACTGCTAAAAAAAAAATAATCAAGAATTCCGATTCATTCCTTAAACCATTCAGTATTTTGGTCTACCAAGCACAATTCTGGGGTGGGTCCCCACTTCTCTTGTTTTCCCAGGATTACCCCTCCCCTTATCCACAAACCCTCCCCCATTTTCTTTTCCTCCATAAATAGAAAACCCCCTAATACAGCTGCTCAACCCCGAAAATTTACAACTCACTCTCACTCTGCTACCTCAAAAGCAAACCAAAAAAAAACAAGAAGAAGCTACTTTTCCGGTCACCGGAGGAGAACCAGTTAAGCCCTGAAAATGTCGAAAGAAGTTGGGGAAGAAGGACAAGTCCGGAAGGACTACACGGATCCACCACCGGCACCCCTGTTGGACTTTGGGGAGCTGAAGCTGTGGTCCTTCTACCGTGCCCTCATCGCCGAGTTCATCGCCACCCTCCTCTTCCTCTACGTCACCGTCGCCACCGTCATCGGCCACAAGAAGCTCAACGCCGCCGACCAATGCGACGGCGTTGGCATCCTCGGCATCTCCTGGGCCTTCGGGGGAATGATCTTCGTCCTCGTCTACTGCACCGCCGGCATCTCCGGTGGGCACATCAACCCGGCGGTCACCTTCGGGCTGTTCCTGGCAAGGAAGGTGTCGCTGATAAGAGCGGTGGCTTACATGGTGGCCCAGTGCTTGGGAGCCATATGTGGAGTTGGGCTGGTCAAGGCTTTCATGAAGCACTTCTACGATGGGTTGGGCGGCGGCGCCAACTTCGTACAGCCCGGTTACAACAAGGGCACCGCCTTGGGAGCTGAGATCATCGGAACTTTTGTTCTTGTCTACACTGTTTTCTCCGCCACTGACCCTAAGAGAAGCGCCCGTGACTCTCACGTCCCCGTAAGTACCCTAAGAGAACTGAATTTTGTTTTTGTGTTTCCTTTAAAACATGTTTGTTGTTTTTACCCTGGGTTGAGAATTATTTCCAAGTTGTGTTTTTCATTAAAAGAAAAGAAAAGGAAAATGCAGTTTATCTTTTTTGGGTTTGGCTGTTTTTTTTGTTTGTTTTCCTGAAGCATTTGAGATGAGAAATTTTTTTAATGAAATGGAGTGGATGGGGTTGTGTAGGTGTTGGCTCCACTCCCAATTGGGTTCGCGGTGTTTATGGTGCACTTGGCTACTATTCCGATCACCGGAACTGGGATTAACCCGGCGAGGAGCTTTGGAGCTGCCGTCATCTACAATCAGGGAAAGATCTGGGATGACCATGTAAGCTTCTCGGTTGTTGTATCTGTTATTTATTCCCGTAGCTTTTTGTTTGGGTTTAGGATTGTATATGTATAATGAAATTATAATTTGTGGGTGCAGTGGATATTCTGGGTTGGACCATTCGTGGGAGCATTGGCAGCGGCGGCATATCACCAGTACATCTTGAGAGCTGCTGCCATCAAGGCCCTTGGTTCTTTCCGCAGCAACACCTCCAACTAGATCCCCGCAGCCGCCGCCACCACCACCATTATTCTGCATCTTCAAATTCACCACCAACCAATCATCCTTGAGATCATTTGAACCTTCCCCTCCCCCCTCCGCCCTTGAAAGTATTTTCGTTTGCTCTGAATTCTTATCCTGTTAATTATTATTACATTACTATTATCATAGAAGTTTAAATCTTCTGGCTTCTTTTGTTGGTGGTTGATGTGTATTAATGTGGAATGACGATGATTATTAGACTGTGAGTTAGTAGTTACTCTGTGCGTGTTTGTTGTGGTTTGGTATCTGATGTTAAGGGATGGCATTGGCATATGCTTTGGGTTTCGTTCATTCAACCTTTGCTGCGCCTTTTAACCCAACATTTCCTAACTGAATACCATAGTCTCGAAACAATTACCATCCTGCAGAAACAATATAATTCGCTCTCCATACATAATAATAATTCTCAGGTTACAGTTTGGTCTTGTCCTCTAAAAGAGCTACTAACAGGTTTAGGATCTGGGAATGAAGGATTTGGGGGGAATTGTGTTACATAAGAAGCAAGACCATCATAAAAGAGGGGAACCCGAAAATCTACTTCCGATCATCATCGTTATCACTGGCGGGGCCATGAAATATTTAATAATTATTCATTCCCATAATTAGTTTTTGTTTTTATTCTCAAGACAGCTCATTTCAAGAAATTAAAATTTTTTTAAAAAAAAAAGCAAAAAGAAGAAACGGTAACCTTGAAGTTGATGAGACTTGACCACGGTTTTGTTACCTTGATCAGCGCGATTTCAGCGTGGTAAAGAGAATGGAGAAAAAGGAAAAGAAAGATGCTCTCTTTCTATGTTTTCAGTTAGATTACCTTGTTTTAAATCTCTTCTCAGGTGGTCCATGCTACCTTGTACATATTATATATATATATATAAAGAGGGTTCTTTTTCTTCCTTTTTTTGAATTTTTTGTTGTTTACTCATACTCATTACAGTAACAGTAATTATCTAACAGCCAACACTAAGCAATGGTAGTAGTAGCCTATAGTAGGGTTCATTCAGTTGTGGTGGGGGTGCAGAAAGGAAAGAGAGTCAGTAATAGTTCTCAGAGAAAGCAGTGAATGAAGGAAAAGCAGGGTTTTTTTTTTTCTTCACTTCTTTTTAACTTTTGATTAAAAAGAAGGCAGAGGGCGTGACCTTAGATGGGCCAATGCATGGGGGACTACTGGCTTGATCCGGTGGGTTTTTGACTGCTTGCCTTATTTGGGACTTGAGGCCGAATAATAATGTACAGAACTCAAAAACCACAAAAGAAACCAATGAATGAATCAAATAAGAAAGATATAAAAACCAATCAGAACTGTGGCCCTCTCTATCTCTCTCTGCCCATGTGACTTCTCTGATCCACGGATGGCAGCTCTTCACAACTTCACACTTCACATGGGCCAGCCTCCGGTTCGGAGTTGGGGGCCCCCCCCCCTCTCTCTCTCTCTCTCTCTCTAACATTTAGGAGCCTGATTTCCCCCATCTTTGGCCCCCATCATCAATCAACAATCATCTCATTAATTTAATCTTTCAATTTTCCGCTATTACTCCTTCTGTCCCAAAATTATTATAAATCTCATTTTTAGTACAATTTGAACTAAAAATAAAAACTCAAACTGAACAATAATTATGAGACGTAGGATTACATTTTAATTATCGCCAAACTCACTAATGTAATGATAACAGTCCACTGATGATGTCTTACAAATAGACGGAATCAATTCAATCGTCAACCATTATAATACAGTTTTAAGCCTTTATTTCGTTTGATCTTATATCTGTTATAAAAGCAGCCTAATGCTCGGAATGGGCCTAATTTGAACAAATATTCTCTCTGTGACCGGACAGTGGAAACTTCTGTTTTTCCCCTGTTGAGCCCATCAACACCCAATGTTGGCCCCTTTTAAGCACCAGCCTACATATTCATATTGCCCGCCTTTTGCTTCCCGTGAGACTCTAACATGGAAATCCCTTCCACACACGCACAAATGGATACACATTACAAGTACAAACATATTTGCTCCCCGAGTGTTAGATTATTACTGCAAACAATGCTCATTTTCTACCTTCAACCCCAAGATTTTCCTACAACATTAAGCTTTAATACACCATGCTTTGTCTCATCATACCACTACTTCTACATGCAACTCACTAGTCTCGTACCACAAACCCAAAATAAAAACTAGTTCCCCCAATGCAGTAAATCATCATTAGGGTGCAGAGGAAGAATTAAAGCTTCCACTCTACCGCCGAGGCTCTCCTTCAAGACAGAGATGGATTATCCAAGTAAAATCCCGTTCCAATATTAGTATCCAACTACCCAACCCAGAGTCAATCAGTAATGGCTATTCCAGGACAAGTGATGGCTTTATCCCCCAAATAGCAAAACGAGGAAAACACACAATTTTAATGCATAGAATTTTGAAATCATGGCTTTGTTTTTTAAGCAAATCCAAAACTAACATCCACGGAAACTAACTAAAATCATCTTACATTGTAGCTTGTTTCAGCTACAGGGGGAAATCATCAAACATGTGATAAGTTTGGGTACTTCAGTCAGGCAGCGCAGTGCCTCTTTCAAGGTTGTTCTTAATCTCCAGAGTGTATTTGCCAAATGCACGCTCAATCTTCTTGTTGAAATGTTCATTACGGTCATTAATGGAGTCGATATCCTTCTCTTCCCGATACCTTCTCCTCCTGCTAAATGTATTCCGTTTTTCTTCTCTGTCCTTGAGCTCCTGCACCATTTTGTCAATCCTTTCCTCAGAAACTTTGGGTGCCTGTTCAGTTAAAAATCTTTAATCAGTACAGGGCAGAAAGAATTACACTAAGATACGCAAACAGGTTGAACCTCAGAGATATGTAAGACTTACTTTTCCATATTGGAGACTTGATGCATCCCGATAAAACTCTGGATCAGCTTCTTTCATTTTGTTGTATTCCTCAACATCAACCTCAACGTTTTTAGTCCGTTTCTTGTATGCATTATACAGTGTTCTCTGATTGAAAACTGCAAAACAGGAGAGAGAAAGTGTTCAGTTTTTTGATGCCTCTTTTTTTTGGGGGACAAAGGGACTGAAAGGGAATACCATCTCAAACTGAGACCCATAGGCGAAAGCAGTTTGCAATATAAAATAGCTACACATCAGAATCATGCTAAACTAACCGGATATACCCTAAATTCTAGACTCATAAAGGTAGCGTGTTGAGCATAATAATGCATAACCTTCTAAGTCAATGAAGGTAGCATGTTCCTTTGTTTCACTATTTTCAAGTTCCCCGAACCAACTGGAAGGTTCTAAACTCAAATTGACAATAACAGTGATGTCTTACAAGCATATGAATTATATCAAAAACAAAAGCATAGAACAGCATGGAGGGAAAGATACACTATCTAGTGCACAGAATTGTCAGGCATTACTAATTCACAGATCAGATGACGTATAATTTTAATATCTACATGGCACATCTATAAATAAATAAATGAGCGCTGATCTCCATACCATCCCAACCAGCAGGAGCAGGGTCCTTTTCCCACTTCTTATACTTCGTTTCTGCCATCTCTTGTGTATCTAGCATGTATGCTTTACTCATTTCCAATCCATTGGCATCTAGAAGTCTACCAATTTTCTTTTTCCTTTCCTCAAGCCATTTTTGCTTGGAAATGCCCCTAGATTCTTTTGGAGCTTCCATTCCTTTCTTTTCCGCCACAATTGCAGTCTGATTTGCCTTTTTCGCCTCATTCTGAATTAAAGTGAAAATAAGGTAAGAACACCGCGGATTATAGATACACAAATTTTTAAATTCAGAAACACCAAAAATCACGTATACTTAACCATTCTAAGCTTCAGTTCGAACAATTTTTTCTTCCTTCCTGAAAGATTTGTTGCATTTTCTGCCGCGTTTTCATCAATATCAGCACTCCCTTCCCTAACGGAGTTATTGTTGACCCCTTGTTTGTCATGAAAATCTTCATCTTCATCATATCTTGAAACTGAATTTTGCTGATCACCAGCATCATTGGCCTCCTCCATTCTATAAATCTCCCTAAAACAAATAATAAAACACAAAAATACTCCATAGTGAGTTATAATTCCGTAAACCCTAATTGGGCAATACTCAAATTGCCAGGAGGAAACTCAATTAAACATAATTTTTCTTTTTTTTTAACCATATAATAGAATCCCGGTGCACATGAATCAAAATCCCAACAAAACACCAACTTTAACCATAACATAAATAAGATTCAAGAACAAATTTCGAAGGAAACTAGAAACAACCACAACTGCTGGGAAAATCACAAAATTTCAACCTGAAAATCCAAAAGGTTCAAATAATTCTCAAAAATCAACCAGAAGTAATAATTAAATGCGATTTCTTACCTCTAACGAGCTTCTGATTTGGGGATGCAAGGAGTTTGATTGATTCTGGCCGGTTAGTTTTTCCGTCGAAAGAGAAAAAGTGAAGTTAATAAAGCTAGCTTGCAATAAAAAGGAAGCTAAAATTTATACTCGTTATAAAAGATAAGAGATAATGGGCTTTTGAAATACCGTTCTGGAAGCCCAATATTATAGAACGAAAAGCCCAACAGTACAAAAACAACAGGAAGCTTTTCCCCAAGCCCAAGAATAACATATCCCCTTCCTCAAGAATTTTCCTAAATTTCATATCCGGGAAATTACAAAACTCACAAAGTCAATTAGGAAAGGCTGCCATTGTCAAACTCTTTAGCTGAAGCTTCCAAAACCCTTAAAAGAGGAACTAAAACCCTAGTCACCGTCTTCGTGTAAAGAGGAAACCCTTTTGCCTCAATTACTGGGTAAATTATTTGAATATGTCCGGCGGAAGATTTAGGGAGCTGTTGAGGAAGTACGGGAAGGTAGCAATCGGTGTCCACCTCTCCGTCTCGGCGGCCTCAATCACCGGCCTTTACGTCGCCGTCAAGAACAATGTTGACGTCGAGTCCGTCTTTCAGAGGCTCGGCATCCCCGGAGTATCCTCTAAAGGTGGAGAAAACGAAGCCCCTTCCCCCTCCGACGCCGCCGCCTCCTCCTCGCATAATACGGAGATTATTATTCCCGCCGAAGATGGCGGAGCGTCTGTAGAGGTGAAGAAAAGGAATCGCACAGCTGAGATGGCGAAGACCAGCGGTGGTGCTTTGGCTCTGGCGTTGCTGCTTAATAAGGCCCTTTTCCCGGTAAGGGTTCCGATCACCCTTGCTCTTACCCCTCCGGTGGCGCGTTTCCTCAGGGCGAGACAGATTATTAAGAATGGCCTGTAGAAATATTCGACAGTTAAGATATAATCTTTTTTTTTGTTCTTTGCCTTTCCAAAATTGGCCTATCGAGAAACACTTATGCTTGAGATAAACATGGAATTTCGGGATTATATGCAGGATTTGGTAGGAACGTTGCGATTTATGATTTTCGGGATAGCTTTTCACTTTCTGTTTTTTCCCCTTATCCCAACATTGTCAATTGTGTACATTATGCACTTAAAGGGCCTGATCTTGCCCGTGTTTGCTAAGATATAGAGCATGTATGTGCCTCATTTCGATCTCAGAGTTTTTTTTTTTTTTAATTGCAATTCCTATAAATATAGAGAGATACGTCTTCAATGATGAGTACAAGGTCTGATAACCAGGGTCCAGTGTAGTGTTACAAAGGCTCTGTTATTGTGAGGCAACTCGTTACTGTCTAGATACCAGTTCACACACATCCCTGCTTTTTATCTTTTTTAGAGTTGAAATCATAATGATCAACACAAAACTTGAACTTGCTTGCATAATGATGCTGCCTTACATTATCCGAATAGTTTAATCCTGGAATTGTGTATTTTGTTATTGATTGTTTTTTTAATTTTCTAAGTTCATTTGCAGTGCACAGTTTCATGCTACTGACAATAGGTTAATCCCGTAACTATGTTAGATTTGGCGTTTTGTTGTCTCGAGGGCTTAAATAGGCTCGAATTGTATTAGGTGAACAGCTTAATATAGTTAAAACTGGAGTGGGGAAAGATTTATTCGAGGGGATTCCCCATGTGGTGTTTTTTGGGCTGCAGATAGGAACATAAGGACCAGGAAGATTGTTTTGTAATCTGTACTGTTTTGCATATTAATTGTGCAAGTTATTTGGGTTCACCTTTTCGCTAATTTCCTGGAGAACATCATTGATTAAGATGTCAATGCTAAGTTGATGCCTAGAATGCTTCCGCGAGTTATTTATCATCCTTTCTTCTCGTTACAGATGTCGATGAATGAACAAATTTCTTACCTGTTTTCTGTTTGACCTTGAGTGATAATGCACCGTAACCCCGCTTCTTATTGCACGCCCATACATGTAGGTCGCCCTCTGTTCTCAAGTAGTAGTTTTTCAGTCTCTAACTCTGAAGCTGTGAGAGTTTTCAGTTGTGGCAAGACTTGTGCATAAAGGATTGCATACTTGCATTTGCACATTTTCTGTATTCACATGAAACAGTATTTTGTATGTGTTTTGAAATATCATGATGCTGATTTATTATTCTCTTTAGCCGGATTTCCAATAGTAGAATAGGCTTAATGGTGACCTGGGTAGAAAGTAAATTTACTTCAGCTGTATGCGTTCAGAATGATCTGCAATTACGTTTTGTGAGAGAAAATTGCATTGGGATTTAAGAATGTTAGACCACAAAAGGAGAATGTGTCTGCATACTTCAGTTTTCTGGATAATCTTTCACCTTACTCCTGACCTGAATAAATTTTTGCTGCAACAAATGGACGGCAACTCGAGTTAAACATATATGCTATCATGGCTAACTAGTTTTTGAAGTGAGTTCATGATCTTGTTTTTCGGTTTTCTTTACTATTTGTCTTCATGTTTCTCGTAACTGCCTGAAAAGAACGAATTACTCGCTACATATATCACCTTTACATGCTTTCATGACTAATAAGTTATAAGGACACAATTACATAACATTTTGAGTTCAAATTTCAACTGCTGTGATAGGTAACAAACCATATCAACCAGTACCAAAACAATGTACGTTCGGAACTATAGGATTAAGGACAAACTTCTGCGTAACAATCTGCTTAAAATAAATGGCTGGAAAAGTTTGATCAATATAACAAGTAGATATAGAATAACAACCAATGTGCACAACTGAATGTTGCCAAAGGAAAATTTCTGACCAATCCATATTTCAATTTTCCCATGTCCAGGAGGAAATGTCAATTCTCAAAATTCAATTGCAGAAACAGATGACAACCAAATATTCCCTCAAAAAGGGAGGCACAAAACTGGGTATTTTTTCTGTGCATGTCCTATAAGCAAAACTCGGAAGACTATGATTCCATCGTATATGTTAGTTCATGAAATTGTACAATTAACAAAGTAGCAATGGCGGCCTTTAATTTGGCTTCCACTGGACTGATCTATCAAGGCTCGCAGACATGAACCTCTCATGTTTGGTGTGCCTGTTTTGACACTAGAAAAAATGTATCTAAAAGCGTTTCATACAGAGTACAATTAACATTCATAAGCCTCCATATTCTCGCAACAACAAAAAAGAATGAGCTGACCACAAGCTGCATTGAATGGTGAGAGCCGTACTATAAGTGTTGCAAATGCTTAAAATCCTGACAGTTTGCACCAATTTCACTGAAGGAATTGTATAGTTTTGTCACGAGCTTAGCCAACATAATTTTGAAGCCGATCGAATTCGAATTAGAATCCGCATCACAGCTCTTGCTAATTGACGCATCTTTTGCTAGTGAACCGATAAGGTAGCCTTTCATATAAGCATCACAGGCCTTGAGGATGTAATAACCACGCTTCCTAAAGTGCTCCTGCACAAGCTCTTCAAAGTCCTGAAATGGAAACCAGTTTATTCAGTATATATACCTTGAATACACAGCTAAAACGAAAATGTGATTCTAGATGATGAATCAGAACATCAGGAAAGGAAGCAAAACAAAGTATCCAAGTGCGATGACAATGAACAGAACTTAACAGATCTGCTCAGCTCTTTTCAACAACTAATTTCTTCAATTTTTCACCATTTCCCATCTAGACATCATACTCCAAACTTATTTGAGAAGAAAAAAATGACAATAAAAATTGCTTAAGCTCTTTAATTATTAACTTCCACATCTTGCACCAAAATCGAAAAGATTTCATGCCTATTTAATGACAACATACTTGAGCACCCAAAAACAACAATATTAAGGTTTTCATATCACCTTGGGTGGCTTCCGTATCAGATACATCATCGTCTTGCAGTTTAGTAAGAATGTATTTTCATTGTAAGACAAAGAATTTTTCTCTCCTTCAGCCGTCCCCATTTGTTTGTCATATCCAGCTTCATTAAAATAAGGCTTCGAATTAAGAACTAGCCCTTGAAGTGACACTAGAACTTGAAGAATACTCGATGATGATGGATCCCAGACCTCGTTTCCTCTGCCTGTCCAAGTATTTAAAAGGCTCAGACACACTTTTCCTTCCTCGTACAGATTCGGATTTATTCTCCAACCTCCAGAATGATAATATGCGGACTGCAATAGAAGAGAAACAATATAAAACATCAGGAACAACTATTCATTCTAGATCTCCATCAAACTTAAAGGTATTTTATCAATAGTCTAACCGGTGGGACATCTGGATACTCTGGTGGGAGGTGAAAGTCAAAGAAAAAAAGCCCCTCTTGGTAAGGCGTACCATAAGCTCCAACTATTACGGCCCTTAACAGATCCATCCGGTCCTCATACACACGTACATATATTCCATCTATAAGATTTGGTAACAGGCATAGTAAAGAAGTTTCTTGAGATGTATGATATGAAATTCAAAGTGTCAAAAAACTAGGAAGAAGTGAATTGAACAGACCAGGTAGATTATTCTGGAGGATGTTCCAATCCTGTTGAACCTTCCTAAGCCATTTCCTACCAGCATTATTCTGAAAACAAAGAATAGTAAAGGACTATATTATGGTCGTGGCATAAAATTTCCGAACACAGTAAAGAAGCTAATGTTTCAACTCGCTCGTTTTCTTTTACATTTCGAAAGTCAAGATATTTCAACCATAATAGAGCCTGAAATTTCAAAAAGAAAGAAAATAAAAAGAACTGGAAATGCAACCAAGAAATCAAGGATGTCTTACCACAAGAATACTCTTACTTAACATTTAAAATTGATCAACAATCATAAAATCACAATGCTGCACAGACAATTGTCTAACCTGCTTAGTTGCATTAAGGAAATGATGATCATAGGGATCTTTGCTGATATCAAATCCTTTGAAACTTGCTGCCATATCATCCAATCGTTTTGTTGCACTTGCATCTGGCTTCAAGTTACAAATAGCTTCAGCCACATCCAACAGTTCTGCTGCCTCATTGTCACCTTGTTCAGCAGTATTGACTTTATTGCACAGACTACCAATGCTATCACCACCATTAGATCTCTGGGAGCACGATTCACTATCTAGATCTTCTCTCCCAGAAAATTCCAAAGGTTGAAGGTCGCTTTCACTTCTGGAATCTGGATCTGTGTGTTTTCTTCCCCTGGAAAATATGCCGGAGGCTAATCTGGTCATAAAGCCAAGTGCAGCTAAGGGAATGGCCAGGGGCCCATTCCTCCCAGAATTTTCAGAGTCATCTTCATTCTCAACAATGATGTCCGAGACACTCTCTGTCCTAGCATCCTTCAAACCAGCATAAAGGAAAAAAAATCATTATAAAACTTTTTACTCAAGATCCTCCTCTGATATCAAATAAAGTTTAATGTACACATTTGGTAAAATCAAAGAAAATAAACTGGTCACTGCCTCATCCTGGTCATTTGTCAGGAAGCAAAGTTAAGAAGCACTTGAGCAATGAGATCCAAAAAGAACCAATACTATCTTGCACCAATGAAGAAAATAATTACGGCACGAGGAACGCGTGATTTAACCAACTTTTGTAAGCAAACACGAGCTTAATGTTTCTACATTCATGAAACAGATATACAGTAGAACCCGAAACAGTGTTAAAATGTAACATTTCCTGCTGAATAAAAACAAGACTTGATATGATTGCATCAAGAATTGGCTAAATATGCAATCAATTACTGATCCAAGTATTGCATGAGTTCTGCAATTGCCTGACCATCTTTAGAGAGAGTAGTATCTTTTATTTCAATGAAAAATTTCTTAATATTGCAGTGACAGAGTCAGAAGGACACACACAGATATGATGTAGGAGCATTCAGGTTGGCTAGACAACATGAATTAAAAAAAATAAAAAACAAAAAAACACTTTTCAAAGATGATGATCAGTTCAAGTACAAAGTGCTAATAAGAGATGTTTCGAAAAAATGTTTCCTTGAACCTTTAACAGCCAAGGTTAGCAATAAACAGTTTCAGTTAAAGTATGAACCTCTATATTATTATCGTGAGTCTCCATCTCGTCATCTTCAACTGTTTCCCAACTGGCTGCACCATCACTAATTTCACTTCCACCTCCTATCGATTCATCATCATCACGGTCAACAACATAAATTGCCTGGGGACCAACCTAAATAGCAGAAATAAAGAATCAACAAAATGCACTAAAAGCTCTAAAACTAGATTACTTTCCTGAGAATTACACATTCAAATCAAATACAACATAAGTGAAATCATTAGAAACGGCAACCAAGAACATTCGCTACCAAACCAAAAAATGATTATAAACCTTTCAAGCATGCAATGTTAAAATAACATGGCATTAGAGACAGAAATACAAATCAAGTGATGGGAGCCTCTTTTATGAAGAAAACATTGTATTAAAAGATAGCATTTGTAAATGAGCAACTTACCAATGTTACCATCCCATCAGCCCAAGTAACTTCTATATCCCCATTTTTTAGCCCAGTAATATTTCCTACCCATGATAAGTCTGAAAACTCAGCAGAAGCATTATCAGGGAATGAAACCTCGGTACTCTCGCGTACATTTTTCTTCCCAACATCTGGCTCAACCTCATTGGAAGCATGTGGCAGTTCAGGTTCATTATTGAAGCTCAACACATCAGAAGTTTCAGATAAAACAGAAACAGGAGATAATCGAACGACAACATCTCCGTAGCAATAATCAAAGTCAGGATGGCCCTCCAACTCATATACGCTTACAACTTCTTCTTTATCAAACTCCCTTGGATCCTCAGGTCGCGTAACTTTCTTTAACCACTTGACATGAGCTGTTTTCTCTTTTGCATTAACACTTTGAACTACCCCTACACGTTTATATTCATTAGCATCATCAAGATCATCAGCGGCCTTCTCAATTACATACTGCTCGGCTACAAATTCATGATCACCAGGACTTTCTATTGGAATCAAACTTGTTGAATTCATATTGCGTCCTATTGTTCCATCTTGCCAAGCAACATCAACTGTAGTTCTCATATTGACAATCAAAAGGGCTCTCTCAAAATTATCTTCTTTTTTCCTAGCTTTTTTGTCCCTCTTGATCACAACTTTTCGAATCTTTTTACGATGAAGGGGCCAAGATTCATGAGCTGACTCCTTTGAGATCGACAATGAACTCGCGCATGAACTAGATTCTGCAGGAGCTTTATTTTCCACATTTTCACCAACTGAATCATATCCATCAATATATGTTGATTCACAATTTGGAATTGATTCATCAGAATTGACAACTTCAGAACTTTCTGTTCCTGTTTGAGCAGAATCCGTTTCTTCTTTTGGAGAATCACTAAGTTCTAACTTTGATAATCCCTTCTCCACGGGTACCTGGATTGATAAAAGTGGAGTTTGAAGAAGGCACCAGTCTCCTAATTGCCAGTTTGCATGTGAAAAACAAGACAGCAGCTTCAAGTTTTTGGGACTTTGCTCTTCAGCCGGAGTTGTGGAAGAGTCAGGCCCATAACCAGCAGATGCAATCCAATATATGAATACAGAACCAACTGCAACCTTGGTCACTATACCTTCTCGACGGTTAGCTTTCCATACGCCAGAAAGCCACCTCGAATTCTTAAAAACTGATGAAGAGGTTGCTCTAACGCGTTGCCCAGGATAGAAAGGAAAGTGCCCATCTTCAAGAATATTCTTACCAACTGGTCTTAGATTCATAGGGTCCGCTTTCAGAACTTTACACACAGACCCGTCATCAAAAAGAACCGTGACGTTATCCATGACATCATCAACCCTACCAAGCCAAGGACCAAGGACTACGTAATCACCAACTGTAAAATCCCTGACGCGTTTCAAGTTCTTGGTATTAACATCTTCGATGATAGAGGACCCATCTCCATGAGTTAATAAGTCGACAGATATATTGACATCAACCACAACGCCCACTTGACCTGTTGGGTCCGATGCAGAGGCAACGTAGTCCCCATGCAGAAATCCTCTATCCAAAACTTGAACATCATTAATGCCTTCCGTAGTCTCAGTATCATCCATCCAGAAGACCCTAACTTGGTCAGCTGGAAGATGACGACTCTTACGACTATAGGCATCAAATGTACCATCAACCTTCTCACTGTTATCAGCAAGAGCTTCATCATCACCAGCCTCTTTACCGTCCCCTTCTCCCTCATTTTCATCATTGTCATCATCGTCGTCGTCGTCGTCGTCATCTTCATCATCGTCGTCATCGGTCAAGCTGCCATCTGAATCAGAGTCACCGGCCACTTCAGTAACAAAACCTACCTTACCATTTATATTGCTCCTTACAACATCTTGTCTGTACACATATGATACGTTCTGCGCAGGTTTAGTTTCAGCTGCCTTATCTTCGCAACAGTGAAGCTCATTGGCTGGCGAATCATTGTCAGTTGCAACTGTTACAAGTCCAGCATCATCAGAAGAATCAACTCCTTTCCCAGTTTCCATGTGTTCTAATAAACACCACAAAGATCTTGAGAAATCATTCAACAAGAAATGGGGAAAAGGGAAAAAGATCGAAAAGGTGAATCTTGCCATCAACTTAATATAGAACAACTGCATACAATTCTATGCATGAACAAAACCTAATTTTACAACCAGAAAGTTAAAACATGAAAGTTTAAGCCCCGTTTCAAGTAAAGCAATCATCAACTAAATCCAACAAACAACCTCAAAAATTGCTGACAGACCCACATTATATTGATACAGCTCAAGTTTGCGTCGTTGAAATACTACATAAACTTCCCTGACTTCTATGGAAAAATAGTAGAGAAAAATAATATGACTTAGATCGCAGCTCAATATCCCAGCTGAATTCAAGCTACGAACGAATTTAATACTCGTATAATAATCACCAGCTTATCAGACAAACTATGGGGAACAAAAAAAACAAAAAACCTAGCACGAATGAAAAACTATCGCCTTCCTCCCCCGGTATTCGTATCTCCCCATGCCAAAACGAAAACGGGAAAAATTGAGAGTAATACCTATATGATAATCGGAAAACGACGCCGGTAAAACGTCGGGCAGCGACAATCACCGAACGGCCCGTTTTCAGCTCAATGTGAATGCCTGCCAGAGCAGAAATTAAATTTTAGATTAAATTCGCTCCTTTCTTCTCCTTCGGAAAACACCCTTCTTTTTTTCCTCCCTATAATTTCTGATTTTATTTTGTTTTCATATATGGAGAATAATTTATTTAGAAATGATATCGATGAGGAAGAGAATGGGGAAGACGATTAGTAGTAGTATACCACGACTATATGTAATAATTTAATTAATTAAATGGTTATGGTATCTTTTATTTTTTATAGTTTTTTGCAATCCTAAGCGGCAACGAATTAACCAGACGTGTTATGAGGGACATTATAGTCATTGCGTGCCGTACAAGTGCTCCTTGGTTTATTCCCTCTTCTTATCCCTTTTTGTTTTGTTGATTTTTTAAAACTTAGTACACATATACAACCTCCGTCCTTAAAAAGCATTTCAATTTGTCATAAGTTTCATTTATTATATTCTTTTAATTAGAAATTGTTGGGGAAGCAGTACCTTACAAAGGCTATGTACACAATTACTAACTCCGAGTACACAACAATAGCTAATATGTACACAATACTAGATAGCACTCTGTTGGCAATAACTCAACATGTACTCAAAAATTCACCTTATGTACACAATATCAAAAAATAGAACTTGGGTTAAGACCTGAAACTGACTAACTCTTTTTGGCAATCTGGCTAGCTAAAAGTGAAAGTAACTAGCTATGCCCGAGAAACGAGCAAGCTGGAACTGGAAGTGGTTAGCTAACTAATGAACAGAATAGTTATAGCAACAACACGCTGGCTATATCACAAATTCGACTAGCTAAATTACAGCGAAAAACCCAAACACCTCCTCGATTTGCAAAAGACACCTTAAGAGCATAAAAACACCAAACCAACTGTCAGCAACGAAACAACAATCAAAGCAAAAATGCACAAGAACACTGTTGTGTATCTCCTCAAATTCCCAAACCCATGAAGTAGGTCTTGGGCCTAGAGCCCAATCCTGTTGTAATAATTTGTGTAGGGTTTTAACATAAATAGGAAACTTTGTACTAAGCCAACTTGGGGAAAGAAGAGGGAAAGTGAAGAGGGGCAACATGTAGCCATTCAATTAAGAGAGAGCTCTTGAGTGACATGGGTAGAATTAGAATTGAGTGAGTGGAGATCCTCTCCTAATTTCTAGTTCCTTTGTAGTGATGTGCATCTTCTTCCCGGAGCACATTGGAGGTAAGTGATGGGAAATACTTTGTAAGAGAGTGTAAGATTAGAATTGAGAGAGAGAGACATAGTGTGTTGAGAGAGGCTCCACATATGTAAACTCTTCTATTCTTATACTAGTAAGAAGTGTTTACCGTTCGCGTGGACAAAGATCTATGAGAGATCGAACCATGTAAGTAGTTTGCGCTTCTTGTTGTTGATTGCTTAGTTGTTTACTTTATTCCCCTACATTTGCATGTGTGTTTGTTGATAGAAGTATAAACAACTAGCAATTTGAGTAGTGGGAGGTGTGGTTGATTGATGTTGTATGGTTAAGCCATTGTACTTGCTGTAATAGCTAGCTCGTTTGTGGATATAGCTGCTTTCTGGGGTTGTTGTATTCTGCCTTGAAAACAGCTAGCTGATTTTGTGGAAATAACTAGCTGGTTTTGTAGTGTTACATTTTGTCCAGTAAATAACTAGTTGGTTTTGCACTGTTGTTAAAAATAGCTGGGCAGATTATAACAGCTAGCCAATTTGTAAAATAAGCTAGCTGGATTGGGTTGTTGATGTAATTGCTAGTTATTACTATATGTTCGTTGTGTACATTGCTCCTTGCTGCTGTTGATGCTGTTGTCGGTGTACTCGCCCCCTCCCAACAATTGGTATCAGTGCTGAAAGGCTCGATACTAGAGAGTGTGAAGATCAGTTGGTTTGTGATTGGTGAGAATCAGACCACCGAAGTTTTAGGAAAATGAAGTTGATCCTGTGAATTCTGTTGTTGTTCCTTGCGTCGATAGTCTTCTTGATTGTGGTTGTTAAGCAACGTGTCCCGTTACTTGAGAACGGCAGTGCAAGATGATTGAATCTCGTGGTGGACTTTGGTTGAGAGAAGTGTGTAGACCGTAGAGGTGTTTCAAGTGAACCCTTTGGATTTGTGTGAGGTTCCTTGTGTCGAAATTATACCTGATATGTTGGTCAGGTGGCGTGTCCTACTAGTTGAGAGCAGTGGTACAAGATGATTGGATCCTTCGGTTTAGCTTTAAAATGATTTGTAGTTGATGTTGACACAATAGTTGATGTGTGATGAGTCATTTGCAAGAATTGTGACTTATGTGGAAATTCATCCGAGTGGATGCAATATTATGTGAAGAATATTATTTGAAGCGATCACATCCGGTGTGGTTCTCTATCATGATAAAGACTTGAAGAGTTTGGAAGAAATGATAGGAGGAATGTCCAAGTAGAGAATGACTCGATGCTAGTGTGGTTATTGCGGTCTTGATGATGAAAGTGGGAAATAAATGTGTGTTTTGTTGACATTCCCACACATGGAGAGATTGTCCTATTTCCGAAGAGTTGTTAATTCAAGATACATGTTTTGCAGATTCCTTGACATTCGGTGAAGAGGTCAAGTCGAAGATAGACATGCAAGCCTTAGTCTTGATGATATTATTGATGCACTTGGGATTTTGAGTCGATGGGGGATTTGTTGGGTATCTCCTTAAATTTCCAAGCCCATGAAGTAGGTCTTGGGCCTAGAGCCCAATTATGTTGTAATAGTTTGTATAGGGTTTTAGTATAAATAGGAAACTTTGTACTAAACCTATTTGGGGATAGAAGAGGGAAAGTGAAGAAAGACAAGTTGTAACCACTCAATTGAGAGAGAGCTCTTGAGTGACAGGGGTAGAATTAGGATTGAGTGAGTGGAGATCCTCTCCTAATTTCTAGTTCCTTTGTAGTGATGTGCATCTTCTTCCCGGAGTACATTGGAAGTGAGTGATGGGAAATAATTTGTAAGAGACTGTAAGATTAGAATTGAGGGAGAGAAACATAGTGTATTGGGAGAGACTCCACATATGTAAACTCTTCTATTCTTATGCTAGTGAGAAGTGTTTACCGTTCCCGTAGACATAGATCTATGAGAGATCGAACCATGTAAGTTGTTTGTGCTTCTTGTTGTTGATTACTTAGCTGTTTAATTTATTTCGCTGCATTTGTATGTGTGTTTGTAGATAGAAGTGTAAACAACTAGCAATTCGAATAGTGGGAGGTGTGGTTGATTGATGTTGTATGGTTGAGCTATTGTAGTTGCTGTAATAGCTAGCTCGTTTGTAGATATAGCCAGCTATTTTCTGGGTTGTTGTATTCTGCCTTAAAAATAGCTAGCTGGTTTTGTGGAAATAGCTAGCTGATTTTGTAGTGTTACATTCTATCCAGTAAACAACTAACTGGTTTTCCGCTGTTGTTAAAAATAGCTAGCCAGATTGTAACAGCTAGCTAGTTTGTAAAAGAAGCTTGCTGGATTGGGTTGTTGTTGTGCTATTGCTAGTTATTACTATATGTTTGTTGTGTATATGGCTCCCTACTGTTGTTGATGTTGTTGTCGGCGTGCCCGCCCCCTCCCAACAATTGGTATCAGAGCTGAAAGACTCGATACTAGAGAGTGTGAAGATCAGTTGGTTTGTGATTCGTGAGAATCAGACCATTGAGATTTGAGGAAGTTGAAGTTGATCTGTGTGGATTCTGTTGTTGTTCCTTGCGTCGATAGTCTTCTTGATTGTGGTTGTCAGGCGACGTGTCCCATTACTTGAGAACAGCGGTGCAAGATGATTAAATCCCATGGTGGACTTTGTTTGAGAGAAGTGTGCAGACCCTGGAGGTGTTTCAAGTTTAACCCTTTGGATTTGTGTGAGGTTCTTTATGTTGAAAGTCTACCTGATATGTTGGTCAGACGGCTTGTCCTGCTAGTTGAGAGCAGCGGTACAAGATGATTGGACCCTTAGGTTAGCTTTGAAATGATTTGTAGTTGATGTTGATGTAGTAGTTGATGTGTGATGAGTCATTTGCAAGGATTGTGACTTATGTGGAAGTTCGGCCGAGTGGTTGCAATATTACGTGAAGAATATTGTTTGAAGGGGTAATATCCGGTGTGGTTCCCTATCGTGATGAAGACATGTAGAGTTTGAAAGAGTTGATAGGAGGAATGTCCAAGTAGAGAAGAACTCGATGCTAGTGTGATTGTTGTGGTGTTGATGATGGAAGTGGAAAATAGATGTGTGTTTTGTTGACATTCCCACGCATAGAGAGATAGTCCTATTTCCAAACAGTTGTTGATTCAAGATACAGGTTCTGCAGGTTCCTTGACATTCGGTGAAGAGCTCAAGTCGAAGATAGAGATGCAAGCCTTGGTATTGAAGATCTTGTTGGTGCACTTGGGATTTTGAGTCAAGGGAGGATTTGTTAGGTATCTCCTCAAATTTTCAAGCCCATGAAGTAGGTCTTGGGCCTAGAGCCCAATTATGTTGTAATAATTTGTGTAGGGTTTTAGTACAAATAGGAAACTTTGTACTAAACCTACTTGGGGAAAGAAGAGGGAAAGTAAAGAGAAGCAAGATGCAGCTACTCAGTTGAGAGATAGCTCTTGAGTGAGAGGGGTAGAATTAGGATTGAGTGAGTGGAGATCCTCTCTAATTTCTAGTTCCTTTGTAGTGATGTGCATCTTCTTCCCGGAGCACGTTGGAGGTGAATGATGGGAAACACTTTGTAAGAGAATGTAAGATTAGAATTGAGGGAGAGAGGCACCACATATGTAAACTCTTCTATTCTTATGCTAGTGAGAAGTATTTACCGTTCTCGTAGACGTAGATCTATAAAAGATCGAACTACGTAAGTTGTTTGTGCTTCTTGTTGTTGATTGCTTAGTTGTTTACTTTATTCCGCTGCATTTGTAGTTGTGTTTGTTGATAGAAGTATAAACAACTAGCAATTTGAGTAGTGGGAGGCGTGGTTGATTGATATTGTATGGTTGAGCCATTGTAGTTGCTGTAATAGCTAGCTTGTTTGTAGATATAGTCAACTGTTTTTGGGTTGTTGTATGCTGTCTTGAAAACAGCTAGCTGGTTTTGTGAAAGTAGCTAGCTGGTTTTATAGTGTTACATTCTGTTCAGTAAACAACTAGCTGGTTTTGCACTGTTGTTAAAAATAGCTAGTCAAATTGTAACAGCTAGCCAGTTTGTATAGCTAGATTGGGTAGATTGGGTTATTACTATATGTTTGTTGTGTACATGGCTCCCTGTTGCTGTTGATGCTGTTATCGGTGCGTCCGCCCCCTCCCAACAAACACAAGGATTTATGTGGAAAACCCCCTTCGATGTGAAGAGTGAAAAACCATGAGACCAAAAGGCCTATCAAATCCACTATCACCAAACAAGAGTTGGGTACACATGTTTCTAGCAATACAACACAGATATCTAGTCCTTACCCAAGATAAACTAAGCTACAAAAGACACTAGAATATCAATACAAGATCAACTAAACTGCAGCAACGTTCAGAATTCTATAACTCTCAACCTGGACGTAAAATACCAAAACCTTTCTGCAGAGATGCAGAGTGATGAGCCTTCTAACTTCAGTAAAAATTTTAGAGCAATCCGACTCTGTTTGCCCCTCCAATCAACAAGAAATTAGAATCGGCTACAGTAAACCCTTACTGAAAATCTCCTTTCTTTTGCTACCCGTATTTTTGCAGTTAAACTCACTTCTCCAATTCTTAATTTTTCGGTTGCTGAATTGCCCTTTAAGTGGTCAAAAGTGATACCAAAACATTTTCTACCATTGAGCTTTTCTCCACATATGTTAGGAGCCTAATAATCCCAAGAAAAATAAAACTTTAAAAAATAATTTTAAAATTTATTATTTTCTCTCATTTATTATAAAGTTGTTTAAGATTTTTTATTTCAATTGAAAAAATATCATAAATGAAATATATGACAAACTAAAACCCTCATAATAAAGACTGGAGGGAGTATAAAGCAAACTTTACCTTGCGTGCAACACTCATGAGCACCAAATAAACTGATTGATGTAAAATAAAAATAAAAAAATTAAAGGTAAAAAATTCATATGTACTTTTTGACCTACCAAAAAAAGAAACATTATCAAATGAATTAACAAAAGCGGTTAAAAAAAGTAAAATTAAATTAAAAAATTAGATTACTAAACATGATCGATCACGACCTCTTCTAAGAACTATTGCATAAAATTCAATGAGGTAGATTCTTATATTGATAAAATAAATTATTTTTCTTAGATAGAAAAAATATTACTTTATTTAATATTATACTCGATATACTCCAAATATTACGCATAATATAATTTGTGGAAAAATAAAATATAAAGGTTGTGCTACAATTTAATCAAACTTGGGTTGTCTTTACTGCATTTAATCATGGTTTTTTTTTTTAGGTTGTGATAATAATCTTAAGCCCAGGATCAATACTTTAAAGTTTTGTAAATACATTAGTCCTTCATCGTAATTTCACCTGGGGCAAAGAAAATTACACTAATATATAAAAAGGGGCAAAATGAAATGGAATTGGTAGCGGCAGATCAGTGTGGGCGAAATCGGAGAAGATGATCGTCTGCGTCGCCGTCGTAGGCCACCAGGTACTACCCTCATCTCTTCCCACCTCCCTTCAATCATTCTAATAATGATTAGCTGAAAAGAAGAAATCTCTTCTTTATTGACTAGAAAGTTCTGACTGACTGATCTTTTCTTGATTTTCTTTTATCTTTTTTTTTTCCCGGCGAGAAAAGAACAATCCTTTGTACATACAGAGCTTTACCGAAGCGGACGATGCCCTCAAGCTTCATCACATAGTTCATTGCTCTCTTGATGTCGTCGATGAGAGAGGTTTTCTTTTTCTTCACTTTTTAACTGTTTTTATTTTAGTTGTTATCTAGCTCATAGAGATCTGTTGGGCTTTTATCAAGTTTCGGGGATCCGATGTATCTCTCAGAAAACCAATCATTGCCAAAATTACGTTTAATGATATCTGTACCGATGAAGTTTGGAAACGGGGTCTTGATTTTGTAGTTTATATTTGCAGTTTCAGCTGATTCAGTAGATAAGGGCTTCTTTGGAGTAAATGAATCAGTTCCCATAACATAATTATTGATGATACATTTAGCGATCAGCTTGGAAGGGTTTTTTGTATTATACATATTCAGCAGATTCAGTTGGTGAGAGCTTGTTTGGACTTTACATTACATTCTTACCGCCGATTAAATAATTAAAATTTAAAATTAAATGGCTTATTGTAGGAACATATTCCTCAGTTTCCTGAGCTCGAGAACATTCCAAATGCATGTGATGAAGTCCATAATAGCTTTGCAATTTTTTGGTTTTTATTTGTTTTTCCTTATTAAATCTACTCTTATTAGTAACTTTTTTTATTGGGGGCCTAGAGAGGTTCAGCTTACTCAGCATTCTGAGGTAGGTGCTTGAGGAAGTATGATTTCTCCGTCATGTGAAGAAACCCTGTTGATCATAAGCATATAATGCAACCGATGTGTTGTTTGATCTTATACATTGTAATCTTTCTGTGACTAGGCTGTTTGGCTCGTGCAAGATGATTAGCTTTCATTGTATAACATGTGTGGTCCTTACACTGCAATTTACGTTATTGGACCTATTACGAAGCAAAATAAACCAGATTTTCAAAGTATTTTACCCTGTTTAGTATGAAGTGCCGAAGATTTGACAGGAATATATTGTATTCAAACAGTAGTTTTGACAGGAATATATTGTATTTAAACAGTAATTTTTACCATGTGAAGAGAAAGTGTTGAAGAAGCTCCATTTGTAATTTGGGGGCTGGATAATGTTCTTGAAAATTTTACTAAATGTTATGCTCCCTCTCATCCATTCTAATAGTCCATTTCACTGTACTATTTTAGTTCAACAAAGTGGGCTGACAATTGGACAGAGGTAGTACAAAGTTTGGACATGTCTGCAATCTCTTATCTGTGAAAGTTTGGTCTTTTATATATAATCAGACATGCAAAATCTTATGCTTGTTCCTTTGCAGTGAACAATCCAAAAAAATCTGGCCCAACTCTGAATGAGACTTTTCTTGGGATGCTATATCCCACTGAGAACTATAAAGTGTAAGTACATATGTTCATCTTTTATGCATGCCAATAGGTGGTGGATGGTTCGGGGAAGGGGGGGAGGGGGGTGGGAATCGACATTTAGCTACATATGGAGTTTTTTATCTTTGCTTCTTGGTTTTTTTTTTTCCTCCCTTTTGCTGAAGTGTTTAAAAATTTAGCTACCTACTGTTTCATAAATATATTGCCATGCTTTTTTTTTTTTTTTTGCAGCTATGGTTATTTGACCAACACTAAGGTGAAATTTATTCTGGTGACAACGGATCTGGACGTCCGAGATGCAGACGTGAGAAATGTAAATATCTTTGCTCCTTTCAACTCCATGTGTTTATCTTTGCTCCTTTCAACTCCATGTGTTTATCTTTGCTCCTTTCAACTCCATGTATTTATTTATTTCTTTTTCTTTCTTTTTTTTTGTTTTGGTTTTTTTTGGTGGGGGGGTGCGGGTTTCTAGTTCGTTTCAACCCTTTCTAGTTATAGCGTCACTTAATTATTCATGCCGAGCAATAAAAATGGGGAGTAGCCTAGCTGCACTCTCCATTAATGGGGTATAAGGGTTTTCTATAGGGTAGGGTGATAGGAGGTGGTTATACAATTTAGCCATGGCAACTAATTTTGATTGCATGGCCAGTTTTTCAGAAGATTCCATGCCGCGTATGTTGATGCAGTATCGAACCCATTTCATGTTCCTGGAAAGAAAATTACTTCTACGATTTTTGCGGAAAGAGTGAGCAATATTGTCAAGTCTTTTGGATTGAGTTCAACTGGATGATGGTACTTGCAAATTGATGGTTTGCCCCAGGGTAGATTGTGGTCATCAGCTAATTTGTTGTGTTTCGGCTGCCTTTGTGCACAACTACGAGGCCAGCAAATTTGCTAGTGTAGAATATAAGTAGGACGATTTATCAAGAATTTAAAAGCTACAATGTTATCCTTCCTTTTCCTCTTCTAGGTTGCTAAACTAAACTGTTCGTCTGATTTCCGGCTTGCTTCATGTAGTAGTAAAAATCACAGTTTTTCTGTTACAAGGAAGAAATCCTGATTAATGTTTTGCATTTGGTCATGGAGAGGAATGCCCCTTTTTGTAGTTAGTAACCAAACTGTGTCGACTGCAATGGGTGAACAATTTTTTTTTTTTTCCTTTCTGGTGTTAGCATTTTGTGTTGCTAATATGTAATTTTCTTTTGTTTTTACGTCCAATCAGTATACAGTGTCAAAAATACTTCACCATTTGCAATGTTGCTAAACACAGTAAACTGAAACTGAAAGATAATTGCCAACCGATCAAAAACATTTAAACCCAACAGAAATATGGTACCAAGACAAAAGTCCTCGAGTACAACGGTGGCCTAATTAAGAACGCGAAAATCATTAAAAAGCGCAACAATTTATAGCTGAGAATGTATTTAAAGTATGATTCTGAGTAAACACATTAGAAGAGATTCAAGAAGCTTGTCACAAAATAAAGACGAGAAATTCCATCAGCGTATAAATCATAATATCAAAGACATAAGAGAAGGATTCCATGAAAAAACAGAAGAACATTAAAAGCATCTTGCGATGATGTTTAGAACTCATCATCGTCCTCTTCAGCTATATGCTTAGCAAGCTCTTGTTCTTGCTGTTGTCTCTCTCTCCTCTTCTCAGCACTCTCTTTCTCCTTATGGGAATTTGGTGGATAACGTAGAGCGCGAACTGCATCATTATGCATATTCAGACAGAATGCTATCCTCGAGTTGAAGGCAACTTGAGGCTCGTTGGTGGAGTAAATGTCGCCCGTCTCCTTTGAAACCATCCACCCATTAGCATGATCTAATGTGGCATCAATTGCACCGTCTCTGATTGCTTTGGCAACAATGCTCTCAGCATCAGCAACAGGGTTTGGTGAATCCAGTCTCAGCTTTCTAGCAACATCAGCCAGCGAAATTCTTGAATATGAGATGCTGATGTTTCGAAGACCAGTCCGAATGACATTATGCCGAAGCCTTACTATCAGATTGTTTGTTCGGTCTGAGCTGAATGTGCTAGAGAACTTCTCAGCAACTGACCTGAAGAGTTCCAAGTCTCCAATCCTGACAGCCTAGACAATCAAGCAAAATATTATATACAACAGAAGCACAAGACAGAAGATTTAGTAAAATTCTACAACCAAATGGTCTTTAAATCATCTCCAGTAATTTATTTATTTTTATTAAAAATCAGGAATAGACAGCCGTGCATGACTTACCGGCCCATTAATACTTCCACTAGAATTATGAAGCCTAAAGGATAAATAATAAAATCTTATCATTCAAACACACATTGTTATCGCTGTATTTTTCTTTCCACAAATAATACTTTCCTTTAATGCAATCAATAAGCACATCCTTCCAATGCATTAGTCACTGGTGAGACCTCTCAAAACAAGTGCAGAAAAATAACAATCTTATTCTAGCATAGTAATTGAAGAGATGAACGAAATAAATTCTAAACCTGAAAAACCTCAACTTACATTTGTAAGTTCAAAGTAAGGTCTCAAAGCCTTTTCCATCCCCTTTTGCATAAAAACAGTCCGCTCAGGTATCTCTCCAAGCAGTAGACGGACAATCACGGCCCATTTAGTACACTGAATCCGAAAACCAAGAGCAGCAACAGGAGCTTTTCTTGCAGCTTGCAACAATGATTCTTTAGCATCAGTATACTCCAACTGAATAGTCCTGATCTTTCCAAGGTAGAACAAGTATCGGCAAAACTACATAAGAGACAACATAAGGATTAAAACGCAGATTGCAGAGAGTATACATCAGCATGACATATGAGCCAAATGTCAATATCCAGAATCTATACTCTCTATGCCAAGTTCTCCAGTCAATTAAAAGTAGAATAAACTAGACTATACATCTTTACTTTGCCAACAAATTTCAGTCCATTTCCATCCAAGCAAAGAACAACTAAGAAAACGGAGAATTAATTTCGTTCATCGAGAACAAAATTAGGAGTAAGAGTTAAAACTTTAACAGCTTATACCTGCTGATTTGAATGAGCTTCAAATCGCGGTGCCTTGGACCTCAGCTTCTCCGCTTGGTCATATAAATTGTAATGCAGGTAATTACGAAGCAACAGGTTGAGTAATGTTTCCTGCATCAAGAAATCCAGTGAGCATGCAATCTACTACTAAGATGTTAAATCAGCTGTAGCATAAAATATATACAAACCTGACCCAATTCATCATGGCGAAGGGTGGCAATCCTATGTAGACTAAGCAACTCTCTGCAGATTAACATTAGATATCAGGAAAGTACCATAAGCCAACCTCAATCATTCACTAAATGTATCCACCCAAATATTAAACATGACACCACTGCATACTTTTTAGAGCAACCATGTATTGTACGAATCAAAGTTTCAGATACAATAGAACTCACCCTCGAATTTCAGCAAGATCATCAGTGTACTCATAGCTGAGAGAGTAGTAGTTGTATAGCCTGGATGACAAAACATCAAGAGTTCGCTTGTTAAGGCTCTTCAAGCGAGCAATGCCAGCTGAGGAACATGCTTTAGCCTGAGAAAGAGCAAAAGGTTGCAGTTTCTTAAAATCGAGGGTGTAGTTTCATAATAGACTACAAGAGCAAAGGGGTATAGTTCCTAAAATTAAGCACCATTCTAGAGTATGCGACTATGTGATCATGAAGCGATAAAACCCTACCTCTTGGTATCTCTTTTGATCGATAAGAAAAATGAGAACAAGCAAATAGCAGTAAATCTCAAGTTCGGGCAAAGGATGTTTTGCAGGAGTTTGCACCACAGATGTAGCAGTGTCAACTTCCATATCCTGCTCATCATCCTACAGGAAAGAAGAACTTCCAAATGTAAATTCATGAAAAAAGAAAATTAAAAAAAAATTAAATTAAATTGCTCAGATAATCCTCAAGGTAAATCTTTTAGCCAAATATGAAAGGACAGAAGAGCACCACAAAGTTGAGCACATTCTCACCTGAGGGATGTATGAGGACAACCTGGAATGCACCTCAGATCCAGGAGGAAGTGCAAAGTTTAAGAAAGCAGAAACCACGGATCCCTTCAACTTCTTCCTCAGAGCAATAGTGAGACGAACAGCTCGGCCAATTCTTCTAACCTCCCGATCATATGCACCAGTCTCAATCAAAGAAGCAATCTCCTTTAAATCTGAAAGAGACATAAACGCCCAATTAAACAATACACACCAAACCCTAACAAAGTAAATGGACTAGTAAAGTTGGGCAAAAACACAAACGTTGTAAAGTGGATGGGCCGGCGGAGGTAACGGAATTCGAGGGAGCTGGTTGCTCCTGCATCTCAACATCCTTAGTCATTGTGAATAGCACTGAAACAGAGAGCAGAGAGAAATCAGTCGGAGATATAATATGACAATAATAAAAAGCGGCACCCCATGAATTTCATAATCCTATTCCAATCGGGAGATTCAGTTCTAATACAGTCAAGTTTAATCCCACAAAACTAAAACAATCAAATCAAACAGATGCAAAATAGCCCCAGACGATATCTGGAACTGACAAAAAGAAAAAACCCTAACGAGATTTTGCGAAGTTAAAAACCTGGGTTTTGAAGACACCGCTGTAGAAATTCTAAAGCTTAGATAGAAACCAAATGGAAGCAAGGATATCGAATCCCCGTCTCGTTTTTATATAATTTGTAAAAATAAACCGAACTTTTTCTTTGGCAACAAGTTAAATAGTGAATTAATTCTTAAAAAAAAATATTAAAAAAAAGGAGAAAAAGGCGTGATTTGGGAAATTTGATGGATGGGAGAAGAATTTTGGAGAAGTAGATGATTAAAAGGGTAAATCGAACCTGATTGTAATTCAGAATGGAAAACCCTACCGCCGGCTTCTTCTTAGTTTTGGGGGCCTTCAGAGATGAGAGTCTCACTGAACCTTCTTCAGTTTTTCTAAGGGCCTGTTTGTCTTGCATAAAAAGAAAATAAAAATCTATTACAGAGTACAACAACTTCAGTAAAGCTTTGCTTCTTTTTTTTTTATAGTAAAAACCCACAAATTGTTTAACAGTTTTTTTTTATTCTTCTTTTCTTTTTCCTTGTTTTTTTTTTTTACCAGTAATCAGCAGAGTTATATTGACATCAATGCCAAAATAGGATCAAATGATCTTGTGTCTGTACATGCTACCTCTAGTAGCCAAAAGGGGAAGTTTTCCTTCCAGCTCCAAGGGACATTTCCCTCCAAAATGAATTCTCCTAATCTAAAAGAAGTTCTATTACAACATCTATGACCAAAAGAATAATTACAAGCAAGAAAAAAAATTCTAAAACGAAAATATCTTCAACTATGATTAAAGCTTCAGGTACCGGACACCTTTTATCATTCAGACAGTCCACCAAAGTGTTAACATTTAACATCTAACGCCACCTGTACATTCTTCCACAAATTCATTTGTATCAAAATTAGAGCCACTCGAACTGCATCTAAGGTTGCCACCACTGGATTTTGAAGACGATCCCTGACGACTGCCCAAACTTGCAGAAGACTGGCTCTACAATCTCTAGCGACAATACCTACTCCAATTATACCCGCATACTGTTGATTTTTCCTTGTCAATTAATAACTTTTATTTGTTTTGGGTGGGAGGAGGTGTCAATTCTTTTCTTGTTTCTTTTTTTTTTTCCCATTTACTTTAAGAATAAAAAGTGGCAAATTTTAGTTAGATTTTACAAGTAATTGGAATTTGGTTTCCACTTGAAGGACACTTTTTTTTTTTTTTTGGTAAAAGACTTGAAAGACACATTATTCATCACTTCAATATAAGATTCATATATTTGAATTAATACAACAGAATGGAAAAACTATGATGCCTGTTTGAACATTCACTCCCTTCAAAAAGCTCTCATTTTAAACGGTTTCACTTGCAAGTTGCAAGGAGAATAGAATCCAATTACACTACCATCATCTCCAGGTCCAGGGTCAAGGTTCAGACTTGAGACTTCAGACCTCACATCTCGGATGAAACTTCCGATCAAGAAGACACAACGTTCTACAGTAAGTAAGCTCTTCGGGCTGTATTTGCAGCAACCAAAATCCCCTATCGAAACAATGTGAGAAAATAAATAAAGTTTCTCTCCCCCAATGTAACCAACACTATATCCTATATCAAGGAATACTTTGATAACCCTTACAATCAAAGGGTTACCTATCATCTGCACTAAATAAGCCCCATACACCTCATCCATCTTCATCGGTAACTTGATCTTACTTGTTGCTTATCCCCGTTTCTGGAACTTGATATGTCTCGATTCCCACGCCCAATAGGTGGCCTTGAAGACCTAGAACTTCTTTCATACTCAGATCCAGCCCTTTGCTTGTATCTATTGACCTCTACTGGTCCACTATTTTTCTCAGGAGCATTCCTCTGTGCGTTAAAGATACCGAAATTTGGAGTAGGGGAAGAACCAGGAACCTTTGGTGGAAAACCTTGCTGAGGAAACCTGTGTCCATTAAATTTTGAGGACTCAATGCCAGTTCCCTGTTGAGTTTCTCGACTTTGACGTGGTGATGCATTCATCTTTGCTTGGGGTTGCCCCAATATGTTTGGGGAACCGGGCACTGGTTGGGATGTTCCATGAGCACTATTTGGACTCTTGGAGACCATTCCCCGATTCTCGGAAATGTCAAAGAGTTGGTCAAATCTGTCATTTGCATGAACAGCAGTCCAGCCACTGTTTTTTGTCTCATCAGCCTCTGCATCCGCCGATTCTATAGCTGCTTTATTGTCTTTATTGGCTTTCTTTCCAGAAGCTTTCTTTGATGGACCATACTTAACATGCCTGATAATAATATGCGCCTGATCCTTATCCTCCACTTTCGTTTGACTTTCAACAATAATGATATCTTCAACCTACACATTCAAATGTCAACAACATTCAATTGTCAACGCAGAACTATAGTACTTGATATGAATTTAAGGTACTTATAGTGTGTGAAAAAAACAAAAATAAAAAAATATGTAGTATCATATCCCTTAAGTCCCAATGGAAGCATTTACCAGAGCAGCAAATCGAGACAGCAACTTTGTTGAGCTCTCACCGTTTTCGGAACTGCCATTTCCAACGGCTACACACTGATTTTAAAAGGCAATAAACGGATACTGTGAGCCATCTTGAAAACAAGATTTAACGAGTTTTCCTTGAATCACAAAGTACGATGGATAAGTACAATTTTGGAAGAATCTGGGCTTCCCAGCAAAGTTGTTTATAACTCAGTTAATAATCAAAAGAAAGTCACTTCTCAGAATAAATCATCACTCCATACTGAAGCAAGAAAAACAGCTTAAAAAATACCTTCACTCGATAACCACTCTCCATGAGTCTCTTAGCGGCATCTGCTTTAACTTGTAAATCTTTCAGTGTCTGAGGGGCCAAAAGAAAAATGTTCATTTTAATTCAAAATGAGGCAAATAATGCATAGCAGCAGATAAATTAGTAATCCATTATTCCTGGTCCTCCTCAACTCACATAAAGGCATTGTTGGTGCACAAACACAAAACAGACAGTATCAGAGCACTGGATGCTATCATGTAAACTACCATTCAAAAGCAACTACAACAACAAGAAGCTTTTATCCTACTATATTGGGTTGGCTACCTTGCAAAAGCCTTTCAGAATATTTAAAACTTGACAGCAATTACTCAAAAAACGACAGCTCACACACTTTTGTATTAAAAACATGCCTGAACAAAACAATAAGAACAAGAAACTCCAGCTTGCATGAATGGCTGTGTGACTTCAAGAAAATCACATTGAAACAAGCATAAAATTAATCGAGAAAGATATAAGATCAATCATAAAGAGTTTGAATGACAGTAAGGACTGGTGTGTGACAAAATGACTTACAATTTTACCAGAAAATCGAATTTCCTTGCAGGATCCTTGCCGTAATGTCACATCAGACTGCATTCAATAGATAAAAAATCAAACTTGGTTCAAAGAGAAGGATAAAAATGTTTTAAAAATCAAGTTTGGATATTGGAGGCCGAAAAAATCCATGTACAGCATGTGACATTTATAATATTAGACAAGGATCAACCCCTGCACTATCTAACTGCTAAATGCCTATTCATCGGCTATAACCAACAGGAGTTAAAAGGACAGTCAACTAAGGATAACCTATAAGAAAGCAACAAATAATAGTGCTGTCCGGGTCCTCCAGGATGCATTCAATGGTAAAACGTATAACATTACTCAGAGAGCATAGGTAAAAGCTTAACTACAAATGAGGGCATGAATGTACACAGAACAAATGTGCCAAAAAAAAATAGGGCATAACTTAAAAGATACCTTTTCCTTTGCACGCTCTTTCTCCTTTGTTTCCTGCTTGTATTTTTCTTTCAGGTAATCCTTGATCTTACAGACAGGAGGTGTGGCATTCCGTTGAACCTAAAAGCACGAAATAAATTTATGTGCAAGGAAAGCATTCATATTAGAGCCACAGATTGACAAATGTAGGAAAAAATGTTTACCTCCACTAAATCAAGGTCGAGACTCCTAGCCATCTTCAGAGCATCAAACTTTGACATAATGGAGTGCCCTAAAAGAATGCACGGATTAAAAAATCAAACGTTAAACAACTCATCTAAGAGTATCCAATTAACTTAAAATAGGGTCTCTTTCACACTTCTAAATATTAAGAAAACCATGAACAAACCCACCACATATTCTCACTAAAGTCCACTCTACAGGTTTTTTAAGACAGGACCAAACAAGATCACCTCCTTTTGCTTCAAATTCTAAAAAATTGAGGAATATCGTTGATTTCATAATAAGCATGACTGCATCAAAGCGTTTTCCTAGTTATTGCATGATAGCTCATCTCCGCTCACTTATAGTTACAGGAACGCACCTTTGAACCAATCGGGTAACCGAACAAATCATATTATTTGAGCCATTTTTATCTCCTCGTCAAAATAAAATGATAAAATAAAAATAAAAAACTCAAGACCAAATGTAGTAGAAAAGAAAAAGTCCATCTTGCCAAGTCCCGAACACCAAAAAGTTTCAAGATACTAGCCTAACCATTCAAATCTCAACAACCAATGAATCAATCAATCAATCAACCATATCTTTCAAAATTAAACAGCATAAACAAAGTACATTTCATCTAATCAGTACCTTCATCAGTGACAAGTCGAATAACATCAGCAGTTATCTGCTCGTTCAACCTAGGACCACTGTCCTCCTTCTCTACCTTCTTTGGCAACGGCTTTTGTTTAAGCTACGCAGAGAGAAGGGAAAAAAGGTTACATAAAACTTGCCCCAAAATCAGCCCCGATATTTTATTTTTTTTTTTACCTAGCTACTAGTTGATGATAGAAAAGAAAGACTGACTCCAAGAGCACTTGCTACAAGGATCCAAGTCCAGAAATAGCTGTGGCAGGATAGTATTCTCGTATCTCTAGTAATACACTTGGTTTAAAAGCATCTATAAGAACATGCCGTCTATGATTTATAGCTACTTGTACAAGTCTTGAAAAGGTAAAACTAAATTCTCAACAAATAAAACATTTAGGTTAATTATCAGCGATCGCGATAACATATGCAGCGCAACATCAAAGCTATCCGAGAACCAATTACGCTAGAAATCAATCGGAAAAAAAAATCTGTTTCCAGAAATAAAAATCCACTTGATAAACAAACAAATAAATAAAATTTTGACATACATAATCACCTTCTTCTTAGCATAGTATCTGACATTGGTAGGCATCTGGAGCTGGGATTTCGGGTCAGGCAAAAGTGGGTGGTTAAGAAACCAAATTCCGGCGGGTTTGGAGGCAATGGCGAAGACCGGAGTAGGAGGAATTTGAAGGTTGGAGTAGGACCTTGTCGATGTGAAATTATTCCATAATTTCGAGGGGATTTGTGACTGCTTCATTCGTTTCCAAAACGCCATATTCTCCCCTTCAATAATTAAAAGAAGAAATGGGAAAAACTGATGAATTTTAAACCCTAAGCAAAAACCCCGGGAATAGTAGGAGAAAAGGGACCTGGTCGGGATCAACCCGGGAGGGGGAGAGGGAGACCGGAGAAAGAGAATTATGCCGATAGCTATTGGGCCATGATTTTTTTGGGCTCCAGTCCAACTTTTAATCAAACTGGTAGACTAATTCTGAGCCCAAAATGATTATGATAACCCAATTATAGGCCGAATAAGTCCAATTAGCTCCACATTAAACCCCAGTCCACACAAATTAACTTAAAATTATGAATAGTGAGTGTGTGATATGGATTGCTCTCTCTCTGGAAAAACAGCGAAAGTGAAGGGGAAAATCAAAATCAAGCAATGTATGATTGAGATAGTTGGCTGGACTTTGGGAAGTGGGCATTTTGGAAGCTGACTGAAGAAATATTTGTAGTTTTGTACTCTCTTTTTTTTACCCCCTTCCATTTCTACTGCTATTGCAACTAAAATGAAAGGTTTTGTCTATTATGATGAGCATGCTTCCATCGAACTATTGAACTAAATGTGTCTATTTGTAAACGTGACACATTAGATATATTGCCTGTTGGGCTGACAACTTACCAAGACAAGTAAAATGTGAATTATGATTAATGTTCAACGTGTATAAAATATTACATTCCAAGCAATTATTAGCTTTTCACTTGTGATTGTGGCATGACCTGAGTTTCTAACTAAAATTCGACCGAGAATCGGTACAAAATTCAACGTGTTTTTGTCACATGAACTACCCCTCGAGCCAAAAAAAGAAATATGAGTTGCAAAAGTGTAATGTGTACAGTAATTGTTAAACTTTTAACGGTTGAGTAGTGTTTGAATTTGAGGATCCAATACTTTTGAATGATACAGTTACGATGACCGGACATTAATTCTTTCTTTTTCCTCCTTTATGTGATATTTGTCGATGTGAGCATCTTTTAGCACTATTCTAAAATAGATAGTAACGTGTATTATTGATAATGTTAGACATAAAAATTAAGTGTCAAACCCTCCACATTTGGCACTATCAATCTATCAAATTGCATATTCCATGACAAATTTTATATGAGACTTGTCACAATTTGAGATGTTTCATAATAATTCCGAACATTTCTTCATTAATATTGAAATACACTAGCTATTAAATCATAATGGAAAACTTATTTAACACCTAATATCAAAACAAAATATAACAAAAAAGTGTTAATTTTTTTAATTTCTTTCTTGGGGCCACTGCTACTCAATCCATCACCAGCACGGAAGAAAGTAGGAATTATAATCCATTTAAAGCAAGTCATATTTGAGTAATTGAACCCAAATGGAGTCCAGAAAAATGATGTGTGTGGAGTGTGTTTATAAAACATCCAGAAAAATTGTTTCAAAAAGAAAAGAAAAAACACATAAAAGTAAAAGTAATTTGCAAATCACTTTACATTATCTAAGAAAAATCAAGCAACGATTCAAATTTTGTTGGTTAACATAATAATGTATATAATTGGAGTAATTATAAATTATATAATAATATATATATATATATATATATACTAGTGATATCTGGCGCGACCCTGGCCCAATATATCTGTAAATCTTAGAAATATTTGTATCTGAAAAAAAAAATATTTTGTATTTGGTCCGATATATTTTAGAAATGTTTGAAGAATTTAGAAATTTTTTATAAGATTGATCATACAAATGTTTGTATTTGGCATAAAAAGAAATTTTATTTGGCCCGGAACGTTTTAGAAATGTTTGAAGATTTTAGAAATGTTTTATAAGTGTTACTTCTTAAATATAAATAAACTTGATCAAATATATGTCTTGAAGTAAATGTTAGACAAAACATAAAAGTATCCTAATAAGTTTCAACATTAGTAAGATGATTTATTGATGTTCTTCATTGATTGTGCCATATCAATACTTAGTTTTGGAGATTTATAATAATTTTGTAGTAAGCTTCCTTCAAAGGGTATACGCTTAATTGTTACAACTATTTCTTCCAAAAGTTTATAAGTAGTAAAATATAAAAAATGTAATTTTGAAAATAGTTAAGTTGAAATTAGTTGATCACAAATACGAGAATGAAAATAATGTAAATTTGCATAAGTTTCAAGGTATAGCAAAAAAGAACTCACCTCACTATGGCAAATAAAAAAAAAGTAAAAGATAGACCATTAAAAATTGAGAAATTTATTTTTTTCTGTAGGTAAAAATGATGTGTAAAAACACAAATTAACGTAGAAACATCATTCCTTCCCTCTCCACCTCAATTTCATAAAAGGCTTCCCCATAAATTAGTTAGAAGAAGCGACCTAAACTATTTATATGATGATGAACTCCAAAAAGTCCAAAAACCAGTTCCAAAAAGTATATTATTGAAAGCCCGAACATAAAAAAAAATAACGTTCTCCATTTGCAAATAAAATAAAATAATAATAATAATAATTGGGCAACTGGGAGTATAAAACAAAATCAAAAGCAATTAAACAAAGAAAAAACACACTTCATAACTGACCATATACGGAAAAAAAAACCGAGACTCCATAATTGAAAATAGAAAACCACTCTAATTGAATGAAACATAAAAAAGAAATTTAAAAAATCACACTTTGTAACAAAAACCCAATTAATCAATTAAATCCAAACAGAACTAAAATTATACAAAAATTCTAGGCTAACTAACCATATAAGAAATCACATCATATTGCTTGATAACGGCTACGGTAGCTGTAACGGATGGACGCGTAAAAATAATAGTAATAACACTGTTCTTGAACGGGAAAAACAAAAAATAATAAAAGTCAAACAAATAATCTGTAGAAATAAAATCATTTAAATTTTAATGCCTGTAATGGCACCACCACAATGACCGAAACAAGATCAATGAGAATTTTTTTTTCCTTTGTGTTTATATAGAGAGGTAAAGAGAATATTTTTTGAAGTTAAAATTTTATGCGATTAGGATGTAGTTGATCATCACTAATGAAAAGATTTAACATGCTAATAGGAAATGAGTATATTCCACCACATATTCTCAATTAATAATTGATGAGAAATTTGTTTTTTCTTTTGTGGAGAAGAGATTGATTAGGAAGTCGATTGTCGTGGAGACGGGGATGATGATTTTGATTTTTTATGAACTCGTGGTTTTTTTTTTTTTTTGGTTTTGGCCAAAATAGGAAATAGAGGTGGATTTGGACTGCATTTGACTTTTAAATTTAGGAGATGTGTAAATAAAAATTTATTTTAAAAATATGATGTAGAAATGACACATGGCAAATAGTAAGATATAATATATATATATATATATATATATATATCTTTTTTCTCTCTCTAATCTCTCTATCAAGGAAGGAAGGAGAGGGGGAAGGCTTCCAGGGGAGGTGGAGCCCACCTTGGTCCTCTTGCTTTGCTGGCTTGCAAGCTCTCCTTTGTTGGTTTTTAATGGCGTTTGTCTCCTGAGAAAGACCAGACCCCCCCAAAAGATTACAGTTTCAGCTCTCAAGAAAATTTGTACACAAAAAATAATCTTCTAACAAACAAACAAAAGCAGCAATCAGTGAACAGTAGTAAGAACTTTGGTCCAATCTCTCATCCATTTCCTTCTCTATATTATCCAACTATTATTGTTGTTCCTTCGGATTGTTCTCTTTCTTTTGTTTTCATTCTTGTTTTCCCTTTTGGTTGGTGTTGTGATTGTAGACTGTAGAGTAATCTTCCTGTTGATGCTCTGGAGGAAGCAAAGCCTTCTTTGAAATTTGATCGGATTTTGGTGGATGTAGTAGAGATCTGAGCTTCTTGGCTGGTAGATCTTCTCAACTGGAGCTCTAAAAGTGAGCTATTTTCACTAGTTAAAATAAGTAGTTTCGATCAGTTGTTGGAACATAATTTTGTACCTTTGTTGTTTTGGAGTAATCTATGAGTTGTTTTCCCAAGTCTTGGTATTGATTTTGATCAGATGGAATCATCGTAACATAATTGGTAATTTAATTTATTATTTTTCTTCTTTTTTTTTTGGGTTTGGAATTGAGTTTGAATTGTTGGACTTGAGCCGTAGTTAGTTTGCGATTTAGAATTCCTAATTGGGGCATTTCTTGTTTTTACTCCACGGGTGGAGAAGATTCGACCTTTTGGATTCACACTTGCGGACTTTATTTCTTTCCTTTTGAAAATAATGGATGAAGAAAGGAATTTGATTACTCCGTTTGATTTTTATCGTGGCCTCTGTTTATCTTTTTTCGTATTTGAAGTTGAATTTTCCCATTGCCTTACGGTTAGTATTAAGACTTGGATCCTGTTCTTATAGAAAAAGAGATAATTTTTTTATTACAGTTTCCAGTTCGTGCGTCATTTTTCTTTCTTTTCTGTTCAATGCTGAAAAAGGTCTTCCCTTTTCCCGCCTTTTTTTGTTCATCATTTGCTTGCCATTTACATTATTTTTAATTCTCAAGTTTTTATTCGGTTTCTGTATTATCATAGACAAAACCAACGGGCTATACTCGAGTAACTCAGAGTTTGGAGGAGGGAAGGTTCCTTTGTTTGTTGGAATCAAAAGTTTAAATATCTTTAGATGCGGATAATTTGGAGGGTGGTTTGGATGAGATGAGGTATGTTATCTGGGTTAATGAACTTTTTGAGGGCCTGTTTTCGGCCGAGAACAGAGCGTTGTGTTCACTCCGGTTCAGATTCTGGGGGTCGTCAAGATGGGCTCTTGTGGTACAAAGATATCGGGCAACATTATAACGGGGAGTTCTCGATGGCTGTAGTTCAGGCTAATAATTTGCTGGAGGATCAGAGTCAGCTCGAATCGGGCTCCTTGAGCTTGCATGATTCTGGACCATATGGTACTTTTGTGGGGATCTACGATGGGCACGGTGGCCCTGAGACGGCGCGGTTCATAAATGAGCACCTCTTTCAGCATCTCAAGAGTAAGTAAATTGAGATGCTTTTATAGTCAATATGTTTTCTGTTGAAAATCCTAACATTATTGTCATCTATTCCACATGTTGGGCAGAAAAAGGTTAGGGGTAGGATGAACTAGTCTTGCATCTGTATTATTTTTCTTTCATTGAAATGAGTTCATTTGTGAATTAAATTATATCATCCATACAAAAGCCACTTCTCTAAATGGGATTCCTAGTATCGGGTGTTGGCCAATTTTGTGATTCAGAATATACCAATCAGGGAAAAGTTGGCAGTTTTTGAGTCAACGAAGTGATGATGATTACATTTCAAGTTGTGCTGTTTGTTTGTGGTTTTTAAAGTTTCTGTTTAATATTTTCAGCTAATTAATCAAATATCATATTGCTTGTAGGGTTTACAACTGAGCATCAGTGCATGTCTGTGGAGGTGATACGGAAGGCTTTCCAAGCCACGGAAGAGGGTTTTCTTTCTGTTGTCGCTCGGAATTGGCCAATGAAACCACAGATTGCAGCCGTTGGATCTTGTTGTCTTGTCGGTATCATCTGTAGTGGGACCCTCTATATTGCCAATCTTGGTGACTCCAGAGCTGTTTTAGGGAGACTTATGAGGGCCACAGGGGAAATATTAGCCATTCAACTTTCAGCCGAGCATAATGCTAGTATAGAGTCTGTTAGGCAGGAGCTGCATTCTTTGCACCCCGATGACTCTCAGATAGTAGTTTTGAAGCATAATGTCTGGCGAGTTAAAGGCCTCATTCAGGTAGATTGTTTTCAGCAACATCGTCGCACATTCCTCATCAGTTTTATTTATGTTTCTTGGGTGGGATTGGTGGGATATGTGGCAATGACTAACTACAGTTTTAGAGATCTTTGATTGGTTATGTCCTGGTGCCCAACTATGCTGTTGATTGGTTAGTACTTCCAGTAATGCACTGACATGAAGCATCCCTTTGATTGTAACTTATGCTCTGTGTTGGTCTTATTTACTTCTTTATTTTCCTGATGAAGTCATTTGGTCAGTAAACACTCGCTTTTGGCACAACAGAATTGATTATCTGGTGAATCATGAATCAAATTATGCAGTTGCCTAATGAATCTGGGTCTGTTCACTAGTTTCAGCTTCCAGGGGTTTTTAACAATATGCATTCGTACTATGTTGATCTTTGTGTTAATGTACCAATAATATTCTTACAGCTTTTACGAGACTCATCGTTCCTAGGTTATTTAAATCTTCTTTACCATTCAGATTTCAAGATCCATTGGTGATGTATATTTAAAGAAGGCCGAGTTTAATAGGGAACCATTGTATGCCAAGTTTCGGTTACGTGAACCGTTCAGAAGACCGATATTGAGTTCAGAACCTTCAATCTCGGTGGACCAATTGCAGCCGCAAGATCAGTTCATTATTTTTGCATCTGACGGTCTCTGGGAGCACCTAAGTAACCAGGAAGCTGTTGATATAGTTCAAAATCATCCGCGAAATGTAAGATGTCTGTCCGTAATTGTTAATCTTAAAATTCAATGGCCTTCAATATTTTGTTTCTTTTTTTCTTTTTATATGTTTCTGTCCCCTATAAGGGACATGACATCCTTGTACTTCTTTTTGAAGAGTTAGCGCTCATCGCATTTCATTGATTCACTATAAAGCTGAGGAGTATGACTGCATGACTCTTCTCGTATTGGCAGTTTACCATTTAGCAAGTGTTTCAAGCTTTTTTTGGGTAGTTTGCATTGCTCCACATATTATTCTCAACTTAAAAAAATCAAGTGTTGATTTGAATGTTATTTAGAAGGATGTCGATGATTTTTGTTACTGGTGCGAAGTTGATTGAAATCAATAGTTTGCTCTGCTGGCCTCTTTTACCAGGGAAGCGCTAGGAGGTTAGTAAAGACTGCATTGCAAGAAGCAGCAAAGAAGAGGGAGATGAGGTACTCTGATTTGAAAAAGATCGATCGGGGAGTGCGTCGCCACTTCCATGATGACATCACCGTGATTGTATTGTTTCTCGACTCGCATCTCGTGAGCAGAGCCAGCACGACCAGGTGTGGGAACGTATCCATAAAAGGGGGCGGAGTAGTCAATCACCTTCCACTTAACATCCTGGCTCCTTGCACCCCTCCAGCAGAAGCTGTTGGGGGTTGATGGTGACGATCAAAAGGTGGTTCTGTTGTCCTATATAATTTTTGCTTATATTTTAAGTGATCCTTGATTTTGTTGTAACTTATTGTGAAGCTTATCATGTAATTTGTGAATATTGTGGTATTACTACTAGAGGAGGAAGAAGGATTAAAGGCGATGGCCAAATTGATTCTTTTTTAATGTACAACAACACTGGAGAACTTTCTTTTAACTGTAAAACTGGGGTTTTTATGAATCCTTTTCAATAGAAGAAAACACAAACTTCTATTACTTGTAGTCATCAAAGTCATATAGCCCCTGCCTTTGGTGTAACTTTGAGCCATCTTAATTCCATTCAATTTGTTCCACTGAGAGAAACCTATCAAAATTTTCATTTCATGCAATGCAAGGATAGCGTACATGTCATATGGAAACAAGTTAGGAGTCCTCCTCAGTCTAGATTAGAATAATAAGATCTCAGATCCCACAAGTCACTTGAACATCATCAAAAAGGTTTCCAAACTTCCAAAAGTCAACAATAATTAGTAGATTCATTTTGAAGTTGGAAACTGGAATATCAAAATGCTAGTATTACAACTATTCAACAACTATCCTATTAATTACTTCTACTACTACAAAACATACAATGTATGGTCATATACTTTACATAGGGGAATTTATTTACTTGAGGCCAAACACACATGGGAACAGACAAAGCAACAAAAAACAAACAAGTAGTACAACCAAGCAATTATTAAACTCCCATTACCCCATAATTTGCCTCAGATTAGAACACTAAAATACAACAGTAAAAGAACAAAAAGACACTGAACAAATTCCCAAGTCCCCTACATTTTAACCTCAGGAGAGGGAGAGGGTGTGTGACTGTGTGTGTGAGACACTGTGTGAATCGTATTCGTATAGGAGGGCCCTACTGACCTTACAAGCCCAATGCAACTTTCGATTTTAAATGACAATTATACCCTTAGACCGTTCCTTTGACCAGCATTAAGACATAAAGAGGTTTTGACTCCTCTTTTTACTCACTATTCTTCCTTTCTCATCAGTCAGCTTCTCTCTCCCTCTCCCGCCCGCTGGCTGATGTATTCATTTCATTCTCAGCAAAATCTAATGCTAAATTTTGATTTTGCCAGCCCTCAATTCAGTCACCACTTTTCTTTTGCACGAATTGCAGAGATTTTTTTCATTTTTTTTTGTACCGGTCCTTACCCGCGCCATTAATTACAGCTTACAAAAACACTCAAAGAGGAATCACTATCAATCTTTCTTCCTCCTCGAGCCCCATTACTTTTTTTTCCTTTCTTCTCTCACCAATTGTTACTAGTCCCTAGTTGAGTTTTACTACCGCTAACATCAAGCACAATAACTGCCAAACTAGTAGCAATCCTTTTTTCTTTTCCCCCTTTATTTTTTTTTTTTGCCAAAAAATAGAGCTAGTTTTTTGAGCTACTACATGAAAAAAAGGAGAGAGAAAAAGAACACTCACCACCCCCACCTTGGTCCTTTCCCTGTGAGTTGTGACAAGTGACTGCTATTTTTTTTTCTCTGGTTACTGTGTGTGGCTTTGGCCACCTCTTGCTTTCTTCTTCTCTCTTGCAGAATCTCTTCAGCATTTGTGTGTGTGTGTGAGTGTGTGATGTATGCATGTGGGTGTGAGTGTGTGTGATAATCCAAAAACCTTTCTTTTCTGATTTGCAGAAAGGAAGAACCCTGGGGAAAAAAACTGAAAAAATGGTAACTCATCAGCCTCAATGTGGCTTCTGTGACTATGTCAAAGAACCTTTCTTTCTCTTTCTCATTTTCCTACTGGAAAGGAAACATAAAGATGTTTCCTGAAGGAGGAAGAAGAAAGGAAGAAGAAATTGAGATGGTCCAAACTGAACCCTCACTTAAAAAGCTCAAACCTTTTTCCTTTTCCCCTGGAAATATCCAAACCCTTTTTACCCCAAAACATTTTGCTGCAAGATTCCAACTCTTCTCTTTTTTTTTTCTTTTTTTTTTTTTTTATAGCTTTGATAACACTGATTTAGGATAGATTCTAATAAGCCCTTTAACTAATTTCTCTGGAAAAGGAAGCAACAAGTCCTATCTTTTCAACCCACATTTGGCTCCAAGAATTCATTTTTGAAGCTTGAGATGGGGTGTGTGGCTTCAAGGTTGGAAGAGGAAGAAGAAGTAGTGGCCATATGCAGGGAAAGGAAACGGCAGCTAAAGTTAGCAGTGGAAAGAAGATATGCATTGGCAGATGCACATTACAGATACTGTCAATCACTCTATGGTGTTTCAGCTGCCATCAGGCTGTTTGTTGCTCGCCATTCTAACCCACCTTCTCCCTTCATGATCGATTTCCCGCCTCCCATTATTCCACAACCGCCGGCGCCGCCGCTCTCCTCCTCCTCCCCTGCAGCTGCAGCCGGCCTTCCTCCTCCGCCACCCCAACAAGAAAATGTGGTTGTTTCCAACCCGCTTTTCCTTCAGCAAACTCCATCACAGCCAACAAAAGCAACAACAACAGCAACAACTCCGATTCATCACTGCGAGTCCTGTCAATCCTCAACCGCATCAGAAGACTCGGACTCTTCTGAAGAAGAGGAAGTGGTGAAACTACAAAAGGAGCCCTCTTCTTCTAATGACTACTTTTACATGGAAATGATGCCACCTCATCAGTCAGTGATGATGCCATCTCCTCATAGAGATTTTGGTGGCTGGGATTTTTTCAATCCTTTCTTTACTAGTGTTAGGCCTGAGATGATATTAAACAATGGTGGATATCATGGGAATAGCAGGATATTGTGTGATGAGGAGGAGAATCTAAGGGCTGTGAGAGAGCAGGAAGGAATCCCAGAATTGGAAGAAGATGAAGAGGAGGGGAGGGATTCAGTGGTGGTGGCTGCACAGAAAGGTATTGTAGAGCAGCAGCAGCAGCAACAGAAGAATGAAGATGTAGAAAAAAGTAGGGGGATAGTAGTTGAGGCTGATGAAAGTGTGAACCATAGAGGAGGAGGAGGGGAGGTGTTGCAGAAGGGCTTAACAGTAATTGACACACCAGTGGGAGGTGGGAGGGAGCTGTTGGAAGCATTAGGAGATGTTGGAGACCATTTTATAAGGGCTTATGATTCTGGTAAAGATGTCTCCAGGATGTTGGAAGTGAACAGGGTCCAGCTGCAATCAAATATAGAAGAGATTAAAGGTCAAAAGCTTTCCTTGTTTATAAACTGTAAAGTTGCACCTTTCTTGATGATGCATGCATTGCATCCTCCTGTTTTTTTGTTGTAATAATCATGGGTTCTGCTTGCTTGATTACGAGTGGGACATGAGATTTGGTACATTCTGTGGGTGTTTTCATGTCTTGTGTTGTTTTGACATAGGAACTTCACATTTTTATCTCTTTTTTCGGTTTTCCTTTTTTTTTTTTTCTCTAATCGTGGGTCAGAAAAATTTTGCATTTCATTTAATCTATAGGGGGGGACTGAAAGCAGTTTTCTTCTGTTTTGAAGTTCGCTTAATCTACTCGGAGCTTTTGCCATTTGTTTGTGGCCTTTGCAAATACTTATAATCCGTTGTGAAAACTCTAAAAGGGCTGTCTTGAACTATCACATGGATCTTTAATCTTTTCCTCTTTTTTGAGTCTACCATTGTTGTCTAGTCTAGGAATAGTGAGGTTTAAAAAACAAGAAATTTGAATCTAACAACCAATCCTAGATTCCTTTTGGCATTTTTTGCATTGCTTTTGCCACTTCAGAAATGTCTGAAACATTCTATCTGGTCGAAAATTGCAGAGACCTCAAGAAAAAAGATTCAAGCTATTACTTTGCGCTCTACTTCGTCACGATCCTCATCATGCAAGAGTCTTGTAGCCTCCTCAAGTTCGAAAAGTTCTTTGACGACATGGAGTTCTGAGTTCAAGAATGATCTGTTTGATGATTATGGAGGAATGGCTTCTGGAAGCCATTCACTAACGCTAGGAAGGATATATGCTTGGGAGAAGAAACTCTATGAAGAGGTTAAGGTAAACAAACCACTCCGGTTGTAGTCTCATATAGCTTAAAATTCCTTCTAACAACTCAATATTTGTTCTAGTTGAATGCCTTCAATTACCATAAAGTTTGGGCCTTTTCTCTCTTTTTATTTTTCAGGCCGGAGACAACATCAGGAAGATATATGAAAAGAAATGCAGCCAGCTGAGACACCAAGATGTCAGAGGAGCTGAAGGTGTAGCGGTAGATAAAACCAGGGCTGCTGTAAAAGATTTGTATAGCAGGATACTTGTGGCGATCCGAAGTGCCGAAACCATATCCCAAAGAATTGAGAAGCTCAGGGATGAGGAGCTCCAGCCCCAAATCATGGAACTTCTGCATGGGTAAGGAGATATCATATGACAGGAGAAAAAATATGCTCAATGTATTAAGTGAGAAGTACTAGCATCCCTGGTTCGCTGACTTATTCTTCTTTTGATGCAGTATGATGAGATGCTGGCAAATTATGTTGGAGTCACATGAAATCCAGAACAAGATCATGTATGAAGTTAAAACTTTTACCTGTCCTACCTATGGGAAATTCTGCAATGAATCTCATCGACTTTCTACACTTCAGCTTGAAGCTGAACTCCAGAACTGGCGGACATGCTTCAAAGAATACACTGCTTCCCTTAAATTGTATGTTGAAGCTCTGGATGGGTGGATTTCTAAGTTCATTGTACCTGAAGAAGTGGAATTCCATTCCAGAAGCAGAAGTAAAAATTATTCTCTTCCACCAGGCCATCATCGGGTGAATGGGCCCCCGCTTTTGATATTATGTCGCGATTGGCTTGCTGCAATGGACAAATTACCCGACAAGGCAGTTTCAACTGCCATAAGGAGCTGCGAAAGAGATGTCAAAGCGTTGTGGATACAGCAGGGAAAAGAACAGCAACAGAAAAGGAAAGTTGACAGTCTGTCTAAAGAACTTGACATCAAGACTCTTGCTTTCCAGAAGGCCGAGAATCGAATATACGAATTTAGGCTCACAGACAAAGCTGATTCGGAGATGGAGGTGGAGGATCACAAAACCGAACAGTTAAAAGAGAGGAAAGATTTGTTAGAGAATTTCCGGAGAAGAGTTGAGTTGGAAAAATTAAATCACCAGAACTGCAGGCAAGAAACTGAAAGGATCACCCTGAACGGTTTCCAGACAGGTTTCGGCAGGGTTTTCGAGTCTATGACAGAGTTCTCCAAAACGGCTTTAAAAATGTGTAATGATCTGATAAGCAGCAACAGCAATGATGAGAAATTCCAGAATGAATCATCATTTTCTCATGGCTCCCAACTGGAAGATGGCAAAACAGGAGATCACCACTACAGTTAGAATTCAGTTATTTTGTTTCTTTTTTTAGATTAATTTCTGAGAATTCAGGTATTTGTATATGGTAATGTATCAAAGCAGCTCGCTGAGATACGGTGACGTGTTTTTAGTTTTGAGTTTTCCCCGAGCTTGTGGGCTCACCGATGTCCCCAGTTTTGTGAATGTTCTTCCTGAATTTCTGTCATTATAAGCAACAAATTATTGAGTTGCATAAAGATGGAGATTAAGGGGACAATCCTTTGTATTTATCAGTGCATATTTTCACCTGCACTAGTTCATCCATCAATTCTGAACTATTAGTATTCAGTCAGGAAAGCTGTTTTTTAGGTCCCTGATGCAGATTTCCTTGCTTCATATATGTGTGTGTGTGTGTGTGTGTGTGTGTGTGTGTGTAAAATATTCCAAGTCTCGTCATAATGAGTTACACTACGAGGATAACATACCTAATGGAATCTAGTTATCTTACTGCACAAAGGAAACTCTCACCCAGTTATCTTCTGTTCCCTTTATGTGAAAGCAATGAGAATTAATGATAATAACAAATTAAGAATAATATGTTCTCAACTATTACAAGCTCAACAAAAGTTTCATTGCAAAGCTAATAATATGCTTCCATCTAGGAGCTGTGAGAGATCGATTGATCAGTTGTGGTTGCTTCTCACATTTGACAAAATGCAGCTACTCCAGCACAACCAAAAAGTCATCGTATTGAGAAGTATAATGCTGCTGTACATTCCTACTAATTAATTGATGACAAGAAGTCCCGATCATAAAGTTCTAAATAATCTTCTATTTGTACAATTTTCTGGAAATACATCCTAGATGTGGAGCAATGAGTTGATGACACTAGGAATAAGCTTGGGAATTACAACTAAAACATCCGCTGAAAGATTGACTTGTCCTATCTTAAGCATAAGGAGAACAGGAACTGGGATAGGAGGATGAATTCGCTCACAACAGTGGCAGGAGAGTTTATACCAAGGAATGGGACGATGTCAACTTGCAACCAGTTCTCAACTGCTGAGCCAACCATGGCGCCAGCCGCAAGCCCTCCAATTGTTATTACTGTTGCCTTCCCTGCAGCACAACAAAATCACCTCAAACTTTCGTTTGTGGGGTTTTTTAGCAACCAAAACTTCAAGAAAGACAGATGAGGGTAGATGCTAGAATCACAAGCAAGTCAATACCTTTATTTTCTTTTTTGAGTTCAAACTCCACTTACAAACAATGAACAATCCTCAGATGTTTCAAAAGCACAGTGGGATAGCAGGTTTACTTTTTTGAAAGCCATACGAAATTGAGTAATAAGCATCAAATACATGAAAATATGTGTGTACAGTCTTACAGATACTATATCATCGAATCATGAAAAGTACACAAATATAGTGTGTATCCGCTCTAGAAACTCCTGCAACCAACATACTACAGAGATCCCAGAAAGGCGACGTGCACTCAGAAGCTTTCAGGAAAAAGTTGTAGAACAGTGAAACAGGTAAGCTCTGTATAAAAGATTATCAAACAGACACCAGATGACATTCACCCTTCGAAAGTATGCACGAAAAGATATAAAAACAATAAAATGAAAACAACGACAACCATCATGCAATAAATAATGTCTCAAAGAAATGTCCTCACCTAATTTGACATTTTTCTTTGTTATGAAGTATAAGGATGCTCCAAAACTAGTAGCAAGTAAAAGACCAGGCACATCTGCTCCAGTATATGGTGCCGCAACAGATGTTGAAGCTCCATTCACATAGGTTAATACCATTAAAGCTCCATAGACTCCTGCTTGAATACCTAACTCTCCAGTTGATGGTGTTTCAATGGACACAGGCGAGTTCCTCACTGTGTTCTGCAGCCACTGAGGCATTGGACGGGTCCTAGGAGGACTCACGGGTTTAACATCGGCATAGCGAATGCTGCTACTTACTACTTTTCCCGATCTTCGCTGTGATAAACTTTGCATTAATAATGTATCATAAGCAGCCTCAACCTGGAAAAACAGCAACCTCGTTAAGCACCTAAGAACTTGATACACAGAAAGCTGAAGGAAGAGGAAAAAAAAAAAGAGAGAGAGAGAGAGAGAGAGAGAGAGAGAGAGAGAGAGAGAGACTATTAGGCAGAGAAGGTGTGTTTGGTGCACCTCTCATCTTGCTTCTTTTCAGATTTCATTTGTGAAACAACTTTAATATTCATACACATGAAGATGCTAAAAACGAAATGGCTGTTCATCCGGATCATAGAATCCAACAAAAGAAACTGTGCTCACAAAGCATCTTTTCCGATTATTTATGAATAAATAAAGGGGCCTTCAGACTTGTAATTTCATCAGTAATGCCAAAATAGCCAAATGATTTAGGTACCTCATGATTCCTGAACCTAAGATACGCTAAAACCCCTAATAACAAACCTCAGTCTGAACCAAAATTCAAAAGGGAAAAATAGTAAAAACAACAAAAAGAAATTCTTTTTTCCATCAAAACTCAAAACAGCTGGGGACAAAGATTCTAACATCAAAACATCCACTAAATGAAAAGGCACAACGCAACAGGTTCTTTGATTAAAACTACTTCAAAAGAGTATTCAGAGCTAGAAAAATTAGTTTGTATATGCCGTTTGGAAAACAAAAAAAAATAAAAAAATAAAAATTCATAGTACCTAAAAATCAAAACTCTCTACTACTAACAATTTAATTAATAAAAAAAAATTAAGAAAAAACCTTGGCTATAGTTTCTTGGTCATCTTTACAAGCGGAAAGAATGGAATTTTTGGCTCGAACAATATCTTCAAAGGAAGCTCCCTCTGATATTCCCAGCACTTTCAACGCATTCTCCATTGACATCTCAAAAGGAGCTGAGTCATCAGCTCTGGAAGCAGCAAGAGGAGCATCAAATGAACATCGCCGCCTGCGATTCGCCGGCAACGAGAGGAAGGGCTGATCGAAATTCTTCACTCTCAAATGGGATGAGCTAAATAATTGGAATTGTCGACGAGTGGTGGTGGTTCTGGGCTGGAGGCCACCTGAGGCAGCTGGTTTACCGGCGAGGATGGTTCGGTCTGGCCTAACCGAAAGAGTTGAGGCCATTTGAAATCCCAGCACTATTAATAATAGTTTGGAACACTGGTGCAGGTGTGTAAGAGTTTTTTCTGGGCACTGAGGGGAAGTATCCGATGAAAATCCAAAGGGAGAGATTGTGGTGGTTTTGTTTGTGATTTGTGTGTATAGTCAATCTCCTGGTCTGGGCTTGCGTTTCTTTAGTGTAGAAGGAAAGGGGATGACGTGGGATGGAGGAGTTTTTGGATTTGTATGTTTTAGTTAGTGTGTGACTGTGTGTTTCCAAATTGTTGTGGACCATTGGATTGGATGGCCCTATTGCGCTTGCAACAAAATATCAATAAAAATTTGCAAAAATGGGTTATTGTCTTGGTCCCGGGATAATTCAATTATTGGATGTGTTTAGCGGGGAACAAAATAGTTTCTAATATAATCATGAGTGGTCGTAGAATGTTCTATTTTTGGCTCTCACTTTTTTTTAAGAATAAAAATTCTTCTATTCGTTTTAGAAAAATAATCCATATTGCAAAAGTAATACATATTGCAACGTGGACTATTTTTTTTTTTTACACGAACAAAAAAAAATATTTAGATCCTTTTTTTTTTTGAAAATTACATTCTCCCTCTGTCCCGAAATTATTGTCCAGTTTGAGAATTCACTTTTAGTACCCAAACTAGACAATAATTATGAGACGGAAGGAGTACATTTTATTATAAGCATAACAATATCGCATAAGGATCTTATTACGCATCAAGACTAGCTAATTTATGCATAGTTAAAAATGTCATATATGGCAAAGACAACTCTGAAGTTGGCCAATTTGATGTAATTTTTTTTTAAGGAGTTATAATCATATAAAGTTAATTTATGCATTCTTTTTGCAACTTACAAGTCTATCATTTGAGAAATTTAAAACTTTTGATAATGTCTGAGAATAGGGCATGCAATCATGCATGACCATTGCTATATCTAACTTTGATGGTTGTATTCATACCAATACGGAGTTTTTTTTAAAAAAAAGGTTATGTATATTAGTTAAGAAATAGCTAAACTACTATATCGCATTCTATAAAATGCTAAATTATGTAATTCTACGACATCTTATTTATTCACTTTAATCGATGAACGAGATTGAAATAAAAAAAAATACAAGTAACTAACAAAGAAACCACCTCCTAACTCAGAAGGTATTAAAGCAGACCATAAATCTCTAATCAATGATTCACAATCCGCATAAACTTGAAGACGAGTGATCCCTATTTCAAGGCCAAAAGACAAGTCATTGCCTCGGCTTGAAAAGGAGAAAGTACACTTAGATCCACTGCTTTGATTTGCATCACCATACCATGATGTGATAGTATTTTCCAAGCACCAGCCGCTTTGCATGATTGATGGCTAAACAATTCACTTAAAAAATAAATGTAAGCTATCCTCCTACTGCCTACCACATCTGGGGCATAATCGGTCCACTTGAGCTCCTCTTTTGCATAGTTTCGATTGTGTAGAAAAAGCATTGAGTAATGCTCTCCAGAAGAGGAACTTGTGCTTGGGTTTAACTCTAGAATTCTATAGTCGTTTCTAAGCTAATTTCTCTGTATTCTGAATTACTGGACTTGGCACAGGTTATGGAAGGAGAGCATTGATGGCCAATTGATACCTTTATTTGACTATATAATTCCCATGATCAGTAAATGTCCAATGGAGCTTATCCTTTTGATTTAGTCTTGTCGGATCTTCAAAGATCCCTGTAATGCGGGAGATAATATGATCTGGAAAGAAATTCCTAAGAGCATGAGTCTTCCATTGACCATTTGGATTAATAAAGCGGTCCACGGTCAAGTTGGACATAGCTGAAATGGAATGAGTCCCAATCGGATTCTGAGTATCAGGAATCCAGTTTGCTGATAGAGGAATGTCCTTCCCTGAGATGACCTTCCATTTGGTTTGATTCTGCAGAAGTTCAGCTCCCCACATGATGCTCTTGAAACCCCAGGAGGAGGTGTTGGGAGGTTGAACCGGAGGAAACATACCATTGTTGCAACATTTGGCACGGAGAAGCCTAGCCAGGAGAGAGTGGGGCTGAGAGATTATTTTCCGTGCATGTTTGGCTAATGATGCTTGGTTAAATTCTTTTGTAGCTTTGAGACCCAAACGACTAAGAAAAGGGAATTTTGTAATTTTCTTCCATGCTCTCTTGGATTTTATGCTCCTGACTGTCTCCCTTCTAAATAAAATTACTAATAATCTGGTCAGCCTTATGTAAGGTGCGAGCAAGAAGCTTGAATACTCCCATTGGGTACACTAACATTGAGGAAAAGGTAGATTTGGCCAAGGTGACTCGACCATGTAATGATAGCAGCTTTGTCTTCCAAGAAGCAAATTTGCCGCTGATTTTTGCAGTGAATTCCTTAAAAATAGTAGTCTTCTTTTCTTTAAAATCAAGACTCATTCCCAAATATTTACTATGAAATTGACCCGTGGGGATCTTGAGAATTGAATGTATGAAGTCCTTTATTTCTAGGCTTGTATTAGCACTAGTTAGAATTGAAGATTTGTAGAAGTTAATGCGCTGACTTGAGAAGTTGGTGTAGTTTTCCAATAATCTTGCTAAGGCTAAAACAGTAAACTCCTTGCATTCAATGAAGAAGAGACTATCATCAGCATACATGAGATAACTGACCCTAGGTGCATGGCGGTTGATTTTCACTCCCAAATCTGGAAAGTTGTGGATCTCTTATGTAATTGCAGAAGAAATTTGAATCATGTATATATCTATCATTTGTGATTGTGACTAGCAGCACTACGACCTCTCTTTCTATTCTATCTAGTACTATAAGGCCATGAACATTAGCCATAGTTTGTTACTACGTGCTTCGTTTCTTCATAACTGTTTATAAAAACAGCGATTGAATAAAAAGAATATGATTATGATCATTTTGTTAGTGACAAATGTGATGGGTGTATATTTTTTTTAACCGTATTTGAGATTACATCAAAACAAAGAGGATGGTTCAAGTTAAAGCTAAATAAACATAATTCTCCTACTACAACATTCGGGCGTGTGATTGAAATCATTAATTGATAGCCCAAAATTTTTCTGCCTTTTATAAGGCTGGGCCTTAACGTCGATTCTTAGGTGAAGCGATATAAAGTTTCAAAGTAACAAGTCTTTCTCCCCAGAAACGAATTAGCGGACTCCTTAATCAAATTACGTCTTCTAGGGTTACATGTTTTATCAACATTCTAAACTATAACATTAGAAAAGTTACTTATAGATAGGCAATAAAAGATAACTGTAAATATAATTATTAACCCTTTTAACTTTAAAAAATTACAGTTAAATGATCCACCAATAAGATAATAACATGTGTACTAAAAAAAAATTAAAAGATGACAAGCGTACTTAAAAATTATGGATGGCCTAATTGATTGATACGTATTTTTTGAAAAAATTCCTTTAATATATAGTAAAAATTTTGTCCGGGTTAGAACTTAGAACGGTCTGATTACATCTATACACTACTTAGAAAAGGATTTATGTTCTATTTACCAAAAATATTACTCCACAACGCATTCTTTGGATTTACATAAATATGTACTCAAAAAAGGACCTTCGAAGACTATTTTTGCCAAGAGTCGTTATTAAGTGGTGCTAGCGTGTACATATGAAAATTGGCACAATGAATTATACATAATAGATGGTGCCAAAAATTTTTACTTTCTATTATTGCCAGTGTAGTAGTATGACTGTAGAGAGTAACTTTTGACAGATTAGTTTCTTCTAAAAAAAAAATAAAATTGGCTGGGCCCACAATTTATTTATCACAGCCATCCAGATCTCAAAAGAAATTGTTGGCTCCATTATCTCTCCTTCCTCCCCCCTTCAGACCCTCCTCACGTTGTCGCCTGTGTTTCCTTTGTGAGATTGAATATTTCACACTCAGAGGTACGATTTCGATTCAATTTTCCCTTTCATTTCAGATCCGTCTCTTGATTCCCCCCTCATCGATCCTGCTCCGCCCCCTGCTTAGCTAGTTTCCTTCTTCAATTCTCCCATCCTCTCTCTGTTTTGGTTTGACGGTTTGTTTGCGGGAGCTTTGCGATTAGGATCGATAACTAAAGCGCTTCCATTTGAGGAATGGTTTAAATAATTCAAATATACTGTTGATTTATGCGGCGATCAAGTTTTTATTTATTGCTGCTTATGAATGTGCTTGTTCAATTCAACTGTTTGGTCACTATTCTAGGCCGTTTAATTTCTTGTCCACTTTGTCAAGGTGTTCCTCATCAGTTGTGCTTTTGTTTGTTTAGGTTTGATTCGAAGTATGGGTGTGGCTCAGAACAATATCGACATGGACGAAGGAACTCTGGAGATTGGCATGGGTAAATTTTACTCTTTACTGAATGCTTCTACTACGTGTTTTCTTGCTGTATTTATGAAATGAGGATGTATCTCTTTTTTTGTGATGGTTTCTTTTCCTGTGCTCTGATCAGGAATCATTTGTATTAATCATATTTAGCTTTAGGGATTTGGCTTATAATGCTTGCTAGTTTACTTGTTTTCACTGTTTGACTTGAATAAAGGTGGTTTTAAGGTTTTTTCCCTGCTTAATTTGTGTCAGACTGGATTGGATTGTTGTGTAGGATTTTATTTATTTTAGGGGGGTTTTAGGGAATGTACACTTTTAGCATTCTTTTGGATCCCTGTCCCTAGATCTTGCGCACATTTGCTGAGTATTTCGAGCAACCACAAATGGTTTATAACCTTGTAGGATTTTTCATAGAGAATGTGTAACCCCCCTCATAGTTTTCTATACTAAACAATGAAAAATTCCCTTAGTTATTCCAGATGTATTGATTTTCCTTTCATGTCTTTTAGAATCATCAGCTATGCTCTAATGAGGTGAATAATTGAGTATTACTCCGTTGAATGCTTTTTATTGAAGTCTATGAGAATTCTGTAGATAGTAGTGGGTACCTTGTCAGGATTTCCTTTTGAAGCAAAAGCTGTTTCGTTAATGCTATTTTACAAAAAATCCTATTATTTATATCTTCCATTTGGTGGTATTGATTTCCTTATTATACGTTTTAATTAATAACGAATAGATTTCGTTGATCTGACTTGTCTTCAATTTTTTCATGCAGAGTATAGGACAGTCTCTGGAGTTGCTGGACCACTCGTTATTCTTGAAAAAGTCAAGGTAGATGTCATGTTCTTCTAATTATTATTTGATCTGCCCTTACAACTATATTTCATTTTCAAAATATGTACTGCTTTGCTTGTGTATAGGATTATGTAGACACATTAGGGTTATTGTTTTCTTTTTCTTTTTCTTTTTCTTTTCTTTTTGTTTTTTCTCAAAGCAACCATTATTTTCTCATATGTGAGATTGCGTGCTTCATATTTACGTCTGCATTGCAGGGACCTAAGTACCAGGAGATTGTTAATATTCGTTTAGGAGATGGAACTACTCGGCGTGGACAAGTCTTGGAAGTTGATGGTGAAAAAGCCGTTGTTCAGGTTTGCTTACTTTGCTATTCAAGAATTCTATTCGATATTTCCAGTTCATTTTAGAATATATTTGGTCTATGTTGTCAGTATATTTTCCTTTGATAATGTACCTTTGCCATCGTAATGCCTATTCACGTTTGGTTCCTCGTTTTTTAATTGGGATCTTATGTGATGATAAGTGTCTTATTTTGAATTTACACCAACTTGGGCATGATGGGGACCCAACAGTTTTGCAATACTGTACTCGTTTGAACATATCATGGGCTCATCTCTTCTTTCAGCATCAATACCCTTCTGTACAACCTTCTTTTGTCTTGAACTGGTGTGGGAGCAATGGGCAGTTCTTTTTTATTTTATTTTTGTCGCTAAAACTGTTGGCGCATCCCTTTCTTTAAATGATATTTTCATATATTTGCCGAAAGTTTGCTTTTGATGCTTGGTTTGTTTAGTTTACTGCTTTGGTTGATAAAAACTTGATGTTTTTGACTCCCGGTATTGTTGTAACACTTGTCATTTGAATTCTTTCAGTTTCTTGACTTTATATTCCTTGTTATGATCAGGTCTTTGAAGGAACATCTGGAATTGATAATAAGTACACCACTGTGCAGTTTACTGGCGAGGTGAAGTATTCTTATGATTGCTTCTTATGGAATAGCGCCCTTCTTTTTTTAATCGTTTGGCTTGCTAAAATACCATGGCTTTCAGTTTTTTGTGGTGTTACTAACTGAAGCATCAATAATCCGTTTGACAATCTCTGTGACAAATTATCTGCAGGTTCTAAAAACTCCCGTGTCATTGGATATGCTGGGTCGTATATTTAATGGTTCTGGAAAACCTATTGACAATGGCCCTCCCATTCTCCCTGAAGCTTACTTGGACATTTCCGGCAAGTGTTTCTGGAAGAACTATTATTTCCCTGTCGTTTGTTCTTTATTTGTAAATTTTTCTATGCTTACTTTTGCCACTGTAGGGAGTTCTATCAATCCTAGTGAGAGAACATATCCGGAGGAAATGATACAGACTGGTATTTCAACCATTGATGTCATGAACTCAATTGCCAGAGGACAAAAAATTCCTCTCTTTTCAGCTGCTGGTCTTCCACATAATGAAATCGCAGCCCAGATTTGCAGACAAGCTGGTTTGGTGAAGCGGCTGGAAAAATCTGACAATCTTCTTGAGGTACGTAGATGTTACGTGACTGATGGCTTCTAAGATTTTGGTTGTATTTCCAATTGAGTGTTATGTAGTTATTGAGTATTTTTATTTTATGTGACAGGATGGAGAAGAGGACAATTTTGCTATTGTGTTTGCAGCTATGGGAGTCAACATGGAGACTGCACAATTTTTCAAACGTGATTTCGAGGAAAATGGATCAATGGAGAGAGTGACTCTTTTTCTGAACTTGGTAATTTCAAATATGTATCTGTATTATAATATATATTTTAATTGTGTTCAACTTGCATTATTTTCTCTGAGATTGATTTCTTACCCAAGATTAAGTGGCTTTAAGTTCTGGTGTTTGTTGTTTTTCCTTGTTTGCTCCCTGCAGGCTAATGATCCTACAATAGAACGTATTATTACTCCTAGGATTGCTCTGACAACAGCAGAGTATCTTGCATATGAATGTGGGAAGCATGTTCTTGTCATCTTGACTGATATGAGTTCTTATGCTGATGCTCTTCGTGAGGTACTGTGGATGACCTCCACATTGACCTCTTAATATCATGCTTGAAAAGCATTCAGTGTCTGAAGATATCCTCTAATGTTCACTTGATCCTGCAGGTTTCTGCTGCCCGAGAAGAAGTGCCTGGAAGACGTGGTTATCCTGGTTATATGTATACAGATCTTGCTACAATTTATGAACGTGCTGGGCGTATTGAAGGCCGAAAAGGCTCTATTACGCAAATACCTATCTTGACTATGCCCAATGATGGTATTTCAATCATAAATATCAAAATATTATCAAACTGTAACTAGTACTCCCTCCGTCCCATAATTATTGTCCAGTTTGAATTTTTATTTTTAGTTCAAATTGTACTAAAAGGAAAATCTCAAACTGGACAATAATTTTGGGACAGAGGGAGTATCGTTTTTGTAGTCATGTATGGTAATTATACCTCGTGATTATTTTTTTTTATGTTGTGTTGGTCAGATATTACACATCCAACTCCGGATCTTACTGGTTATATTACGGAGGGACAGATTTATATTGACAGACAGCTCCATAATCGACAGGTTAGTTCCTAGCTTCCAACATTTATAAGTTTTCCAATATGTTGGAAGGGATTATTGAGGCAAGGATAGAGTGCTAATCATTACACATAGGATATGTTTGATAGTAAAGTACAAACTCAGTTGCACTGAGTCACAAATTTCCTGAATCATGAGTGCTATTGCCGGGTGTATATTGGTTCTGTGGTAACTTTTTGGTAGAGATGATATGTGCACTAAAATTTTGACCTGGAAGGTTTTTCCATGTCCCTTTACCCCCTACTTTGGCAACAACGTAAAATTTCTTTTGTCTCCAATTCACTTTGGTGCCCCTGATTATTTTCAACTTATCCAGTTATTGGGAAGAAAACTTTTACTGAAAATGTTAATTTTTGTGAAACAGATTTACCCTCCAATCAATGTGCTTCCTTCATTGTCTCGGTTGATGAAGGTAAGCAAAGGCCCTTTACTGCCAATAATCTTTGTATATGGAAAGTTTGCTAAAAAATATAATTTCTTATGATTTTGTAGAGTGCCATTGGTGAGGGTATGACTCGTCGGGATCATTCTGATGTCTCCAATCAGGTAATTTGCACCAGTTACCATCCTTCATCTTGTCTGTTATTTGCATAGATCTTTACTAGGATTGATACCGTCGAAAATTTCCATGTGGTTGAGCTATAATTTTGCATTTGATTAACTGATTATCTGGTTCATGGGAACTTCAGTTGTACGCGAATTATGCCATAGGAAAGGATGTGCAGGCAATGAAAGCTGTGGTGGGAGAAGAAGCTCTTTCTTCGGAGGATCTGGTTTGTTGACTGAACTTAATTTTGATTTCTCAAAACTATTATGATAATGCATTCTGAGAAATAAAATGTTGAACTTTCATACAGCTGTATCTGGAATTCCTGGACAAGTTTGAGCGGAAATTCGTTGCACAAGGAGCATATGACACTCGCAACATCTTCCAGTCGCTCGATTTAGCCTGGACCTTGCTTCGTATCTTCCCTCGTGAACTACTGCACCGTATCCCGGCCAAGACACTGGACCAATACTATAGTCGGGAAGCAACCAACTGATTGGGAAATGCCGTAAAAATACTCTGGACTCCAGCTTAGCTCTGTGTATTGCTTCGATGAAAGTTGAGAAATAAAGTTGCCATTTCAAAATAGCCTTTTTTTCCTACAGCAGCAGCAGCGATACTCCCTTCTTGGAAAGGCAAACGATGATATTCTTTGTTTTTGTTGAGTGTCGGCTAGTGTGTTTTGTGTAATTATCATTAACATTCTTCATATTATTTACCTTTTTGGTTTGAAGGTATCATCACGTTCTTGGCTTTGTTGAACATTGAATGTGAGGAAATATTAGGTTATATTATACGAACATGAAGAGCACATTTACGCGTTGATGTTTTTGTTGTCATTCCTTCATAAATCAAAACATCTAGTATGTAATAATAATAAGTTTATTATTTTTGGGTTACTATTTTGTTACTTAGAATTCTTAAATTATTGGATTTGGTATTCTTGTCCTAATACCGGAAATTTGGATTTCCAGCCTCGCACCCTGTACATGTGGGATTGGCGTATTGCTTACTACAGTAGTTCGCAAATGTCTTTCAACTGTGACCTAATGCAAAATAATGGAACAAGGTACCCAGTTCAACTCTAATGTTAAAATAGTTTTGTGGGTGCTAGTACTTGTTACACTAAAAATCAGGATATAGTATTGTATTCAATAATTTTTTCCAAATCTATCTTTTGATTTTTTTTTTTCTAAATTCGTAAAAAACATCCAAAATGTTTATTACTCACTTTATCATGATTGCAAAAGCTCTACCATTCCGATTTCCGAATAACAAAATCACATACATTTTCAAAATATTCCATACGGTTCTTAATATGAGGTACAAATAATTAAATTATAAAAATTAATAAAAATAATATCCAATTATTTTTTTGGTGAACTACTTATATTATCCTCAATATAGAAAATGTCTCTACTTTTTAAAGGACAAATTAAATTAAAGTTTGATTAATTTAACTAAGGGTAGAGTTGAAAGTACAGCATAGATAAAATTTTAAAGATATCAAATGCTTTATAAATAGAAAAAAGGAAAAATTTAGAAGAGTATTTTATAATCAGAATGGAAAAGGTGTATTAAAAATATAAAACTGTATGTTGGGATAGGGTAATTATTATGAATTAATTTAAAACACCATTAAAAAAAAAAAGGGGAAACAAACAGAGGAGTTAGGAGGATTTATGTTAGACGGAAGTTGTAATTTTACAGGTTTGGTCTGTTTTCCGTACGACAACGTTTCGTACTGTTTCGTTTGGTCCCTTTTTATTCGATTAATCGACCGGAAATCAGAAATCAGAGAATTTTTTCGGTTCTTCGTACCCCTCTTTGCTGCCTTAGTGTCGAATCGACTGCCTCTGCTACCGCCGTGCATCGTTGCTCCTCCTCTCTCGGTCTCGCCATCTTCCTTCAGCTTATAACACCAAAGGTTTGTATTCTCGAATCGTATTATTTATTCCATAACCTTCTGACGAGGGGAGAGGACCCTTTCCCTTTTGTTATTCTTTCTTTTTCCTCTTCCCTCCTTCGATTAAGGTTAGTAAATTTTTTCTTTTTAGCCTTGTTGAACGAAATTACGAATATTGAAATCTTGGTACTCTTTTGTCGTTACAATTTTAAATTGGAGGGATTGGGTAATTTCATTACCAGCCACCTCCAACTTTAGGACTCATAAGTGTTTGATGGAATGTCTCAATTACTATCTTTTTTGAATTCTCTTGCTAAGTTAACGCCGACGCTGATTTTACTATCCAATTTGCTACTTTATTTGTTTATTAAGTTTGTTGTGGAATGTTTGCACCTAAAAGTGGTCAAAGTATGTATATTGAAGGATTGGATGCTCCAAGGTTTGGAGCTAATCATATGTTTTCTTTATCGGATATGATTCCAAGCCTGTTGCGTGGTCGAGCTTGCTTACGAATTGATCCACCCGAGCTCTGTAAAAATTGGTCCAGCCAAGCTCGAACAGGGGTCATCCGGCCCTCTACTCGGCTAGTTTAGACCCCTACTTATGAACTCATGGCCCACCACCCTTTTTGGTTTCATTGCTAGCATGAATTGTGATGATTTAAATTATTATGCTGAATAGTAGGTCTATTTGTTAGACCAGGTAAGTGATGTATGTTATAATCGGATGAATGATTTATAAATTGTATCGTGTTTTTGTGATACATGTTGAGTACATGTTGAGTTCTTTCTCAGGAATTTTGAGGGATTTTTTGTTTTTTTGTTTATCTTTTGGGGGGCAATATATGGAGCTCCCGTGGATTATAGCTTAAACATGAAAAATTGAGAATATTTGCTTGTGGAATAGCCTCATTTATTTCAAGGATGCTGCTCTTTCTTATCTTTTCTTGACATAATTTGTGTTGAGTGCAAGTATTAAAAAGTGTTCTGTAGATTGAGAAACATAGATGTTTATTGTTTGTTTTCTCTTATTTGTAAAGAGAAAAAAGGGTTATCTGTAGGTTTGCTATATTTTTGATGAAGTTATTGATTTTCTAACGATTTTTCTCTTGACTTTATATTGCAGCAGTATTGAACAAATGGACGCTGACGTGGATCATTATGTTGTATTGGGCTTGCCGTCGGGGGAGGAAGGGGCAAAACTTACTGAGCAGGAAATAACCAAAGCCTATAAGTCAATGGCCCTAAAATTGCATCCTGATAAGAACCGCGACAACCCTGACGCCCATGCCAACTTCCATAGGCTCAAAACGTCGTATGAGATCCTGAAAGATGAAAAGGCGAGGAAGCTTTTTGATGATTTGATTCGAATGAGAGAAGAAAAGATTCGACGTCAATCATTTCAAGATGCTAAGAGACGGAAAATGGTGTCTGACCTTGAAGAAAGAGAACGGTCTGCATTTGCATATGATCCTCATGTGAAAGCTCGAACTGAGGAGGAGAGGATTGCTAGGCAGTTTAAAGAGGAGGTGGCTAGAATTCGTGCAAAGTTTGGTAACAAGATCACTTCTCCTGCTCCCCCAACTCACCATAAAGAGAAGAGTAGAACATCTAAGGGTAATAATAAGGATGGAAGCATTAGTGAAGAAGATAGGGAAAAGATGCTTAAAGTGTCTTGGGATAATGTTGGCGACGATTATACTGCTCAGAGGTTGAGGGAAATTTTTGGCGAGTTTGGAAAAGTTGAAGATGTTGTAATTATGAGTACGAAGAAGAAGAAGAAGAAGCGTTCAGCACTTATTGCAATGGCTTCAAAAGATGCAGCACTTGCTGCTACGGGGAATGTCTTGGGTGATCTATCAAATCCGTTGTTAGTCTTGCCGCTCGATCCAGTTCAAGCTTCCCCACTTCCTACTTTTTCTGGTGCCCAGATCAATGTGGATCAGGAAGAACCCCCATTGAGTAAATTTGTGGGTGCTGGATATCAATCATTTGAAGATTCAGTGTTAGAGAAATTGAAGAAGGTTTGAACTATTACTATTATATTGTACTTTGTGGCTTTCAGATGGATTGTTATTGTTTACTATTCTGTCATGGAATGGCATTTGGAAACTCAGGTTTTTTAGTTAGCATGTAGCGTAGCTTTAGCTCATTTCTTGAAATTTTTCAATAAAAATGTGGAAGTTATATTACAAAAAATGAAATTCGTATGAGGCTTTGGAGCCAAAAAGCAGAACTCGTTTTATATTACAAAAAATTCCGGATGAGTAAGTTATGCATTGACTGCCAAAACTGTTTCATTTTTGTGTTCTATAAAAGCTATATCTAAGTTAACTTTTCAGACACCAGTTTGCCATATTTGGTTTTGAAGTGCTCTTAATTTGCCTGAGTTGCCTTCTTCCATGTTATGAAAATATTGGGATGAATATGGACGGCGTTTAACTAGTTTAATTATGGTAACAGGGGCTCTGTTGCATTTGAATGCAATCGCTTCCTGGTTATGCAAAATCATGTGTGCATGTTTTCACTTGTATGATTTTCTTTAATATATATTCTTATTTGCGAATCTTCCTTTGGCTATATTTTTCTATTCTGCACGTATTTGTGCTTATTTTAATCGATATACCTATTTGTCATGTTGTAGCTAGTGACTAATTGATTGTTTGCTGTAGTCTCAATCCAAGATCATATGTTTCCATATTTCTATGGATGTCTTTATTTGTTGATCTTTTTCTGCAGTACATTGTTGGATTTGATGGTTCATTTATTGATTTCCTGATTTATTACTGAACTATAGGCTGCCGAGAAACAAAGTGGATGATTATCACTTGCTGAGAAAGATGCATAACGGGATTCTTTCAGTCCACAAGCTTCAATTGCACGACTATGCTATCAACTCACGCAACAAAAAGATTTGATTGGTCTAAAGCTGGATTTAGTCCTTGCAACAAAGAAGTTGACTGGTTTAAAGCTGGATTTAGTCTTGGGAGATTCATTTTAACAGAAACCGACTTTTAAAAGATCCGTGTTATCACATTTCCAATGAAGAAGTTTAAATACGTTATCATGGAGATATGGGTATTTGCTTGAATTGTCATTGACACTGATCCTGATGGAGGTTTTGTAAGGAGAAGCGTGAATCTGCAAGAAATGTATCTTATGTTAGTAAGTGTTAGTTGGTAAGTGGTTACTACTTGCGCTCTTCAATTTCCATTACTGGCAATTATTTTGGAAAGTGTGTAGGAAGGAGAATGGAGGCTTTTTTTGTTCTTTTTTTTTTCTTCGGTAGAGTTAAAAAGAGCACAAGGGAAGCCAAGGGTTACTCTTATATGGATGTACTGTGTTCTGTACACACACCAAAAGTCAATGCATCATCCATAGTAAAAGCACGATCAAAGATATGTACAATGAGATTTGAACTCCCAACTTATGGATTAGATCCGTATTAATATCATTCATTAAAAAGTTGTAACTTTTGTTTTGTTTAGGGTATTCCGTTTGAATGCAGAGCTCTAAACCAAATCTAGTCCGTGAACTAAATCATTGCACTAGTGTTCCATCCAATATGATTGGAAGTCTAATCATGGTCTTTATAAGATGTGGTGATAATAATTGTTTTACATTCATCCAGTTGGAAGTTCGTAGTCTGAATTTCAATCCCATTTTAATTGCACACGCATGGAGTACAATAATCGACTTAATTATGTCAGTTAGTTATGGAGTTTCCGAATAAATTGAATCATCATTACATGATTACAATAGCTAATACCACTATGAATACGATGATCAGATGATGTGTTTTAAAACCTGTTGGTAAAAAAACTACAAATAAACTCATTCGAACAGCCTCTAGTGATTAGACTTGTCTTGACATATGATAATAAAATTTATAATTAATACAAAGACAAATAGTCATTTTGACTACTACCAATACACACACGATTCGAACACCTCACAAGTCTCTGAGTCGATGGTGTTTTTTGTTTTTGGACAGAACTTATTTCTTTGTCTAAAAAAATCGAAAACACCACAATAACAGGGTTTAGGAGGGAAAAAAAAAGAAAAAAAAAAGGAAGTCAGATTCTAATTGGCCTGCGAGCCCACGCAATAATTAGTCTACACTCGTCCCCATCCAATCCTAACCCCTCTAATTCACAAATTAAACTGAAAAGTAAAACACCCATAACACCCAAGCCTCCGCTCTTTTCTTCTTTTTTTTTCGGTTCCTTCTCTTCCTCTTTCCAGCTCTTGCAGCCGTCCTCGCCGTCGTCATCGCAGCTGCCGTCGACGGCCCCGCTTCTCTTTTAACTTTCTCAAGTTGCATACACTTTCGCGTAATTTATCAGATTAGGGCACGGAATTGAAATTGGAATTCCGGGGGGAATTGCGCTAAAACATGGCGGCGACTACGAACGGAAGTTGGCAGCCTCAAGAAGAAGGGTTCAAAGAGATCTGTGGATTGATAGAGCAGCAGATATCGCCGTCTCCTGATAAGACGGAGGTTTGGAAGAAGCTTCAGCACTATTCTACTTTCCCCGATTTCAATAATTACCTTGCCTTCATTTTCGCTCATGCTGAGGTTGGTCTTTCTGTTCCTCAATCTCTCTCCGTTATGTTTGTTCACTTTGGTTTACTTAGATAACAGTGCTACTCATTACTAGTGATTCTACGAGTATTCAGTGGATCGAGAGATAAGGTCTTGGTAGCTTTTGGACGATTACAATGTGATTTAGTGGAGTACGGTTTTATCTTTTTAATTCGTTTTTTGGTGGTTGGAGCTTTAAGAAGGGTTTCCCGCTTGCTCCAGCTTATGAGTGATGTCGGATGATTGATCCTTCGTTACTGCTAATCATCTTGTCAGATTCTTTTTTATTTTTGCTGTGGCTGTAACTTGGTTACTTCGCCTTTGGCCTTTTTTGGCTTCACATTAGTCATATTTACTTTCTGCAGCAACTTAGGTGTCGATTACACATTGGTTATTGATATCATCGTGATAATTACGCCTTAATGATATTTTGTTCTATTTGCCGTTGCACGATTACAGAGGATTTTTTGGCTTTTTTGGGCCGAACAGAAGGTTATACTGAGCTTTTATGGCGAATCTAAATTGAGCTATTAAATGAGTGGGAAGGTGGCTACAGACTTTATTTCTTAAAACAGTTGTTTTGATATCCTTCCCATTTTTTTTAGGGTTAGCTATGTATTTGCAGTAGGTCTTGATTCTCGTTAGTTTTAGTTTTCTGCGTGTTTGTTTATCCAGAAAAAGTCGTCAGGAACAAAAAGGCTTCATCAAACTTTGTAAATTGGAATCAATCCATTAAGATTATTTTCTTAACCTCTCTTTCTCTGATGGTAGGAATATGATTTTCTTTAAAAGTTATATGACAAGATGGATGGGTGTTTTTAACAGGGGAAGTCAGTGGATATTCGGCAGGCTGCTGGACTGCTTCTGAAAAATAACCTTAGAACAACCTTCAGTTCGATGCCTCCGGCAAATCAGCAGTATATTAAGGCAGAGTTATTACCTTGTTTAGGTTCAGCTGATAGACATATTAGGACTACGGCTGGAACTATTATCACTGTTCTTATTCAGATAGGGGGTGTTGCTGGTTGGCCTGAGTTGCTACATGCTCTTGTGAAGTGCTTGGACAGTAATGAGGTGAACCACATGGAAGGTGCCATGGATGCTCTGTCTAAGGTAAGTTTGACCTTAATATCGAAGCAGAGCTATACCTAAGCTCCTGCCTGTCTGAAATAATCTGTTGAATTGTGATGCTGATATTGTTAGCAGCTACCCGTTGCTAGAATGATGGTTTAACGGATAGTCTTGACTCAGATTTGCGAGGATGTCCCTCAATTGCTGGATTCAGATTATGCTGGATTATCAGAAAGACCCATTGATGTTTTCCTCCCAAGATTTCTTCAGGTTTTATCTTCCCTTGCCTAAGTTTCATTCCTTCTTATTCCAAAGGCAGGGATAGGGAAAATACGTAATAATTCTCATTTTTTTCCCCCTTCCTATAACCTTCAGCTAGCTGACATAATTTTTTTTTGCCCTACTTTCCTCCCAGCTTTTCCAATCTCCAAATGTTTCTTTAAGGAAGCTTTCTTTGAATTCTGTGAATCAGTACATCATGTTAATGCCAAATGTGAGTATAATTTAGAGAGTTTTTTAAGTTTCTGCACTTCTTGATATATCTCAGCTTTGAAATGAGTTTGACTGGCTATTCTTAATCTTTGCAAATTTGCAGGTTTTATACGTGTCGATGGATAAATACTTGCAAGGTTTGTTTGTACTTGCAAATGATCCTGCTGCTGAGGTGCGGAAGTTGGTACGTTACTTTCTTGCTGATTGACTTTTGACTTTTCTGATCTTTTTAGTTCTTGAAGTATTTATTTTAGTCTTGAGTTCTTACTTGTTTTTTTTTTGTCTTTTTTTTTGTTTTTTTTTTTGTTTTTTGTTTTTTTATAAATTTTTTATATATAAATTATCTGCTTTGTTGGACAGGTTTGTTCTGCATTTGTTCAATTGATTGATGTTCGCCCAGATATTTTGGAGGTAACAGTTGCTTCTACTCCGTAGGTTACCTTTTTTAGAACTTCAGCATGCGTTTCGTCTCAACCTTTACCTAATTTATTCTTCCTTGATATTAGAACAATAAATTAGAATAATCTGCTTTGTCCTTTTTTCTTTGTCGTTAGGCTCTGAGCATTCTGTACTTCTAATTTGATAAAATCATGTAACTTCTGCATCGCAGCCACATCTGAGGAATGTTATCGAATATATGCTACAAGTCAACAAGGACCCTGATGATGAAGTCGCTCTTGAAGCCTGTGAATTTTGGTACAAGATAACTCTTTGCCCTTCATGCCCTTGTAGTTTGACTGTATACACTGTTACTTTTGTATATATGAGAGCAGGATCTTCTTCTTAAAAAATTACTTGATATTTTGTAATATGACGTGATATGGAGTCTGGATAATGTGGCCTGATATGACCTGTATACACTGTTACTTTTGCTCATTTTTATTAAATGTAATAAACCTGGTGGGTGTATTAATTCTTGGTGATCTGATGCTTGAGGTCGTAGTTGTATAGGACTGAAACTTGGGAAGGCCTTTGTGCTAATTTTGTCTCCTGGGAGTTTTGGGGTGGAGTATTTTCCACACATGATGCAATTGATGGTTTTAAAAATTTTCGCATCATGAGTGCCGTTGGATTCTTTATGTTTTCTTATGAAGATATTCGATTCAAACTGTTTCAACAGTTTTAGCTTGTTCCTGTGAAATTTCCTCAAAATTTTACTCTTTAACTTGTGCTTTATGTTTACATGTTATATAATGCCCTCTCCAGTTTTGAGAATGTGCATTTATAATTCTTTGCACTTTTTCTTTGACAAACTCATTATTCATCATAAATTAGAAATTTGTGTTCCAAAACCTTGTTGCACTTGCAAACAAGTCTGAGGTCCTTATTTTTCTGAACAAATATTATGATTTGGTTTGAATAATGACAGGTCAGCTTATTGTGATGCTCAGTTGCCACCTGAGAACTTGAAGGAATTCTTACCACGTCTTCTTCCTGTATGTCCGTGCTCTATTGATTTTCGGTTGACTTTAACAAGTTATGTTTAATAGGTAAAATTAGTTTTTATATGAGTGGATCATTCTTGTAGGTTTTACTCTCAAACATGGCCTATGCTGATGATGACGAATCGCTGCTTGATGCGGAGGTTACCCTTCTATTAAGATTCTCCTTTGCTTCTGTGGTCTTTCTAGTTTCTTTTTCATTAACAGTTTTACAATGTGTTTGCAGGAAGATGGATCTCTTCCAGATAGAGAGCAGGTTCCATTCCCCTTCGATAAAACCATTTCAATCAGTGTGGTTATTCTGCAACATTTGTTTTATGTTTTCGTTTTCGGGAACTATTTGCAGGATCTGAAGCCTCGTTTTCATGCATCACGTTTCCATGGAGCCGAGGATGGAGAAGATGATGTGAGTTTCTGTTTTTGTTCCGGTCAATTTTAAAGTTGGTTTTGGTGTCTTTTGAGGAGAGTGAGCGGTTGAGTTGATGTAAGAATGAAGTGCGGTGCTTATATCTGTCACTGGTTCATCATTGGATCGAAGAAGGGCGGGCTCTTAGTATGTGTACAATGTTCATACAAATAATGTCTTGGAGCGGTAGAGTTTTGCTTGGTGCATGACCCTATCCATCTGGTGCTTCTTTCTTTTAGGGGGTTACAGTTCAATTTTGAATGGGATCTCAGTTGATGTCACTTGCACTGTTGCTAATATAATCACCCATCTCTTGCCGTTGCCTGTTTCCATTTTGGTGTTTGAATGTGACATTTTGAATGATAAATGCGTTCCAGTTTGGTGTTTCATAAATGCATAACTTAGTCTTTCGATGATTGATACCTTAATTTTAAATCTCAGGATGATGATGACACTGTCAATGTCTGGAATTTGCGGAAATGCAGTGCTGCTGCGCTGGATGTTCTCTCTAATGTTTTTGGTGATGAAATACTCCCCACATTGATGCCAATTATTCAGGTAATTTGTCCAGCAATTGTCAAGACTCCTCATGTTTTCACATTCTTTGGAATGTACTTAGTCCTGTCTCCAAATCTGTGCAGTCAAATTTGGGCAACTCTGACGATGCTGCATGGAAAGAAAGAGAGGCTGCTGTTTTAGCAATTGGTGCAATAGCTGAGGGTTGCATTAATGGACTTTATCCTCATCTTTCCGATGTATGCCACGTTTGTGGAGTTTTTACTTGAAAATGTTGCTTGTGTTAATTTTTGTTAACTTATCTTCTTGATGGATAAGACCCTCAACTAAACAAATTGCAAGTTGAAAACACGACCTTTTTGAACTCATAATAGCAGAGAATCGAATTGTAAGCTTCCGAATTTCAACAAATGTGAATTTTACTTTCTCAATTTTGAAACAAACTAGGGAAGCTGTTAGCCAATTATTTTCAAACTTAATAATAATATAAAAATGCCTTATCAAAGGTTTCAATTCTGACAATTAGCAGCCTTGTGACAAAAATGTTGGAAATGAAGAGCTTCTGCGTGTAGATGAAGTCCAATCATTTAGGCCTGAGGGGCTAAATATGTCTGATTTTTATAGTGTGCATGAGGTCACCTCTATCTTGTTTTAGTTCGGGTTCCGATACGCAAACCAGTTAACTTAGAGTCACTTACTTGAGGTTATTGTGCTTTTATTTTGTGTTCTTTGCAGATAGTTTCTTTCCTCATCCCTCTTTTAGATGACAAGTTCCCTCTTATCCGGAGCATCTCCTGTTGGACGCTGTCACGTTTCAGCAAATTTATTGTGCATGTAAGTGTTCATCTAATTTTTAGTTTTCCTGACGGTTATCGCTGCTACATAAATTTTTAAATTAATTTTTTGTTACCTGTGGTGTGCAATAAATGCTCTCAACTGCGGTTTAAAATAAGCAATTCAGAGTTTAAGATATTATTGGGAGAGCGCAGTAGTTTGCGCAAAAAACAGATTCTTTTTTTTTTGTGTCCTTTTCACGGCTTTTAGCATTAATAAAGCTTTGCTGCTGGACAAGTAAATTATGCTCAAGTGTTGTTGCATATTGCTTGAATACAAAATCTCTTCCATTTGCATGATGTCGCAAGGGATTTGAACCGTATAGTCCCTATCCCTTTAAGATTTTCACCACTCAGAATTAATTTTAACAGGTCTTATGTTTTTTATCATGTGGGTTTTCTGATCATAACTTTCCAGTAGATTTACAGTGACCCTCTTCCTCAAAACACTTGTTTGAGCATCCAAAGTGCAGAAAGAGTAATCGTTTGTGTATTTTGCCACATTAACTCACTCAGCTTGCGCATTGTTCTAGGGTTCTGGTCTCCAAGAGAGTGGTGAGAGATTTAGTGCAGTTCTTATGGGCCTTTTGCGAAGAATACTGGATGATAACAAGAGGGTGCAGGAAGCTGCTTGCTCAGCTTTTGCTACCCTGGAAGAGGTTTGTTTTGACGGAAAATTTGTTCTTACTTTCTTTGGTTAGTTTCTTTTTTAATGATCTGATTGACGACTTTTGTCTTTGCAGGAAGCAGCAGATGGATTAACTCCACTCTTGGAAGTAATTTTGCAGCACTTGATGTGTGCCTTTGGAAAATATCAGGTTTATCTTTTTTAATACTATTTCTATACAGTTGGTTTATCTTGTTCCATTCAGTTGGTTTTCTTTGAAAAATGGTAAAGTTAGCTTTGGAAGCTATAATTTTTTGGTCTGGCAATGACATTAGTCGTACTTATTGTTGATGTTAGTTAGACTGTATGTTTAATCTGACGGTTGACTTTTTCTCTGATGATGTGTATAATCTGTTTATCCAGAGGCGGAACCTTAGAATAGTATATGATGCTATAGGAACTTTAGCAGATGCTGTTGGAGGGGAATTGAATCAGGTAGAACTCTATTTTGGTGATTTTTATCGACTCAATTTTGGACCTATTTGTCTGACTTGATTTATATGAAATGGTATATATGGAAGTATTAATGCACGAATCTAATTGCAATCCTTTGTATCTTATGCAGCCTAAGTTTCTAGAAATCTTGATGCCCCCATTGATTGCCAAGTGGCAGCAACTTTCAGACTCTGACAAAGATATTTTTCCATTGCTTGAGTGCTTTACATCAATCGCTCAGGTATCTATCTACCATTCGCCTGTCTCTTTGACACGTATAGGATATCTGTTGCTCATTCATTTTTCTTAAGGGTGGCATTTGTTGAAAGACAACTGGACTCTATCGAACCTAGCGCGATATAAGCGGGGTGGGCCCTCATAGGTTCTGATCGAATTTGTGTGTTGACTTTCATAACCTGTAAATTAAATGGCCGTTCAGATATTTTTGGAAATGATTGGATTTTGTTTTTTTGAATATTTGTTTGAAGTTTCTCCTTCATTTTGTCGTTTCTACTATCAAGTGAAATGTAAATGTAACGGTTGATTGGATTTAGAAAAGTGTTGAATGCAAATAGTTAGATATAATCTAGGTTTATATTTATTATTCTGATATGTGAGTTATTTCATTTATTAAGGGTAACCCATTTATTATAAACAAGTCTGATTCTAGTTGGGAGGGGGCAAAAGATCTAAAGTGATACTTTTGTGTCGCACTCTTGGTGACGCTAGTCTCTAGTTAGATGATTAACAGCCTCACAAATGGTAAGTGAACCCAAATGTAGTTAATTGAATGGGACGGGTTCAGTTTGGCGTGTTATTTGTGCCACCTTTTTTTTTTTTTTATTTATTTTGATGAGAATGGTTGTCTCTATTTAAAGTAAAAGAGTTTGTGAACAATGAAACCTATCTCAACACTTGTAATAGTACAAAAAAAACTGTTTAAGATGTATATACGTGCTTCATGTAAAAGTCCGCCGTGCTTCTATGTTTAAATTGATTGTATTTCTTGCTTTGTTATTCCAGGCATTGGGTATGGGATTTTCGCAATTTGCGCAACCTGTATTTCAGAGGTGCATTAATATCATCCAGACCCAACAATTGGCAAAGATTGACCCTTCTTCGGCGGGGGTCCAGCCTGATAAGGAGTTTGTTGTTTGTTCTTTGGATCTTCTCTCTGGACTTGCCGAAGGACTTGGAAGTGGAATAGAAAGTTTGGTGTCCCAGAGTAGTTTGAGGGACTTACTCCTGCAGTGCTGCATGGACGATGCGTCTGATGTTCGACAGAGTGCTTTTGCATTGTTGGGGGACATTGCAAGGGTTTGTCCGATTCATTTGCATTCCCGGTTGGCGGAATTCCTTGATGTCGCAGCAAAGCAGCTGAACACTGAAAAGCTGAAAGAGAATGTCTCAGTTGCTAACAATGCATGTTGGGCAATTGGAGAACTAGCAATAAAGGTTCAAAAAGATATGTCTTCAGTGGTGATACCTGTAATAAGTTGCCTAGTGCCAATACTTCAACATCCCGATGGTCTAAATAAATCACTTCTTGAAAATAGTGCAATCACACTTGGTCGTCTTGCTTGGGTTTGCCCAGAACTTGTTTCACCCCATATGGAGCATTTCCTGCAACACTGGTGTATGGCTTTATCTCTGTAAGTCCTCGCACTTAATTACCGATGGTCGACTTGATTCTTGTCAGTGTACAACTGTATAGATCGTATCAAGTATTTTAACCGGCAATGACAACCAGAGAAAGTTAATTGGAAATTCTTCAAAAAATACTCCATCTGATTTTATGTTACTTAAATTTTTTTGAAAATTTTCACCTGATTTAGCCAGGTCGAATACTCTTTTTATTTTTCTACGTGAAAGTGTTTTACTAGTTCACATGCTATGTTGCATTGTCAATAGCAAACGCGAAAGTTATACCGTTATTTGTTTGTTGGGCTGTCTTTGGCTCTTGGTCAAACTTTACAATTTTATTAGTGTGTACAATTATTGGGGTAAGATGGGTTGATAAACTACTTACATTCATAGTCTCTAATACGAGGTTGGAATGCAAGAAGAATAGCTGATTGCATATTCAAAGCAGGGAATGCTTGCCTATTTTCTTTATTGTTTTATCTACCCATTTTACCTGAACTCTGTACATTATTTACATCTACGTTTCTTGGAACATCAATGTCAATTGTTGACCATAAGAAATGTTTATCTCGGTTTTAATTACTTTTAATCAGGCATGACTGATAATGTGACTAATTTAAACAACCCTGGACAGGATTCGTGACGATGTTGAGAAGGAGGATGCCTTCCGTGGTTTATGTGCAATGGTATATGTATTTTAACTCCTTTTCTTCTCCCAAGGCCTTGTTTTGACGGGAAGAAATGTCCACAAAATTTAACTTTTTTTGTTTATCAATTGCTTACAGGTTAAGACCAATCCGTCCAGTGCTTTGAATTCACTTGTTTATATGTGTCAAGCTATTGCTAGTTGGCATGTAAGTTTTCTTCAATGTATTTAATTTCGATATTCATATAGGAGGATAATTTATGTTTCTGACATGAGTTTGTTGTATTGAGCAGGAAATCAGGAGCAAGGACTTGCACAATGAAGTGTGCCAGGTTCTGCAGGGATACAAACAAGTAAGGACTAAATATGATCATCATCCTGCCCCAATCCTAAAAAATGCTGAAAAATGAAAAAGAAGAATCTTGAGAATCAATACAATGAGCTTAAAGAAACTAATCTAGTCTCTCTCTCTCTCTTTCACGCACTCATACACACACACACACACAAGTAGTGATAGACAGTGAAAGTCATTTTTATATCAGTGGTCAATTTGATGATGGTAAATGTCCTTTATCGGCCAACAAATGAATCCTGTATCAATTACTATAAAAGGTTATGCTACTCTATCAATACTTGTTGCAAGCATATGCCTGGATTTTGCCATGAGATGCACTTGTGTGTGATAACGAGGACTTGTTCAATTCTTTCCGCATATTCCTGTCATCCCTTGGGTAGATGAAAAATGAGATGGATTATCTGTATCTGTTCTGTCAAAGTCTGATTAACTTTGATGTCGCACAGTAAAAGGGGATTCAAATTACAGGATGTGTAACTTATGTGGTGTCATTTGTTGTGTACTGATCTAATCATTTGATTTATTCTACTTTTCTGGCCAGATGCTCAGCAATGGTGGCGCATGGGAGCAACTCATGTCTGCTCTCGACCCCCCTGTTAGGGAGAAGTTATCAAAATATGGAGTATAAGATGTATCAACCGACCAACTAATGAAAGTCATGTTTGCCTCTGCTCATCTCCCTTGATGTGGATTTAGGATGTACACAGTTTTGCTGCATTGCAATATTTCTCTCTTTGGTTTTTGTTCGATTGTGGAAAAGGGTGGAGAAATTGTTTCCGGTCAGGGACCATTAAGTTTGGATCAGTTACTCACATACGTTACTGGAGCGCAAAGATATTTATATTGTGAAGAGTCAGAATCTCTTTTGGGGGTTTGTCTCATCAAGTAAAATTTGACCAAGGCACAATTAGCCAAGGTTTTGGATGCATTGGTTTGTTGGTGTACAGGGAAGCACGTTTGAAAGTTTGATCTGTTTTGAGGTTAGAGTAATTGGAAGTCATTTTTGTTCGACATTTTTTTTTTTTTGTCGTAATAGTTGAAAATGCATGTCATCTAGAGGATGTACAAGTTCTACAAGATTTTGTCAGGAGGGATATTTGCATTTATTGATTAGAGCTTAGGTTCTTCCCCCAAAAAAAAAAAGAAATTATGTAAGAAGGAAAAAGTGTTGTTCTGGAAAGGGTATCTGAAGTTTTCTGGATGTTAGGCATTTAAGGTACAGTGTGATCAGATTGTTATTCTTTACAAAGAGGAAAGGTTGTGTATTTACCAAGAAAAATACGAAAAAGAAAGATCATTTTTTCAGAAATATTATTTGATCGGTAAACTTAAGTTTTTTTTTTTTATATATTTTAGTTTTTCCATTGGAAATTGTTTAATAAACTGGTGGAGCATTGCAAGTTCAGCTGATATAGTTTTTCCACTTCCAGTGGGAGCTCCTAAAAGAACATTTTTGTTGCTGTGATACAACATGTGAAAAGCCTGGAACAAATTCAAGAACATCAATTTAGTATAGAACACTGGTCAGTTTATGTTGTTTCATAATGTTGCAGAATTGGAACTCTTTTACAAGTAAATGAAAATTTCTAGTGTGATTAACTTATTCTGGTATTAGCATGATGGCTGCGGCCCAAAGAACCACCAGAACCTGTAAATTTTAATTGAAGTTTTCAAAATGTGCACTCCAAAATTGAGCAACTTGTTGCTTCGGAAGTCTGAACAGGCTCTGAGAAAAATGTAGGCATGAAAACACAAACAAAATGATTTTTACTGCAGAGGTTTACATTAAAAATTCAGCTAGGCGTAAAATCAGACACTTATTGTGCCATGATTACGCCTACTGCAGTTATAAAGTCAGTAATGCAGCAAATGAAATCAACAATAAAGGAATTGCAAGATATCTGAAACTAAAGACACGAACACATGAATCCATCAAACACATAACCTCCTTCTATTTGGTGAGATAGAATGGAATAGAGAAAACTTTTCTGCTTGGAGAAAGGTTGTATCGGACGGAAAAAGGCGGAGGATGGCTGAAATTGATTTATAGCAGTAGCAGGGAAAAAGTGTATTTGCCGCTTTTGGAAACCCCACGGTGTTTACCGGAATAGGGACTAATGTCTTTACACTAGTCTGCCGAGGATTAAGAGACGGGTGCAAAATCAACTTTCAACATCGAAGGCTAGACCATTGCAAAACATAATGGACTTATTCCTTGTCAGTTGTCAAAATGCTTGTGTACTTTTGGTTTTTAGAGTCCTGCCTGGGTTTTCACCAAAAAAAAAAAAAAAAAATTTTGATTTTTCATTCCAAGCGGGTGAAATTTAGTACAGTTGAATCATCATTACATAAACACAAACAAGAACTCAAACTAGGAACTTCACATAAAAAATGGACTACAAAAATCCAGTTAACTCTTCAAGTATACAATGGCGAAATATTCATTTTAGCACACCATGCTCTATTTCTCATTGTTCCTGGAACATCACTAAGACACACATAATAGACATAACCCAAATTTTGATCCATTTGTTTCAGCCTCTGACAATGTGACATCAAGGATTAAATATTTGCATAATAAATCTACAGTGTGCATGGCCTAAGAAAAACACCCTATTATGCATTGGAAAACATCTAAACCCAAAAATACTGACGAATGTTAAAAGACCCAAACTATGTTGTATTTCAATATATAAGTCAAATTTTTCAAGGTAACACTGTTACTACATCATCGGTACATCATAATGACCAAGCAAGAAGCAAATGATTCTTCACTTTCAAACCTCATTGATGCTGCGGTAACCAGAACCATCTGGAAGGTTGGAACTAACAGAAAACCTGAACCAATTCTTTTTCTCACAATACAATAGACAAGGCTGTAACATAAACCCAAACAAAAGAGCAATGATGCTAAGTAACATGACTTTATAAGAAGCCAAGGCTAAAACAACAAAAATTAATAGGGTTGGAGGGATGCACATCAAGACAGCTCCGGTTGTGCCAAGGGGTATCTTATAAGGGCGAGACACAGAAGGATGATCAATCCTTAGCTTCAAAAAAGCTATGAACTCAACAAGCATTCCAAAACAGTACAAGAAATTCTCTGCGGCCACGATCTCTTGAAAGCTTAGGCAAGAGAGCAAAATCACGCCCATTGAAGAAAACAAGATCCCAAGGAGTGGAGTCCCATAGCGAGACCGTTTCCCAAATATCTCAGGAAGCATCCCTCGATCAGCCATACCCAAAAGTTGAAATGAGTCGCTGCTCATCTCCGCCAAAAACATCCCCATATTTGACACAGCCGAAGCCCCTTGAATCCAAAATCTCAACCATACTCCCCCAAGAATTTCGGCTATATCTGAGAAATAACCGTCAGTCCACAACTCGCGGTCCAGCTGAACAGCTCCAGTGCCAATCAGAAGAGGGAAAAAGTAACCTAAAACCACTAAGATAAGCGCGTAAAATAGCGCCTTGGGGAGCGTTCTAGAAGGGTTTTCCACCTCCCCAGCCAACGTGCTTATTGAATCCCAGTAATTCAAATTCCAGAAAAGAGTGTTTAGATACAGACCCCAATCCACATGATTAACATCTACCACAAACCATCTTGACGCCTCCAAGTTGGGGATCGCTACAAGCCCCATAAACAAAAAAGGAAGAAGTGAAAAAACCCCCAATAGGATAGCAGCCCACCCAACAATTGTCAATCCTCTATAATTCATAAAAGTTAGTCCTACAGTCAAAGCCAAAACAGCAGCCATTCTAGGGAAACCATCAGCTAAACTGGGGATAGCAGATTTCACATAATCCAGAAACAGAACTGGATAAAGTGCATTGTCAATAACACCACTCAACCACTTCACCCATCCTTGTTGAAAACCCCAAAATGGACCCAAGGCTGAAGCAACCCAAACCACATAGCCCCCGTTTTCGGGGAACATCGTTCCCAGTTCTGCTGTTATTAAGGCTTCGGGGACACTCCATATTAGAGGAAAAACTAAAAATCCAACAAGGGCTAATAAAGGGCCTGCTGCCTTAACACTATCTTCAACACCAAAAGGACCCCCTGAAACCTCATAAAAAATCAGGAAAACAAGAGGAATGATTGATACCTTACTGAAAGTCTCACACTTTGGAGGAGAATCCAAAACCCCTTCATCAATGCAAGGAGAAGAACATGCAGCATTAGTATAACCACCTTCCCTCATCAGTAAATCAGATTTTTCGTGGACTGAAGCAACAAGTCTCTGCTTCTGCACAAACAATTAAACCATCCCAATATGATCAAACAAGCAAAGAAAAGGAATAGAGGAAGCGAACCACATATACGGATAAGAAAAAATTAATGTGTACACCACTAAGGATCAATCAAAACCACAACTCATTGAATGATTTAACTGGTTAACAGATGTATACTTAACTTCGATTTTTATGATTTGTGTACTTCCATTATTATGCCAACTTTGTGATTCCTACCGATTCAGACTAATGCATGTTTGATGACACGAGAGAATCTTTCAGGAAACCAAATAACTTTCCTTTTTCTTTCTGTTCCAATTTAGGGGTTTCCATATAGGCATGTCATCATTTTTGCATAAAAGCAAAATAATACAACAATTGTTGAGAAACCATCTTTTACTAAAAAAAAAAACAAATTAAAATAATTAACAACAATCTCTTGGTAGTCAAGAGGCTCAAAACCAGGCTGTTCTCATCAGCTATATTCGTTCCAAAGCAGCTTGGATGGTGAAACGAAATCAAAACATGACGTCACCAACACAAGTGGGATATAAGTTAGAAGAATCACCGAGTGGGATATTATATATATATATATATATATATATATATATATATATATTATATATACAAAACATATTCAGAATTCCATTTAAACCCTGAGAAACACCAGAAAGGCAGAAATGGACAAATTGCATTAAAGCAAACGAAAGTTAAACAAAACCCGACAAACACAACATGTTTATGATTATACAAAACACAGAATAGATAATCCTAGGTAGGTAGGATGGAAAAAAGGATAAAGAGGGCAAAAGAAAGAAACCCAATGAAAGAGAACATCGGACAGGAAGATGGAAAACATGTTAGATTGAGATCAGAGATTACCCAGAAGTCAATCTCGTTTAATAGTAATAAAAAAAAGAAAAGGAAGAAAAACATTGGGAAAAGTAGTGAAGAAAACACACCATGGCTGGTTAACAACAACAAGGTGCGAGCATGGCAGTTGTTTTGGCCCGAGTTGCAGTGTGTGTGTGTGTGTGAGACAGTGTGGACACGTGGCGTCGCCTCCGGTGTGAGTGAAGGGAATTGGAAGAAGAAGAAGGCTTTCATCATTCATTTTTATTTTTTTTCCTTTTGTAATTAACCAGTGTAAAAAAAATTTTCTAGTTACTCTTTTTCTTTTGCGCATTATGGTTTAGCAACATTGATTAATCATTTTTTGCTTGTAAATTCTTAGGGGAATGGGACAATGGGCCAAGAGTTTATTTTACTTGCAGTGTGTGATTAATCATTTTTTAAATAACAATGACTAAATCTTTTTTATTCGAATTTCCTAACCCTAGAAAAATTTACTACCACCCGTCAAATAATTTCAAAATAAATAATGACGTAACGTATCTAATGCATCGATAAAATAAAAATGATTGTATAACAAAATCATGTTTTTAATCCGTCTAATCAAAGAAGTACTGTATTCAATTTTTGAAGGTTTGCACTTAACCGCCTTTTACGGTTTTACTTTTACCCCCATCATCGCATTCTACTTCTTGCTATCTTCGTTCAAAGGCTAATGCAGAGTTAACAAAATTTTCTTTTCATTTTTCTATTTGAAATTGGAAAATGATAGGAAGAAAGGTGGACTAAGATAATAGAGAAGTGGCATTCCCCACCGACAATCGCTACAGAAAATAGAGTTTGTGATGGACCATAATTCCTAAGTGCCAATATTAATTAATTTATATCGCTATTCTTCATATAGCAATTTTCCACAGGTGATTGGAACTGTAGTGGACACTATTTATCTTGAAAATTAACCAAGTTAGATTAACTTTATCATACTCCTTCCATCCTTCAAGATTATTATGCCTAAAATTGTATTATTAATTTATACTCTTTTTTTTTAAAAAAAAAGATTGGATGGTTTTAGTGAGAAACGAACTCTCAACCTCAAAAGTAATAACTATCTCCCATTCTAATCCCTTAATCATCCCACCTAACCCTCTCACCCTTTCCACTCCTTAATTTCTACTCTTTTTACTTAACAAAATTCAAAATTTAATACGAATTACGTATTTTTTTGGCATAGAAACAATATAAAAAATTACAGGAAATAATTATTTTAGGATTAAAATAAGAAGGTTAACAAGAAAAAGTACACGAATCTTCTCCGATGTGGGATCTCTGTCAATAGATTAGGAAAGCAAAGAATATATATAGAATATAATATAGCTCCATATAATATGATATCTTTTTTGGCCTTTCTAAAGAAAACAAACAATCAAAAGTGCAAACTGTTGCCACGACCATATACTATTACGTAATAGTACTAGTGAATTTGGTAGTAATTTATTAATGAAATTTAATACCAAAAAAAATAAATAAAAATGCACGTGTAATCCGCGTTCATTTCGTGGTCGGTTTGACCTCATTTTTCCAATTTCCCCAACTTTCAAATACTACTACTACCATTGCAGACTTTTATTACTCAAAACTCATAATTATAGTTCTCCACCATTTTTTTCCTTTTTTTTTTTTGGTGAACTTCAAATTTTTTTTTTTTTGTTTTTTGGTTGACTCATCTACAAGTTAAATCTAAACCCTAAGCCCAATTCAAGTAATCAAACTCCTTTGATATATAGTCAGGTTAGTAAAATCTCAATACATGTAAATCAAACTAAATAAACCGTTAAATCGGTCAAAATTCATCTACAAATTCACATGACAAAAAACTTGTTCCAATACCATGTTAAAGACTCAAATAAACTCACATGTGGTTCCATCTTAGAACAAGTTGATAATGAGGAAATAACACATGGAACTTATATATAGGTCAATATAAAATACCGTTTCTACCGTAGGATAAATGTCTTTTAACCGATTTGAACATTGGTATTTTGTAGTGAAAGACTGATATGCTAAAATATTATTTCAATTATATTCATTCGGTCTTAATTACAGTACAGCCATATTTTAATAAAATGTAGTTACTTCTTCCATGTGAAATCCTCAAACACAACCCCCAAAAAAAAAAAGAGAGAGAGAAGAAGTTATTTCATGCGCAACACATAAAATAAACTTAAAGTTCCATGTTTTTTTGTTCCCTTCACTCATGTCTCTGCAAATCACATAAAAACTTGTCGACATCTAAAGGGTCAAAGCTAGGCCAGAAGTCGAAACTAACCAAACTCAAGCATGATCCAAAGGGGCTCATTCTAAAACAATGTAAAAAGATAAAAACTATTTCTTTAAACAACAAGGCCATAATTATAAGTTTAGAGATTTGTCAAGCTAAATTGTTCCACTACATGTAATATGCTTAAATTACTAATAAATGAAACTATGACATAACATTTCAACCTAAGCCTAGACGTGCCAAAATCTCATCTTGGGTTAGTTTGATGTGAGTTCGAACTCAATCGTCAAATATTTCGACCTAAGCTCCACCAAATTTAACCTCGATTAAACTTGAGTTACACCTTTTTATTGAAACATTTTCGTCTTACTATATATATATATATATACGTGTGTGTGGAAGGAGAGATGTTTTGTGTTGGTGGTGATGAAGCTTTGGGTAGATAGTGGATAGTGGATACCACTTTGTTATCCAAAGGAGATGAGATCCTTCACATATAGTAGATGCTTACCCCGGGTGAATGTCTGGGGTGTCGTCTTTACTTTTAAATCGATTAAATAAAAAAATAAATTATCTTTAAAAGAATAAAAAATAGAAAAATAAAAATCGGTTAAAAGGACAGAACTGAGTTATTACACATAAACCTATGTCGAGGTTTACAACAGTTAATTTACAACAATTAACTTATACCCGAATTTACATAACTCATAAACCAATATCTAAAACAGAAGAATAGAAAAAATAAATCATTCTTAAAAAAATAAATTTTCTTCCATGACCGCTTCTTTTTCCTATGTTGTAGAAAGAGATAAATTGATAATTGATGTCATATTTTAAATAGTTGATTTGAAGGCCTGAGTCTGAGAGAGGAGCGGAATGGAAAAGATCATTTGAGATTGAGTGGCATTGTTGTTTCACTTGATTTAAGGAGATTTTATGACATTTGATTTTATCAACTCAATATTATTGTTTTAAGAGATTACTATATACCTATAATTAATGAATTTTTATGTAGTTATAATTAAGGGATTTATTTATTTATGTATTTCATCCTTTTTTCTGATTAGTTAGAGTGCCACATGTCAAAAATAATTTTGTACTGAAAATGACTTTTGACGGGAAAATCTATATCTCTTTTACCCTATTAAAGCAGAAGACATGAAGCTTATGTGGCAACTACGTATGCATCTGTTTTGGCTCCAATGCACCATATTTCAGATTTCAGAAGTTTTTTTGCCACGTGTAAGTCTCTTTTAATTAGAAGCAATATAATTTTTTTTTAAAAAAAAAACACATGTTTTACTACAAATAAGGATCAGTTACATTTCAAACGAATGGATATATTAATTCAAATTCAAATGTCCAATCGTATAGTTTTGCAGGCTTAATATAAACAAAAAATAAAAATACTTAAATCCAGTAATTAAGAATAATCCCTTACAAACTAATTATTTATTATTTTCTTATGACCTCAGATTTATAGGTATATTTTTTTAAGCCCCAAACCATAGCATAAATGATATATACGCCAAATTAATTCCTCAAAAAATAGTAATTCAATTAGATTTTAATAAAATAATAATTGAGAGGGGGCGCCCGGGCATCTGTCCGAGCCAAGCATCTAGTACTATACTAAGGTAAAAACCAGAGAGAGAAATCTAAAGTTAAGGAGCACATGCCACATAGGATTTTATCCTAAGTAGCATTTTCTAATTTTCTAGATATCAAAATGCACAAAACAAAATAATAAAAACCAAAAAAAAAAAAAAACGCAACTGAAAAATCCAAACCCTATATTGAATTGTCCAAATCCCTGCAAATCCGATAGACGGATCTCTTCCTCCTAAAAAAAAACGCAACTTAAAAAGAATTTTATATTAATAATTTATTAAAATAATTAAAGAAGTTAGGCCAACATGAAACTTCTATAATTTAGCTTCAAATATGGAATTGAGTTAAAATACTATGGTGATGGGTTGATGTAGCGGGGCTAAAAATCTAACTTTAATTCGAAAAAAAAATGAGTAGGATAGATTTGACATTTGCGAAAGTGTCTAGAAAGATATTAATGAAGAAAAAAAATAGGTAAATGATATTCTTTAAGGGTAAAAAAATAGTCCCACCCTCACATTTTAAATAAAATATTTTTGACAACGGGTAAGTTAATTAAAGATAAATTATTAGATTGGTAATGAGAAATAACTAAATCAAACGAACAAATGAGGCTAAAATATAAAAAATGAAGGAAAGTGAGAATGCATCATATTTAAAAACTAAATTAATAAAATAAAAACACTGAAATCAAAAGTCACACCAAAACAAGGAATAAAGGTCCTGATATCTAATTTTTTTATTTTTTAAATTTTTCTTATTAAAAAATTGGATGGCCTCTACAACAAGTTAGGGTTGTTGTTTCTATAGCAACCATTCCTTATCATAAACCTTTTCAAAAAAAAAAAAAATTTTCTTATCATAATTTCTTAATCACCCTAGTCGACCTTTCCACCACAGACTACCAATGTAGTCTACCAAGAAATACTGCAAGATATATAATTATTTAATTCAAAGTTCATTTTTTTTAATTTCTTAACAATTTTTTTTGCGTTAAATAAATTACCAGTGTATTTGTTTGGTAAAGTGTTATCGATGTTTGTGTTTTATATTTTTTAATAAATTCATTATATATTTTATAAAAATACAAAAATCTATACAAATATTAACATTTTTTTGATTTGTTTGTCTAGTAATATCTATGTATATGTGCTCCCCGTCCATCGGACGGGTCTAACACCTAGTTTTCATTGTGGTGATGACATATGTCTTTTTTGTTTGCTGCTTTAATTAAATACTATAGATATGGCTAACAAAATGGTGTCTGTAAATTGTAACCAAATTAAGAATTTTGGAGTGGTGAAGGTGGGGGATATATATATGCAGCTGTTTTCAATTCAAAAAAGATTTTGAGAGAGAGAGAGTGGGATTTAGGTATTATTAATTGGTACTACACTCCCCAAAACTTAAGGAAAAGAGAAAAAGCAAATCTCACAGACAGAATCTTTGAGTAATTAATTTAAACTTAATTACTTTTTTGGTTAAGAATGTTCAAAGAGAGATCCCTCACAAGGCTCAAGCAATTTATTGTATTCATTCATGGTCATGGGTGACACAACGCAACAACCTCTTCCAAAAAGCTATCCAGCATCCACCATTTTTTTAATATATATATATATATATATAAATATAAATATATAGAGAAATTAGATAGCTAATGGTAAGACTAAAATGGCAAATGTAAAATTACACTAAATCTCACCCATCAATTTGGGGTCATTGTTTAATTTGGTCCACTGATGTTGACAATTTTTCCCATTTCATAATCTAGTCTCGAGTTTGATCTCATTCCACCAATAAATCGGGTTTTTTAATTAATAAAAAAAAATCAAGTTTCATGTATCAAGTTTTATTTAAACACTGAACTAGCTAGGTTATATATAAATTGAATATATATATATATATATATATGTAAATGCTAACAAAAATATCACACTTACCCCAAAGTACAAACTACTCAATTTTACATAATCCTTTGCTAACTGGACTTAATAATATTCTGTTGTTGCAACTACTCGAAAGTCAAAAATAATATTTTCTCTGTGTCAAGATGAATATCGTACCAGAGGAGTTAATAATCGTGGTGATTGTAACTTGTAAAAGGTAAGAGGGACTAAAAGTTGTGTTATTAAGGCTATGTTTGGTTCCTTTTTTTCACTCATTTTTTCAGAATTTTTAATTAATATCTATCCCATCCCAGCATACTTTTTTATATTTTCAATGCACTTTTTTACATTTCTAATAACACTTTTTACATTTCCAAACAAAAAAATATACTTAAAAAACCTTCCAAACATAGCCTAAGTATTACCAAAGGTAAAAACTGCTTGAAGAAGACATTTTCTTTTTCCCTCCTAACAAACTACTCCTCCCCCTACTAAACTAAAACAACAGTCACAAAATCACAACTCACACACACGCACGCACACAGAGACCTTTGTACATTTTAACAAAACGTTACGTGTCCTTAGCTTATGGCTTAATTTCATTAAACTGGGACCCCAACCCCATCACTCTCACTCTCTTTGGAGACGAGACGAGACAATTTTCCAGGACTACAAAATTAGTACAAAACAATCTTATAGCTGCAAACCCCACCAACCAAAATAATACCAAAATCTCCTTCTCCACCTCTGATCCTCTCCTGTTATTCTTTCTTTCCCATCTTGTGTTCTATCATTTCTTCTGTATTTCTTCAATTTATTATCCTTTTCTTTTTGCTCAGAGGAGGAAAAAACAAAAAGAAAAAAAGAAGAGACTGAAGTTCAGTTGGAGCCTGGATGGGCGCGGCTTCAATCAACTCCGATTACGAAGTCAGGATCAAACCATTTAGAGGAGACTTCATGATCAGTCCCGCCCAATTCCATCATGATCATCATAATCATATCGAGATGATTACTTTTGAGGCTACCCCTTACACCAGTCTCAAGGACTTGTTGGAAACGTCGCCCCCGTCCTCAGCTTCGCCCTCGTCCTGGCTCATCATGTCAAGTTGTAGTAGTGGTTGCCGGAAAGATAGTTGGCGGGAAATACCCATCAAAGACCCGCTCTTGCAGCACGCTGCGTGGGCCTACCTCCTCCCCATGAGCGGTGCCGACTCCCCGGGCGGGACCCACACCCGGAACTTCCTGCACAAGCTCAAGAATCTCCTCTGCGGCGGCCGTGGGATTTTCGGATGCCTTAACGATGTCGTTATGGTGATCACTAAGAACTGGGTTTCCGTTTTCTCCAGGTGAACCAAATATTTGCAGGTTGCAACAACAAGAGTTGACTCAGTCACAAAGTCAGATGAAGCTCTCTTTCTTTTTTTTTTTTTTTTTTTTTTGGTTTTGGGAGATGCTTTATTCTGATTGGTTGTCAATTTTTCAAATTTCATTGTCCCTTTTTCCTTTGGCCTAGAGTTTTCTGGCTTTCTTTTCTTCCTCTTTTTTTTTTAAAAAAAAAATCAAATTTTTGTCTACATGTAGAGGGTTGAGACTTGAGAGGTGACTTTGGTTTGTTTTTTTGTTTTTTGTATTTTCATTGTACATATATAATAGTAGAAAGGGATGTTTCTGACAAAATTGATTGAACATGAGAATGAGTTTGTCTAGCTGGTTCGCCCTGCATTTTGCAATTTATTCTTCTTTCTGTAGCAATTTCACATTTCCATGATTCCATCCAAACCAAAAGGCACCCAATTATTGATTTAAAACCAGGTTCCATAATAGTACTACTACTTCCGTCCCAAAAAAAATTCACATTGAATTTTTATTTTTTACTGTTTTTAGTACAAATTTTAAAAATCAAATTGGACTATTTTTTTTTTTGGACTAAGAGAGTAGTAAACAAGTAATAATGAACCCTAAAAGGCAACGACATGTCAAAATCTAAGAGGTAGTATATTACAAGATGTGTAAAGCATTTAGTCGTAGATTCATTTTTTATATCCGTTGTAGATGACATAATAAGCTCAAATGTCTGTTATATGATATCACAAACTATTTTGATTGATGTTCAAGTTCAACAATTCAAGCGACAAAATGAGGCACAGTGTAGTCATTATGATTACAAAATAAATAAAAATATTGATTGGAAAAAAAACTGCTATTACTTTAAAGTTTAAACAGGAATAAGGCCCATCATTCCTAACCTAATTATACATAATCTAATGCCCCTCCTGAACCAATAAAGAACATTTACAAGGATAGTACAAGTTCAGAAATGATTTGGGGATGATTTCAAATCCTTCCCCTCTATGTTTATGTACATTTTAGGAGTGATTAGAGCACAGTGACAACTCCTTGTAAGTCAACTGAGACTTCAACTCTCATTAACTGCAATTTGCATCAAGCCTCTCCCTCTCACTCTTTTTTTTTTTTCTTTCTTCGCTTAGAAGCTTCTCCCTCTCACTCTAATAGTATAGATTTTAAATTTCCAAAAGGAATTAAGCCCCTCTGTTTTTACATGGATAGCTATAAGATGGGTAGGATCAAAAAAGAGACGAATTAATGTTCTAATGGAAAGCATATGGTGTTTGTTTATATACATTGTATACAGTATTGGGTCTCTCTTGTCTCATTTCCTCTACACAATTGGTTTTCTCTCATAATACTATGTGCATCTCTAACCAAGTATACAGAAAACTCTTAAGAAACAGTAATAACTTTGTCAAGAACTAAAGAAAACTAACCCGTCACCAATAATCTTTACACGAGCATTGCCCATTCCTGAAGTGATGATAAACTTTTGCATCTCCAACTAGTATCTCCCTATCTGCAATTTCTGAGATTTTCTTGGCCGCATCATGGCATTCCCTGCACATCCGTACGTTTTTCCTAACAAGAACAGGTGCCCCAATTGATGTACAAATCAACCCGTAACAGATAGCCAACCTCACACTGTGGTACAGAGTGGAATTTGCTTTTCTCCTGACTACATCTGCTGGTTTGAACATATTAGAACCATGGGGTATCCATAAGTTGTCGCCTTTCTTTCTTGAGATAATATCTAATGCCTCGTAAATCAAGCTTGCCTTAGGATGCACACAATCGTGATTCGTGAACCGATAAACCTTGCCTCTGTGTTCGATCTTGCTGTGAGCAATGGTTTTCCTCAATCCATGGCTTTCCATGGAGCGCCTCACACGTTCCACATCGGCCGGTCTCCTCAGTTCAGCGTACATGTTTGACAACAAGATGTAACAGCCCGTGTTGTTGTTTTCTATTGACAGGACGTGATTTGCAGCAAGTTCTGCAAGTTCAAGGTCTCGGTGGCACCTACTCGCCGCCAGAAGTGATCCCCAGATCCTGGCAGTTGGCACTAATGGCATTTCATCGATTATAAGCTTAGCAAGCTGAAGATCACCTGTACGTCCCTCTATGTCAACAATACAACCATAATGCTCGATTCCAGGCTCCATATTGTACTCTGTTCTCATTGAATTGAAGTAGCCGCGACCTTCATCCACCAAGCCGCTGATGCTGCAAGATGTTAAGAGAGAAACAAAGGTACTTGCATTTGGTTTCATGCCCTCTTCCAACATACTACAGAAGAGTTGAATTGAAACTTTGCCAAGCCCATGAATACCGAATGCCATAATAATGGAGTTCCAGGAGATCAGATTCTTGTACTCCATGCAGTCAAAAACCTTCTCTGCAGCGGCGATATCCCCACATTTCCCGTACATGTAAATAAGCGAATTACATATAAACATATTCGAGCTAAATCCCATTTTGATGATGTAACCATGGATTTGCTTCCCTTCTACCGGCAAAGCAATTTCAGCAAATGCAGGCAGGAGATTCACAAATGTGGTCTCATCCGGTGGTTGAATGCCCTCAAGTGACAAATCCAAGAAAAGTTTTATTGCTTCTTCCCAAGAGGAATTATGCACATATGCTGCAATCATTGCATTCCATGATATCAAATTCTTCTCCTGAATACCAAGAAAAATGGTCTCTGCTGAGCTTAGGCAGCCGCATTTGCCATACATATCCAATAGGGAAGTCTCGAGAAATAGATGCGGAAAAATCCCTCTTCTAATGGCGAAACCATGTAAAGCCCTCCCCTGCAGAAAACCACTCATTCTTGTGCACGAGGGTAGCAAGTTTATTAACGTCACTGCATCAGGAACCAATTTGTCACGCGCCTGCATCATAAGGAAGCAGGAAAAACATTTCGTTACTTCATCATTGCGTGCGTAAGCTCCAATCATAGCATTCCAGACAGGGATAGTCCTCAGAGAATGAGAAACAGCAATAAACACTCTCTCCGAATATCCCACCAAACCACAGTTGCCATACATGTCCACAAATGAGGTTGCAATCATGGAATCCAAATCTATGCCCCTTCTGATCACTTGGCAGTGGACCTCCTTGCCATTCAGCAAAGAACACGCACCAAGAATGCTGATAGCACCGAACCGGTCAAAACCTAATCCTGAAGCCTGCATTTCCCGGAAGCAAACCAGGGCCTCAAAATCTTCCCCGGATGAAACATATGCACTGATCATAGAATTCCAAGAAACCAAGTCTTTAACGGGCATGCCCCGGAATATTTTCAGGGACTGCTGGAGGCATCCAAGCTTGGAATACATAACAATGAGGGAATTGCAAACGTAGAGGTCCGCATCCAAACCCATCCGGATCACCCTGGCATGGATCCTCTCGCCTTCAACCAAATCAGAAAGCCCAACACAAGCCTTGATCACAAACGGAAAGGTGTAATAATCGGGCCCAATTCCACGATCGTCAACATCACCCTCCAACATTCTGTGGTAAAAGTAAATGGCTTCCCGGAAGAATTCATTGTCAGTCAAACACCTAATAAACACGTTCCAAATGAATTGGCTTCGTTTGGGCAGATTCTCAAACACTTGGAGAGCGCTTTTGAAGCTCCCTGACTGTAGGAACCGGCAGAGATTTCTAGCCACAGCGAGATTGTTTTCGACAGCCCGGGAAGATTTCGGGGGTTTTCTGGTGGTGGCGTTGGGAGGTTTGAGAAAGCTGACACTGTGGTAGGTTTGAATGGTCGATTTTGGCGGGAAAAAGGTGGCGGCGGCGGAGAATTTGGAAGATGGACAGAGAGAAAGAGGGGCCATCTGTTGCATGTTTGTGAGATGGAGGAGGGCCATCCGATTGATGGCGGATTAAGGGTACACACCACAGTAAATCATCGGCCGGAGATGATCCTCCTCATGGTTGTTATACCGGAACAGTCCGGGCGGGTAGTGGAATGTTGAACAGATAACGTGGCTCTCGATTACTTGGATAAAAAAGGATACAGAGAGCACCGGCACTAACGGTTACCGGTCACCATTTTTCATGATGATTTTTAATCGGGTAAAGACGTAAAGTACACTAGAGATTGAGAGACAGCAAAAAAAAATAAAAAAATAAAACAGTACTATTCAAATTTGTTAACCCTTCTAAGCACAATGTAGCACATCTGCCACACAGATATTTTTTCCTTCGTTTTACTGAACTACGCTTTCAAATTGAAGGGTCGAATTTCCTAATTCGTCGACCCCTTCGTCGGCTTATGTATCTTGATGCCAAAGTCGACGCGTTCGATTTTTTTTTTGTTTTTTCCAAGGCGTGCAACTATGTAAGCACTATTGAAATTGAAACGATATATCTCCAATTTCAAAATTGTAATTATGTAAGCGCTGTAAATTCTACTCTATGGATCCCGATTAAACAGGGAGGAACACGGATTTACAAAAGGTGAACAAGAAGATAATCCATAGATTTGCTTTTGATCTAATTTTGTAAAAGTTAAAGATCTAAAAATTTGATTCTAGATCAATATTGTAAGTTAGATCTTCAAAATTTCTGTATTAAAAATTCATCTTATACTTTTAGACTTTAAAATATCTTTCCATTTAATTGGTGAAGTTAGTTAGATCTAGAATCTTAGAGCTAATATTATCTTCTGTCATCATTAGATTTAGCTAATTTTTATACAACTCTTGTATTTTTTTTAATATGTTTTTTTAACAAAATATGATTATCGTTTGGACAAATATATATATATATATATATATATATATATATAAAACACCTTGTCATGGGGTTAGTAATCTCCCCACCACAGGGTAGTGTGTTCAAATTATGTACATAATTGGAATGTATAAATATCATGTACAAATCAAGCATTGGAGGTGAAATTGTACGACATATCAGCATTAAAACAATCACTCTCAACAGACTCTCTACCCAGGGTCCAAGAGAAGTGCAAAAGCATAAACATAAGTTGCAGGGATTCAAAAGAACCAAAGAAATAACCGCTCATAAAGGACAAGAACGCAAGAAACAGCAGATTTGATAACAGACATGATTTGTTTATTGTACTGTTTTTTGAAAAGCAGAGAGAGGAAGAGAAGCTCAAGCAAGTGCTAAGATTCCAAGAGAGAATAAGGGTTGGTGGAAGGAGCCTCAAATTTTGGCCTTGCGACAGTGGGAAGCACACAATATTGGACTACAATAATAGTCTACTAGTAGGTTAGATTTGTCTCGTGTCTGGTTCAACAAAAATATCTTTACTAATATAATAGTACTGAGCCCCCAAAGACAAGGCACTACTACTACACACTAGTAAACATATTCCTTGCTTTTTCTTGGGTATGATGCAAATAAAAACACTATCTCCCATAGGCAAGCAAGAAAAACCCTCTTGCAGTTTTGTATCCAACTTTAAATCAGTAATTTTTACCATGATAATTAACCCGGGGAGAAAATAGTTCAATACCCTCCTCTTTAAGTAATAGTTCATCCACACTTGCCTAATCCAAAAGGAAAGTAATTTTCATTGAGAAAGAAGGCCAACAGTCCTCTACATAAGCAATAGTTCATCCCCTGACTTGAAAAAAAACCCCTAAAGGAGAAATTTTTAATATCCCTTCTGTAAGAATAACTCTGCAATAAGAATGCAAAAGGGACCTCAATGAAATGGAAAAAGACAATCCATCATGTTTGATAAAGGCGAAAAAAGTCGGTAAAAATTTGCAAAAGAGCATTTGGATGCACAAACTAAACTAAAATAATGTGTATCCAAAGGGGAGATGGATCTGAAACTGGGGACTCCTTTTTTCTTCACCGAAAAAACAAGAACATAGAGATCTGCAAAAAAATAAGTAAATAATTCCAGAATCCAAAAGCATAGCACATGTTACCAATGGTTCCCCAACTTTTCTTCTTTTTTTTTTTTTTTCCCCTTTTACCGTCTTCCCCAAAGTAGAAAAATTAGGTGATCACTCATACCTTTACTTTACAGATAAGGAGTTAATTCATTTTAAAAAGCAGGATTAAATGCAAGCTTTGCTATAGGAGAAGTCTAAAACAAGTACAAACTGCAAAGTCATTTTGGGGGTATGCAAAATTAAGGAACAATGAACTGGAATATATCACAAGGGATTTCTTTCAGCTGGCCTGTCTCTATACCCAATGCCTTTCTAAAACACAATATCTAGATCCAATTTATTCTCTCTTTGTATGGTTTAAATTACCAAGAAAGTATCTTGTAGCCATATCCTGTTTAACTTAAACAAACTTGATTCACCAGATTACTTCAAGATTCTTTTAACTTTGCATCGAAATCTAATACACCCATGCAACGCTTAACCGAGACAGATCGCCATCCCAAATTCCCAATCTCAAAATCCATGATAGAATCAACACAAATATCTCATCTGCAATAGCTTCACCTTCCATTAACTTCCTAGTTTAAGTTGTGGTTCCTAATTAAGAAGGGTAGACTAATGGCATCGAGGAACATAGATGCACTTAAACATGGACAAACGACTAGGGGGGACCACCTAGAAAACTAATGAATAACTAACTGCTCAAGAGCCAGCCTCATCAAATATCACACAAACATAATTGATAATCCTAAGTATTTATAAACATTAAATAAGATTTTGTACAGCCATGATCTTGATGGCTGTTGTTAAGAGAAGGATGCGATCCACCCGTGCAACGCCAAAACTACCCACCATGGCATCCAGCTAACAGGGTCACGTGCCCTGCATCCCACTCAATAATTTATCTATCCATTACTATGCACAAATACAAGCAAACAGACAGTAGTTCTACAGCAACATGTCAGCAGTAGCTAGTTGGCATAGTTCAAATCTGAACTGAATCCAAAAAAACACCAGCCCGTGGCTATCAACAACAACAACACCACCAGCCCACCACTGATATTTACAATGGCCTAATAAAAAATCTAGCAAAATGATAAACCAAGGGGACCAAATCCCATCTCCATTTGGCACCCGGTAAAGCATTTGTAATCATCGAAAATCAAATTCCTAATTCATTCAATTTTGGATCTTTCCCACCAAAACAGCCTCAATACTAAAAACACTTCACCCCAGATTTGACCAGTTCCGCAAAGAAAAAGAAAATGAAGAAGATAGTATTGAAATCAAATCATCAAGGAGTAAATCTTTCTCATATTGATTAATACTACTACAGCTAAAAGGAACAAAAATACATAAGAAAATGAAAAAAAAAAAGTTCCAAACTTTCTATCAGAATTGATCAAATTAAGTTAAATAGAAAGAGGGAAAAAAAAAAGAGACTAAACCCTGAACAACAAATGCATAATAAAACATGAAACCAAAAACCACAAGCATGGAAATTAACCTCCATGATTAATCTCTACGCCCCAAGTAAAGAGGCCCATCTATCAACATCTCTCCCTAATTGAGTCATGGATTGATTCATTCTGAGGGACTGGAATGGGATTCGGGTCCGGGTTTTCTGCAGAGAATCATATGCATAGGGCTGAAAATCCCTTGGTCACCACCTTTGGTGAGATAATCAGCGGTGACAAACAACATCTCGTGGACATCCACAACTCCTTTGGGTGCAATCCCAAGCCAAGCAAGAATGGTCACCAAAATGTGGTTCCTCCAGTAAGCAACCCGACCCATCTTCAATCGAGTCCACCATGGCTCCGCCGGCGGCTTAGCCAAGTCCTTCTCCTTCAACACTTCGAACCCAACCCTCTTCGCCACCTCGGCAATGTCCTTGTAGCTCCTCAACCCGGGCAGCGCATCCCCTCTCTCAATCCCATGAATCACCTCCACATGTTCCGGGTTATCGGGTCGGTACAGCTCGGTGGTGACCCATTCGTAAGAAACGTACAAAGATCCGGGTTTCAGGACCCGGTAGATCTCACTGTAAACATCTTCGAGCTTGGGAGCATGGCATGTGGCTTCAATTGAGTAGGCCCCATCGAAGCTGTTGTCCGGAAACGGCATTTGCAGGAAGTTACCGCAAACAACTTCGCACAGGGAATCCAACCCGGCTTTCTTGTTATGCATCCGGGCCCGTTTCACTTGGTACTCGTTGATGGTGATTCCCACCACGTGGGCCCCGGAGTGGGCGGCAATAGCGCGCATCGGGCCTCCGACGCCGCACCCGGCGTCGAGAATGCGGGCCCCGGGCTTGACGTTGAGGAGATCGACGGCCATTTCCTCGTGAATCCGGGTGGCTTCACGGTGGGATTTGCCGGGGATGGAAGGGGAGAAATGGAAAGACTGGCCCCAACCCCACTCGTAGATGTCGGTGACGAGGTTGTAGAAAGTGTCGACGAAAGCAGGGACCTTATCGGCGGTCTCGATCTCCTTAGGGCGGCGGAAGAAGGACCAGTACTGCTTGTACTTATCCTGAACTTTCTCCTTATCGATGGAGCCGCCGGAGAGTTGGACGGCGTGTTTGCCCTTTTGTTCGGCGGGGCCGAGAATGCAGACGAACCAGTAGAGGCCGCCGGCAATTAGGGAGGCGGTGCAGAAGAAGAGGGTTAGAGAATCCATTGAAATGCAAAAAAGAGGAAGATAGAGAGAGAAATGAGAGAGAAGAGAAGAAGAGAAGGAGTGAGAGAGAGAGAGAGAGACAGAGACTCTGTGTATAACAAAGTCTTTTTGAGTGGGGTTTTTGTAATGGGTTTCTGCCTTTTCTTTTTTTGTTTTTTTTTTTCTTTTTTTTCCCCCCTGCTTTCGGAGTTTTTAGACACTTCCTTTTTGGAGAGTTGTTCTTTCTTTCTTTTTTTTTTCTACTCAAAATTTAAAAATTTTAATGATCAGTGATGAAATTTATGTTAAAAAAGAGTTCACAAACTAGATTTAATTTAAAGTTGGACTACAATTTCTAAGCAATTATTACGATATGTCAGAACAAAGCAACAATGTAGTAATAGATAGTAGGTAGAATCACCACCATTTTATATATGGAATGTTATAAGGAAATTAAACACAAATATACTACTGTAACTACAGAAGATGAAACATAAATGAAACCCAGTCCAAAAAGAGTAATGTTTAGTTAGTTGTCATTGGTGCTAAAGTGTTTAACGTAAATTTGTAAGAAAAGAAAAGATAAATAACAAAGTAGCAATTTCAAGATTATTTATTATGTATGTAATGGTATGGTAGTACTTAGAAAACAAAGAATTGTTGGGGTTCACTTTTGTTGCGTCAATGAGGGTGACTCTGTGTTGTGTGTGTGTGTGTCCTTCACGTTCTGACACATCAACATCATCACCGCTCTCTAAAAATGGGAACGATTTTTCCTGCTTTTAGAGTTTCTAGTAAATAAGAAGACTTTCGACCTAGTGCGCTGTCACTTTTTAAATTCCTCTTGATCGTGTTTTGTTTTTCGAATAAAAAGTGGGTATATACTAGTAATACTAACTTACACTTTTAAAGTGCCATTATCTTTACGCATCATTTCATGTGATCCGGAGAGCTGATTTTATGGGTTTAATAACTTTTCTAATCTGCGCTGTTAGTCTTTAACCTAATCTTCCAAAACTTGCCACCAAACCAAAGTTCTAATTCACACAGTTCTCGATTTAACCCGTAAAGAGATCACCTATCCTGCTCCTGACGGTAAAATATCATTGCGTTGAGAGGTCACTGAATTCAATTCCCAACCTAAATTAACTGCAAAAACTTCCCAGCAACCTCTCTCCGTCTATCCCGAGCGTATGGTAAACAATTGATGGAAGATATTACCATCCAAAAGGGTCATGCGAGATATCCTACAACATGCATCTTCTCACGCACATTTTCATTTCTTTTTTACTTTCTATATCATCATCTTACTGCACACAACAAACAACATTGATGAGGAAACCACTAAAAAATCATTACCATCCACAATGTCCAAACTATACTGCTTGATTGCCAACCTCATTCCTGTCAAATGACATTTCAACTTATTCTCCTATGTATGTACAATTTCTGAACCTCTGTGTTTTGCACCCCAGAATGTTGCTTTCTTCTCATTCTTCACCAGTAGCAGTAGCAGCGCTCGTGGTGGTGATGTCTCCACCATCTTCATCGGTGGAAACGTCACTGTTCACATTAAATGTCAGAATAAGTTGGAGCTGCTCTGGTGTTACCTCTGGAACCTCCATGTTTTCAGGCATACCCCTCCACCTTTGCACGGGCATCAACTGCTGCATCAAGTCGAAGGGAGAAAGAGTACAATAGGTCGAGGGCCATGTCTTGTGCCTCCTCTGGAAACAGAAAGGAAAAGAAAAAAACAAAGCGCAGAAAAATCATCAGCATGGTAAAATGCAACAACACCACCATCACCATCTTATTATATTAAGTCTCTACACACTATCATTATTGCCAGCATGTCTTAATGATCATTCTGACATAGTCAATCATCTAAGGAGCTATCAACATCAACAACATCATCATCATTATGAGAACTGTCATTGTCATTATCGTCATTAATTATACTGTCATAGAAATCCTCATCTCCTTCTTCTTGTTCATCTCCATCCTCATCCATCGACTCACAATCATCTTCATCATTGTCGTCGTCGTCGTCATCATCATCTTCGTCAAAAAAATCTTCACTATCCTCATCATCGTATGAGTTGTCATCGTCAGTATTATTACTATACCCCTCCTCCTCAACTTCATAAATGCTACCAGCAAAATTAAAATACTCCCTGACTTCATCAAATCCACCAGGGTGAAAGTAACGCCTTCGACGAGGAATCAGTACCTTATCCAAAGAAGTATGTCAGGTTATCAGCAGCAAAATTAGATAAACCTCTCCAGGTTATCACAGGATGACCATTATATTGACCAGCACATGAACTACAACAGTAAGCAGAATAGAGATGCTACAGAAGGGATATAGAGCATAGTCCATATCGACGAAGAAGTTTATCATTCTGAAACACAAATCAATCCCCAATCATATGATTTTGCCAAAAGAATCCAAAAAGACAGTGATGCCACAGGTAAGTTCAGTGAAAAGTTTAATAGATGGAAAGCAATCCCCACCCCCTGTGAAAACAGATTTAACAGAACTGATGGGAGCATCATCAACTTGTTTCACAGCATAGAGCACCGATGTACGCCAAGGGGCTAAAACTTAACTTATGCATTCAGAAATGTTAATTTTAAGAGTTAATTGTCAACTTAATGAGGCAAACTCATGCAAGAATGATTTACAGTCGGTAAAGGTCTTGCTCAAATGTTGTCAGCAAAATTAGATTATGAAACAGCCCATGGATTTTGGAAATGTTCATTTATCCTCATTCAGCCAAATGATATTGCTACACAGGATTTAGCAGCTCGGCTGTTGTTTTCAGCAAAAGAGAAAATGAGGCTTATTTTTATGTTTTTGAATTTTGTTTTAAGTTCTTTGTTTCATTTTTACACCCTTCTTTTGGGGCTAAACGACAAACATTAAGTCTAAACTGAGTAGTAAGTAACGAATACAAACCTTCTCAAGCTTTGTTGGCAGAGTAGCCTTTTCCACGGCTTTAGGAGTCCAAATTTTTATGTCACTCTCAATTCCACTGCTCGCAAGCACTGTGATATGGGGATGAGCCTCAATACAATTCACAATATGCTTATCTGCCTCCATTACACGAATGAGCTCCCCGCCCCTCTTTTTCCAGATAAATATCCTACCACAATCAGACCCGCTCATTACATATTCACATTTGGGCCCAAAGAAATTCACGCCCTTGACTGTCTCACGGTTCAAGTGCCCTTTGAAGACTTGGGGACCAGCCACTACGTTGGTTTCCCCCTCTCTTGGAGATGAAACCCCCAGGCGATCCTGACCCATATCAGGTGCATCCCCATCCCTATCGCTATCGCTATCACTAGACAGAAGAGAAGGTAGTTCCGGGTTCGGTCCTAGTCCCATGTACTTGGAGAAAAGATATATGGACTCATCAGCATATGATACAAGAAGTTCACTCTGATCCGAATATGCCAATCCAGTGATGCTTATGTGTTCATCACCAAGTAAATGTGTGGGGCAAAAGAAGTCAACCGGCTGACCAAATTCAGGTGACCCGTTCCAATTATATTTTCGGACATCAAAAAGCCGAGCAAATTCGTCTGCTCCAGCAACAGAAAACAAATTGGGATTTCTTGGATCAACGGCAATTGCATTCAAATAAATGACTGACATGAAACTCCTATCCCGTAGGGAATGGCAGGTGAAAAGTTTTGTAGCAGCTTGAGTCCTCAAATCAACCTGAAAGAGAAGGAAACAATCCATACAGCATTTAGTAAGAAGCACAAAACCAATGATAAAGAACAAGGATGTAGTACATATACACAGAGAAAAGAGGAGATCGCCCTTACATGCTGGACCAATCCATCCTCGCCACAAGTATAAATTATATGCGGGCTTCCAGGTTCAATGGCTAACTTATGAGCTCGTGCCTGATGCTTTGTTAGTAACTTAGTCTCCACTTTTCCACTCTCGAGAATCTGAGCATGCCTCACCTAGATTGAAAATTCATAAGAATGGCCCACAGAACTCCTACGTGACAGTAATAATGAAATGATTTGACTCTTTGCAGGCTACAAAAAGCCAGACAAGCCAAAAAAAGGGGGGTTTGGATGGAAAGGGAATAAATAATGCGTAGTATGCTACAAAAGAACAAAAATGCTTGATAAAAAAGAATAGGTCTGCAGTCATTGGCAAAAGCATCGAACAAAAGTATACCTGCCCATCAGCAGCGCAAGTTATAATACTCCGATCATCTGAGTATGGCATGATTTTAGCTTGAAAAACATTGTTGTAGTGACCGGAGTGGAATGACAGTTTAACATTGCCACTCTCCCAATCCCAAAATATCACTTTCTTGTCATCAGAACCCGTAACAAGAATATTCCCATCATCATTAAAGCTAATGGTATTCACGCAACCTGTGTGCTTTTCTAACTTCCGGAGGATACCAAGTCGAAGCACAAGATCCTGAAGAAAATATATGACCAAATGACATAAGAAAACAAGATTTGAGATGTTGGTATTTATTGGATGAGATGAAACAGTAACGATAATCCATCTTAAAAAACAGCATGCATTTATAGTAACTGCATCTTAACACTAAGTAACTAAAATCATACAGCATAAAAGCGAGTTAACAACTTCTCTTCTACAGTAGATGGAAAAAGATGCCCAATCACTTGACGTATGGATTTGACTTCACCTTGGGCATTAAACGTGCTAGCCACATCAACAACAATTCAGTTCACATTCCACACCTCTTTACTAATTTCAAGAATGTCAAGATGAATATTAAAAACCTAAACAAAGAGCAATGTGACAAAACACAACATAATCCCAGGCACGTTTATAGCTACAGACACAACGGTACATGAACTAGGGGAAAAAAAAATTGAACTAAACTCGTTAACTTGTGGAAACTATGACACCCAAACAAACCCAGACTTGAAACATGACCACAATTGCCACCGTTGGTGTAAATTGGCATTAAAAATTCAAAATCAGAACAAATTACAGAAAGAAACGCTGTTAAGAAAAAACAGCGAGCTCCGCTTATGCTCATTGATGAATTAAATACAAAGACATGAATGCAACAATCAATCCACATTACTCACTTTATACTTCAGTTCAAAAATTCCATATGTATCCACTGATGGGATTAATTGAACAAAAATCAACAATTGAGGAGGCAATAGAAAACGACAGCGTCAACAAAAATAATAATAATAATCTCAAAATCATCATCAAACATATCAGAAGAATTAATCAAACTCGCGTAACAGTAATCAATGAGAATCACGAGGAAACGAAAGGAAACAAAACCTCAGAAGCCACAAAGCGACGAGCAAAGTTTCTGGTGGAGAGCTCGCCGACCTCTCGTTTCCAAACGTTCACCACCGAAGCCGCCGGGGAGTCTACTCCGATTCTGGCCCTCTTTCGCATTTTGCCTCCACCGAATCAACTTTCCGAAACTCACCCACATTATGTTTGCATTTGTCGGGCCGTACTACTATTTAATATAATCATCTTCTTCTTTTTTTTTTTTTCCTAAATACTAATACTCACATTAATATATATGTATATATTTTTTAATCTTTAAACTTGCAAGTACTAGTACTATTTCTTAATTACCTCACCGTGGCTTTCACCAAAAACAAAACAAAAAAAAAAAAAAACTCAACATTAAAATTAAAGTTCAATTTTTCGAAATTGCAATCTTCAATTGACATTGTTTTGGATCAATCAACTAAATCAAGTAAACGTATATCATGATAATTTTAAAATAATATTTTTAACCTTTTTTTTTTGTCAATCGAAAAAATATATTAAGTATATGACAAATCAAAACGTCTTGTAATAAAAAACGTAATCAAAAGTACTTTGTTATGGGAGATGGTAAAAGTAACATTAAACTGTTTTTTTTTTTTTTTTTTCAGTAAACACTGTTCTCTTAATCCCAAAATTATTTTCAATGTAGATAATAATTTCAAGAGTAGAGGGAGTATTTGTTATGGGGAATGAAATATTTTTTAGCAATAAGCGTATTTTGTTAAGCACTACTTACTTGTTAGAATTGAATAAAGTGGTGACAAATTAATAATGAGATTATAATTATAAACACTAATAGTTTCATCTTGAATTGAATCCTCTAAATTATGTATTTTTTTGTCCTAAAATAATTATCTAGTTTTGATTTTTATTTGCGAATATTAGCATATACATCCCAACGTTTACACCCAACTAGCGAATTCATCTCAAAGTTTTCAAATTAGTTAATTACTTTCTATTGTTATCAAAACCGAGTAGATCCATCCCATGACCTGCAAACCAATAAAAATGACATGCGATATCAGGTGAAAATCATTTGGATCCAATATTAACGTTTTTACTATTTTTCAAAAAACGTGTTGGTTTATTGAAAGACAAATAACATTAATAAAATGAAGAAATTTAAATTATTTAATTAGTTTTTAATAAATTTAATATTTCTCGTGGTCTGATTCATCTTAATTTGTTGTTAAAAGTTAAGATACTTCCCATTTTCTTTTCTTTTTATTTTGAGTGAAAAAAAAGAATGATTTAAATTTCACATATGTATATTTGTATTCTTCAATTTTGAGTCCATTCTAACTTTGTAAGTTTAAGTTTGTGATGAATTAATTCTATTTTAGTAATTAATTAAGTTTTTATGAGCTTTTTCTTTTTGAATTTTTGTTTATTTTTCTAATGAACTAAAAATAACAAAAAATAATGAATGAGAAAACAAAGGACCCAATAGATTTTTACATGTTACTACATGTCACTTTTGTTATTTTGCAAGTCATGGAATGAATTTGTCCAATTTTGATAATCTTATGATGTAATTGATCAATTTTAAAACATTGGGATAAATTGACTAGCTGGGTATAAATGTTGGGATATATACACTCATTCACCGTTTTATTTTTAGAACAAGTTACAATAAAAATGAATAAAATAGAATCATTTTTGGAAGAAAAAGAGTATGCATATATATATATATATTTATTATTATTAGTTATATTCCAAAGGTACCGTGAGTCCATTAATTTTTGCCAATATGGTTGGGTATACTACGTAAAAAAAATAAAGAAGGATAATCACAATAGATAAAAGGATAATACTTGATTTTAAATAAAACGATAACAATGCCAGTAGTATAATTATTAGTACAGTAGTATTTTAGAATAGAAATTATCAATAGTATGAGTGATGTTGATTGGAGATCCTCTCATACACAGTTGAACTCTTTCGTTTTTTGCTATTGTCTTACGCTAATGTTTGCAATTGTAAGATTGATAATAGCATAACAAGAAACCAAAAAAATAAAAAATAAAATCCTTTAAAATCAACGAAATTCATTTTGTTTCTTTTCAATTGGAATATTCGGAGAAAGAAAAAAACAAGAGAAAACGCAGAGCACCGAGGGGAGAAAATAATATTTGCTCCAACAAAACGTGAAAGTAATCAAAGAAGCGGTATGATATACTATTTGAGATGTATTTCAATATTATTCCAAAAAAAAAAAAAAGAAGATGTATTTCAATACAAACATGTTTGTTATTGTTTGGATGGAGTCTAATTTTTAGTCGCATTATTATAAAAAAAGGTTACAAAATAGGAAATGGAGAGCCCGGTGTTTATTTAGGTCCGCTTTGGTTCCATTTTCAATGAAATATATATTGAATCGATAATTAAATAATCTATCAAAAAAAATAAGATTTTTTGGGTAGTCGATTTTTGGGTCGACTTTGATGAGTAGAAAAAAATCAACACTGATTTAAAAACTAATAAACATTTTTCGACAACTTTATGTGTACCAACAAATCAAAAACTATTTCGATTCACCAACAACAGAGAAAAGTTCAGTGATTAAATTTTTAATTTTTTTTAAATTACGTTTTTTGAGTCGTTTCTCACATTTTTAATGGAATATTGATATCAACTACTTGAAACAAACTTTCACAAAAATTAATAAATGTTAATGCCCGTCGACTTATTCATCAACTTTACTTAGCAGAGGACACATGTTAAGCAAATAATTTTTTTTAAAAGTAAATATTTTTTTATGACTTTGAATGGATATCTATAATTCGGATAATACTTCCAAGTACAATGGACATGAAATAATTCAATTTGTTAAATTTTCAATAGATTCTTTTATGGTGTCTAGTTTTTAGTTTGTGAAACAACTTATGACAAAATAAAAAAGGAAAATGATATATGTAGTGAAAATATAGAGTGAAAAAAATAGTGACGGATGTGTATCCTTATTTTGTTGATATTTTGCAGTTGAAATTTTATCTTTCTCCCAAAATTTACACTTTTGGCTCTAACTATTATGTACGCATCAATCACTATGTATTTTCACTATATATTTTTTCACTATCTTGAGCAGAAAAATAGAGGTTACAATGTAACATGTGACGCCTATTAATGTTTACATTGTTCATGAAATATTGAAGTAATAATTTACTACATTACAAACAAATTTTGAAAAAAAAAAGATTCTAATGTTCATCTACTTATTCGTGACTTTGCTAATAAGATGAAAAATTTGATGCAATTACTTTTTAGAAAAATAATTTTTATGAAAATTTTTTAAAAAATAACAGATATTTGAAAATTCAAGTTTAGTTCGCATTGATTTTTATATCTTTTACAATGTATATAATATAATTTACTATACTAAAGTCAAATTTAAAAAAATAAAATAAAATAAAAATTGTGGATTTAAGCTTTCGTAGGATTATTCTTCAATTTTTCTAAGTAGATAGCAAAGTCGACAAATAATTTCAGAAATAATAAAAATCACGTATTTTTTTTAAAATTTTCAATAAACTTTTGGATCGCGTATTTTTTTGTCATCAAATTATAAAAGACAACTAAATGAAGAAATGCGAGTTTGTGGAGAGAGTGTATCAATATAGTGGTCAAGTTTACAACGTTTTACAATCTCCGCTTGAATCAATTTTTTGCACACTCAAAATCCGCTTGAAATTTTAATATTAAAAAATCGCTCAAACCTAATTCAGTACTAAGTAGTATTCCCTCCGTCCCAAAAATAATGTTCAATTAGGATTTTCATTTTTAATAAAATTGCACTAAAAGTGATAGTCTAAACAATTTTAGGACGGAAGAAACGAGTACTAATTATTAACCCAAGGAATTAGTGAACTGAGTTTTGTCGAGTAATAATATATAAGATGTGAAATTGTATGTCACAAAAGTTTGAAGAAAAACAGATGGTTCCAAGATCACTTCTGCCTCCTAATAAACCATCACGTTCTACAGCAACCTAACCTGCAGCATCTAATCTACTATAACCTCCGTGTTTCTTAATCTTACTATAATCCATGGCCATCCTCACCTTATTTGCATCATCCCATCTTCCAGCATCTACAAACATATTCGACAATGTAACGTAAGGGCTAGGATCCTCCACATCAAGATCCCAAAGAGCTTCAGCAGCAACTTGTGCCAGCTCCACATTGTTATGTTCTTTACATGCTCCCAACAATGCGCCCCAGACGGCCTTGTCGGCCTTAACTGGCATGCCTCGGATTATCTTCACAGCTTCTTCCAGATCGCCATAGCGGCCCACCATATCCACTAGGGATGCATAGTGCTCGACCCTCGGATCAATCCCAAATTCATCAACCATGGCTTGGAAATGCATTTTGCCTTGATCAACAAGGCCAGCATGGGTGCACGCACTTAGAACAGAGATGAATGTGATGTGAGTTGGTTTCACATTCTGGCGCTTCATGGATTCGAAGAGCTCAAGGGCTTTCATTTCATGGCCATGGTGTGCATATCCCGCTATCATGGCGTTCCAGGAGATTACGTCTTTGAGGGATTTCATCTCATCAAAGATGGTTCTTGCTTCAGATATTGCACCACATCTGGCATACATGGTGACGAGGGAATTGTTTAACGGTATGTCAGGCACAGCTACCTTTATGACCTGCTGATGAATTTGCATTCCCAGGCACAATGCCACTGACTGAGCACAAACGCTCACCATTGAAGATAGCGTGTGCAGGTCAGCTTTCTCTCCTTTGGCTTGCATTCTAATGAAAAGCTTAATGGCACCTTCATGATCACCATTTTTCTCAAATCCTGCTATGATTGAATTCCACGTTACTTTGTTTTTCTCAGGAATCCTTTCAAATAGATCCTGAGCTTGCTTCAACTTCCCGGAGTCAGCATACCCAGAGATCATAGAATTCCAAGACAATATATCAGGCCGTGGCATTAGAGCAAAAAGCTTTGAAGCTTCTTCCATATTTGACGCCTGAGTATAACCAGTAATCATGGTATTCCACGTGATCAAATCACGATCCTTCATCTGGTCAAATAATGCCCTGGCAGAACCAACATCTCCCACTTTCACATAACACATTATCATCGAATTCCACGAAACCAGATTTCTCCGAATCCCTGGACCATGTCCCGCAGAGTCATCATCACAGGGGATCCCGTCAAAAAGTTTCCGGGCCTCGGCCACTCGACCCTTCTGACCACACCCAGCAATCAGAGTATTATAAGCACAAACCAACTCCTCCCCTGACATGCCACCCTGTACCCCATAGTCAAACAGCACATTAGCAGCAGCATCCAAATCATCATTCTGAATCAATCCTGACACAACCCCACTAATCGAAGCCGCATCCCTTGCTGGCATTCTCTCGAAAAACTCCATTGCTCTAGTCACCTCCCCGTTCTGCAAGAACCCAGACACAATCGCATTCCAAGAAACTACATTCTTCTCGGGCATACTTTCAAACACTCCCAATGCATCCTCCATTCTTCCCCCCTTAGCATACCCGCTAATCATAGTGTTCCACGAGACAAAATCCCTCTCAGGCATTTGATCAAACAGCTTCCTTCCTTCTTCCAGTCCCTTCCTCCCATAACACGAGATGCAACCAGATATCATCACATTCCATGAAACAACATCCCTTTGGGGCATTCTGTCAAACAGCTTCCGAGCCTCCAACATATCTTGGCTTCGGACATAGCCACTAATCATGGAGTTCCAAGTCACCGTGTTCCGATGCTTCAGACCATTAAAAAGAGCCCTAGCTTCAGCCAGGCGGCCAGTTCGGGTCAAACGGGCGATCTTCTTGTTGGCTACCTGGATCTGTTGAGCTATGAGGCGGTGATCGGGGGAAGAAGCAGAATATGATTCCGACGAGAAGGATCTGCCGGGAGGGTGTCGTGGAAACCACTGATGGTGAGAGGCAGAGCATGACTTGGGTATCCGAAGATGGAAGAAAAAGGGTTTAATATTATCTACCAGAACATGTCTTATGCCACTGATACGGTAACGGGCAAACATTTACGGCATATCAGTAACAAGAAACGAGCTCAAATAATAATATCTTGATAAGGTTTACCCCTTTTTGTTTTATACACACATTTTCTGTATTCCATTTGCCTTTTTATTACTGCTGTAATTCCTTTTGCCATTAGTGGGATTATTATCTGGGTGAAGAATCTTCTTCCTTTGTTCTTTCACACGCAAAAGAAAAACAATGGGTAGTTTGCAGTACTCGACAAATGCCACCAGAATAACACCGCCGTTTTGTGGACTGAGCAAACAAGGTCAGCGGTTGCTGACATCCATCGCCACCAGCACGGCGGCCAAGGATCACCACCACCGTCTTCTCCGTAAATTCGTCAAGTCATCATCCAAACACGTCGCTCTCAACACCCTTTCTCATCTCCTCTCCCCACCAACCACGGCTTCTGCTGCCGTCGCCGGTGGTCCTCATCTCTCATCTCTAGTGCTCCCTGTAAGCTTACATTTATCTTATCTTATCCATCTTTCCCACATTTTGTCCCCTTTCAGTGAGTGATAATTTTAATCATGACTAATTAATAAGCACACTACATTCTAAGAATTATCACTTGTACAATTCATCGTGATCTTTCTAATTCTATTGCTAGCAGTAGATGGCAAATTTGGGCCAGAACCATGTTAATATTCGGCTAGAAGTTTTTCATTCTTCTTTTCACTCCACGATTACCTCCTACATTCTGTTGGTGGTTAATGTGTTTGTATCATATCATGAGACATAATCAATCAAGAAAAAGTCAAGAGTTTGAAAAACCTATATGATTTTTGTGAAATTACAACTTCTTGGAGTCACTAATCCTGGAAATGCAAATGTAAAATGCAGTTGTACCTGATGATCACAGAAGAAGCTTCATGGTTCAGTTGGAATGCCAAGCTGGTGGCGGATGTAATAGCTGCAATGTACAAACAACATAAGTTCTCGGATGCAGAGAGATTGATGGACGAAGCAATTGCAAAAATCGGGTCCCAGAACACCCGGGATTTGTGCACTTTTTACTGCTATCTGATTGATTCCACAGCTAAGCACCAACTGAAGCAGGAGGTTCTTTCTTGCATAACCCTGTTGAGAGAGCTCATCATCGCCTCTTCTTCCTCAATCCATGTGCAAAAAAGAGCTTATGATTCGATGGTTGCTGGCTTATGCGAGATTGGGATGCCACGTGAAGCCGAAGACTTAATGAGAGGAATGATGATTGATACAGGGTTGAAGAAGTTGAAGCCATCTAGTTTTATGTATAGATCACTGGTTTATGCTTACGGGAGGCTCGGCTTGTTTGAAGATGTGAAGAGAAATGTTGACGAGATGGGAGGCGAACTGGATACAGTCTGTTCTAACATGGTGCTTTCTGCACTTGGAGCTTACAATGATCTACCCGAAATGGTGTCCAGGCTAAAGAGAATGAAAGTTTCCAAGGTTCCATTCTCTGTAAGGACTTACAATTCTGTCCTGAATTCATGCCCGACGATCATGTCAATGTTGGAAGTTCCCGAAAGGATTCCACTTTCGATTGGAGAGTTGATGGAGAAATTAGGCTCGGATGAAGCTAATGTAGTAAAGGAGTTAATTGATCCGTCATCATCACTGACGATGATGGATGGTGTGATTGAATGGAAGGGCAATGAGATGAAGCTGGATTTGCATGGACTGCATCTGAGTTCATCATTCGTGATTTTCTTGCAATGGATTGAAGAGCTGCGCCAGAGGTGGGTTCGTGGCAGGGAAATGGGGGAGCCAGAGGTGGTGGTTCCTGTTGAGATCACGGTGGTCTGTGGGTTGGGGAAGAATAGTGTCATTAGGGGGGTATCCCCTGTTAAAGGCTTGCTGAAGGAGATGATAATTCGGATGAAATGTCCGCTGAAGATTGATAGGAAGAATATTGGCTGCTTCGTCACCAAAGGGAAAGTTTTCAGGGACTGGTTATTTGCTACTCATTAAATTTTGTTTTGTGGGAACAAACGAACTGCTTTCCTAATTCCTACTAAGTTCGTAACAGTTAACAAAAGAGACCAAGAAACTATTATCAATTTTTACTAGCCTAAAGAACAGACCAAGAAACTTAAAGGAGCATCAATTTTTGCTAACCATTTTTAATTACAAAATCTATTTACAGTTACATCGACAACCATGCTGGGTTGTTTGGTTTCTAGATTTACAGATCTAATAATCACAATCCCCGCAACTTCAGAGGGCCAACATCATGCCAACATCATATGCACTTTTACAGTCCCAGATCAATCTGGACAGGGACAACCATCAGTTTCGACTTTTGAACCCTAATGAAACCAAGGAATAGAACGAATGTAACACTGAAAAGGCATCATCAGCCTGGTGAGCCTTGGAACAGCCAAGATGCCAGTATTTAACTTGACCCTTCCATGTGGAACCAGAAATACTTCATCATCAAGCTCAATCCAGGTAAGAGATGGTAATTTAGTGAACTACTTCATCACAACCAGCATGTGTAAAAGGTTTTATCTTCTTTTTCCAAGGGAAAAAAAAGTTTTCATTTTGAATTGGATTAGATAAAGGAACAGAACTTTGCATCGAAGCAACATTGTGGTGCTCATCATGTTTATCTTAACAACCACAGCATTTACCAAAGTCTGATCACAAAATCTTCCTTCTTGGCTCCTTCCTCAATGTGCTAATATATATTGCTTTCAAAACCAAGGCATCCACCATATATACATCTTCCCAAGGTTTTTGTGTGCAACCGCTTCTGCAACCAATCGACGAGCTTGCCCTTCTACAGCCAGTGGCAATGATGGCGCAGCTCCAACACCAACAACCACTCCTTGTAAGCGCGCTTCAATGTTACTGATGGCTCGCTTCAGTTCACAAGACAGAAAAAATCCATTTAGTTGTAGCCCAATAAGTGCTATGAAGCTAGAGTCGACCAATATTTAAATGACATAAGTTCTTCAATAATCATCAGTTATCAAAAATACCAATCAATGCAATTGAGTAAATGAACATATATTTGCTTAATGCCGATGCATACTAGCAACAGTATATAGCTCATCTGAAGTCAATTGTACCACAACAGCCCCTTATCCAGTAAAGACCAAAATATCAAATAGGGTTAAAGACCAATTGCTCCCTATGGTTGAAAAAATTTTGATTGGAAGTCTTATTAAATGGGGTGAGATAGAAACCTGTGCATGGGGGTTTTGAACTTCTACACCACTAGACTTGTGATGTTTTGTCCATTCCACTAGTGGATCATGGATGAAAGTCTCAAGAACATTCATTAAGGTCTCCCTGTGTGTCCTCAATACTGAAAGGGTGATCTCGCAGACCCTCAAGAAGATGCCCTCATATCCAGTAATGCCCAATCCATCAATGATGTTCTGCAATTCCAAGCACAGAAGTAAGCAATGTAAGGCCATATCAAGAAATAACACAACTATGCTCATTCTGATGTTAAATTTTTTAAAAAAAAAAGTTCTCCAAGAGTTATTTTCAATGGTAATGGAACCAGGTAGTGGAAGTAGTGTTTAAAAACATTGCCTAGTAATAACTAGGCATAAAGAATGATGGTTGTTCCCCCCCTCACCTGTGTTAGCCTGAAAGGCACGAGCTCAGGTTTCTCCAACTGCAAGCCTTTGTCAAATAAACAACTAAAGTCAACATGAACACAGTCTCCTGTAGTCGAGTCAAATAATATATTCTCCCCATGACGGTCACCAAGGCCCACTATATGTCCCACCATAGACCACACAGCAGTAGTGTGGGCATAAGCGACTCGGGCCCTGAACCAAGCAGCAGGTTCAGAAAACGTGTTGAGAAACCATTTATGGAAAACTGGAGGGAACATTGGCAGGATTTTGTACTTTAGCATTTCTTCTTCTGGCATTTTCCCCTGGCATTGATCATAGATGCGCTTAATTTGAGGATTTGTCTTCTGCTTATCAAATTTTCCACAGCTCATGTAAATATCTTGGAGTATATGTCGTAGTCCGCGAGTGTGAGGCACCCACTCAACCATCCCACAATCTTCTGTCAGTGGAACCACAGCAAAGGTGCGAATGTAAAGCTTTCTCTTACGGCTTTCAGGGTTTTTGGACAGCAAACGGTTAATCATTGCATTGAACTCCATCATACGTGCATCTTTTCTGAGGTCATCCTTTGGCTTGCAGAGAAACGGACGTTCAGAACCATCACTGCCCAAAAGAACTACCTGTACATAAAATTCATGCAAGTACCTTGAGAAATTAAACAAATTTCAGAAGAGAACAATGCACAAAAGAGGATTTCTGTCACAAATGCCAGATGGATAAGATAAATATACAAAGATTACAAGGAAGTTTTAACCCTCTTCCACAAGTCAAAAGTCAAGCATCAGACATAAGTCTATGTGTCGATATTTTCAGAGACAAAATTCCATAGGATTAAACTTCAAGTGATATGGTATACAAAATAAAGGCAATTAAATTACCAACGACAACTTAAAGATGAATACCTGAAACTGAAGTTAAATTTAGACTAAAACGAACGAGAAGGGTTGAACACACTTCACAGCATAAACACGATTTTATTCGAACCAATGTCATTTTTTGTCATAGACATGATATATATGCATTACCTTCTTTGGTCGTTGAAGTGAGGAAAGAATTTCAGCCTCATCTGCAATTCCAGAAATTGTAGGAAGATCTGTGGATGCTAAAGTATCAGATATGTCCGGGATTGTCGCATTGAAATCACATGAAGGTAGATTAACGGCCAATGATTGTTGGGTTGGCATGATAACTTCCACAGGCATCATCCTCTTCAAGGCGCTAAATTCAGTCGAGATATTGATGGTTTTTGCCCTTGCTTGTCCAGCATGGAAGCATAACCTAATTAAATGATCAATCATAGAAGCAAACTGCAAAAACAAAGAATTGGTAGCACCATGCTTCCCTTCTCTTTTTGCAGCTTGTAAAATCTCTGCAGCAGCATCCCTCCTGGAAGACACTGTGGATTTTGTAACAGCTGCCATTGTCCAAAGGGCTTGCTGTGGGTACTGCCGAAGAACAGAAGTAATAATATGTTTCACCAAACGGACAATTTCCTCATTTTGGTGACAAATTCTAGAAACTAATTGGGACAGAACAGCCAACCATTGATAAGTAGGCAAATCCTTTAAACATCCTCGCATGATGTTCATGACCTACAAGAAACAACAAATCAAAATCAGAGAAAAGGGAAGATCGTGGAAATGGAAGAGGTCATAATAATAAGAAAGAGAAAAGATTTTTTAAAAAAAGTTTCCAAGATGATAACCTTCACATGTACATGCTTCATATCTTTGTTGGACGATAAGTCACTTCTACTATATATACACCCAAACTCAAACCACAGAGTAAGCAATCTTGGAAGAGCCTGGAAAAGATACTTGTGACCTCTATGTAGCCCTTTCGCATACGACAGCAACACATCAGGAAGATTGAACCACCATCTCTTTTCAGAATCTGAAGTTGTAGAAGAGGAACCCACCCTAGGTTTATCAAAATATTTCTCCTGCCGTTTCCTGGCATCAACAAGCACTTCGTCGGAATATTTAGCCATGTAAAAATATCCCTTCTCCCATTTTGGCTGCAGCTCCTTTACCCTTGAATAAAGACTAATCACATCCTGCTTTTGCTTTTGGCCAGTGTAGTGGGTCCATCTTGAATAAAGGAGGAGGGTCCTAGCAATATCCTCATTCTCATTCAAAGACTGAGCACCAGAATACGAAGGTTGTGGGTTCAAAGGAACCAAGGAGAGGCTGGTGATGGAGGACACTGCGGCCGAGCCAACAACCTCCACAGGCAAGTTAAGAAGGGATTGTTGCAGTTCAGCAATCGCTCCATCAGTTCGCTTTGTGCTCCATAGAAGCTTTGCTTTTTCCATGTGAACATTTGGTGCACCTGAAGCTCTAGCTTCCATGATTGCTCGATTTGCAGTCTCATAGTGACCAGCCGAGCGACAGAGTTTTGCATATTGCACCCAGCATTTTCCTGCTTGAGCACCAAGACCACTAGCCTCAAAAACAAGCCTTCTAAAAGCCAGAAGTGGTTCCCGAGCCCAGAGAGATGGTTGGGTGAGTTTCATCCGATTTTCCCAGTTTGCTATTACTTTAGAGAACTCCGGATCACCAAGCTTCAACTGTTTCTCTAGGAAAGAGTCACCAGCAAGCAGGAAATTGAAATCTTCTAGCTCTTGAAGCATATGAAGCTTTACAGCAAATGGGTAGGCCCTTGCGTAAGAATCCATACCAGCAGCGGCAAGAGGAGCGATTAGAGCATGTTTCGACAATGCTATTCTTCTACGAGTTGAGGGTTCATCTTTCCTCATTATCGTCTGGAGAATCTTTGCAACATCCATATCAAATGAAGCATTACACTCAGCGCTACTACAGACCTTACCCTCTTCATCAGCCCCACTGAGATACTCATCCATCAAGTCCCATCTACCAAGCCTCCATGCTGCTTGAACACCTTGCATACACCATGTCTTCTTGTACTGAGGGATTCTGGATATCAAACCGTCTACATGAGTTACCATTGTTTGTAAATGGCACATATTTAACAAGCAATTAAGGACGTCTGAGTGACTGCTGACAGATGTCGGTTCCATCTGCAACGATTGCTCACAAGAAGTTAAAACTTCTGCCCAGTTGCCAGCTTTCTTATTTATCAGCAGATGATCTTGTATGCTCTTCAATTTTCGTAAACAAGCCAAACCTGATAAGCCATCAGGCTCATCCAGATTGCTGTATATTTCCATTAAAAACGATATATCTTCATCCTCAAAGATGCCACTTCTTTCAGCAGCTGGGTTGAAAGATCCTGATTTCTCCTGAACATGACACTCAAAGTACAACAAAGACCTGGCAAAAGCCTGACACCTGAAAGAGGCTTTAGCCAGTGTTACTTTAGGAATTGCAGCAAGTAGCTCTGAAACATGCCTACATTGTGTAAGCACCTGGTCAGTTTGCTTGAAAACATGCGCATCACTTTCTTTTGACTTTGGGCCCCCCATCTTCGAATTGGGTAGCTGCGTAGACTGGGAAAGGGCGAGCTCCTGTTCAATATCATCAACCCACTGACCAAGATTATCAAGAAGCGTAAAAACAGCTTGAATACAGACTTCACTTTGACCAGTATTAGTGCAATGTGCAGCAACAGAACTACGCCCTGAAGCTGCTGCTTGAAGAACAGAAAGAATTTCTTCTGTTATACCACAGCGTGCTTCCTCACTACCATGACAAACTGCATTCAGGACTAAGTAAGGCAACAGATACACTGCTATTTGCATATCATGACGGACAATACCTCGACAGGAATTGAAAATGCTCGCCCGAGAACCCACTGCATGCAGAGTCAGTTTCTTGATCCAAGAGGATATCCACTTTCTGAAAGACATAGAAGGACGATAAATGGGACCAGAAGATGAAGAATCTGAAATATCTGGTAGCTGGAATCTTGAGGTTAAGCAAGGGGCTATTATCTCTTTAACATAATCAGAGAAACGATCCCAGAGTCTTTGACCCCTATCATAAGTTTCTGAGCAATTTGCTGCATGTTTCAATGAAGATGCTGGGACTTTTCGAGTCTCCCTCTTCATGGTCTGTGAGAGGGAAATAGTAGCATTTTGATCAAGTGACGCCTCGCAACCGGCAATCTTTAAAAGCTCCTGTATAGCCAATGCAGCTAAATCTTGCACAGTTGTGTCTGGAGCAGCTCTAAAGGCCCTAGCTAGATGCTTATGGATTAACTCAAATATTAAGTCATCATCAGAACATGCAATTTTGAAACGTGTACTAGAAGAATTTCTAACTTTGGCAGGATCCACTGCTCCAATAGCCCCAAGGCAGTCAGCACAAATTACCTTCAGCTTCTGTCCGACAGAAGTCCTTGACTCTTCAGCACACCCCTTTAAAAGGGATGAAATTAAAGAACTCAATACATTCATATTATCATCACCTTCCTTAAGGAGCAAAGTTGTGACATCATCCCTTCTAGAGTTCAACAATTTAATTAGCTCAGATGCTACCATGTATCTAACATTCAAATTTTCATGATTCAACCCATTAGCAAAATCAAGAAGCTGTTCCTTCAAAGTCATCGATCCCCGCGCTTCTTGGATAACCTTGTTCAATTCTGCCAGCGCTGGAACTTTTGGTAATGGAGGGAACTCATGCACATGTTGTTTTAAAATCATAGTATTCTGAAGCACAAGTTCTTCCAAAATCTCCACAATCTTGGCAAAATGAGGAGAAAAATTCTCTTTTTCACTCTCTAAGAAGGGGACAAGAGCAGCAAACACTTGACAAATAACATGCTTAGTACTAGAGGGTGTTATTTTTGCCAGTTGCTTGATAAAATCATGCAAGACCGAGAGACCTTCCCCTTGGAGATGCTCTTTCTCAATTGCATGCATGAGAAGAACCATGAGTTTAGGCACATAAGTCCGAAGGTGTGCCCCCATCATATTTATTAGCATCTGTATGCGTTTGATGGCCTGTTTTTGCAGCAACACATCCTTTGCATGAAGCATTTTCCTGTCAATGCTATTAAGGAGACCGACAAAGTGATTTCTCAAGAATCCTGGAAGGTCTTCATTACTTGTTAAAATTTTAGCAACTTTTCCTATCATCTGAGGCACACTCGTCAACCTACAAAAACCACATTGGAGTAAACATTAACTTCAAATCCACATCCAAGAACAATTAGTTGGACAATCTAGAAAGGCAGAGACTCTAAAACACAATATGATATATAATACAAAACAGGGACTCTAATGGGGATACCGGGATAGTAAGGTTCCTCCAATATAGTGAAGCATAAGTACGATTTGCTTACTGATAGTACCTTTTGCAAATCTCTTTTGAATCTTTTTCGTCAGTAAAGCATACAAGTTCATCCAAAAGTGCAGGTAGCGCAGCAGCAAATATCTCTTTGTGGTCAGATCCAGTCTGTTCATGGTAAAACTGTAACGCCAAGCGTAAATCTTCCTCGTCAGCTTGGTTGAGAGCAAAAGCAAGCACTTTAGGCAGCCAAAGAACTATAAGTTGCACCATATCCATCTTCAGATGTTTGGCCATCTCTCGTAGAACGATGATTGCTTGATCATTATCGCGCACAGTGATAACAAGCTTTGGAAGAACAACAGGAATTATACGGTTGACAAGCTCATCAGTTTCAACACAAAGCACAGCTGTTGCAAACTCCTCAATCATTTTTGGACGGGTTACCAGCCTAGCAGATAGATAATGATATAACTCGTTCCTAATATTAAGAACTTTACAAAGGACTGCATTCAGTCCTCCATTATGGCGAAGATGGTCAGATCTACTTATCAAAGTAGAAGCGGTTACTCTCACGCTCACATAAGGATTATCAAGTTGATCAATCAATAAAGTAAGAGAAAACAAAAAGAGTTGACTCTCAACATTTGCGGTATCCATAATCTTTGCTGTAGCTTCTAAAAGAGTCTCGCAGACTGAGGGATCATCAATTGTCGCCAAAGGATGTTTAATTTTGTCCATGAATCGCTCTTCTTTTGTTTTATTTGTGGACTCCGAATCCAAAATTAAACAGTTCAAAATAGGCTCCTCAAGGAAAAAGCTAATCTGTGTGCAAAATGCTTCTCTCACAGCTTTTTCCCTGTGGACCAACAGGAAGTCAACACACTTCATCCACTCCTCTTTCGCCCTCTGCAACACATCAGAAGTTCCATGGAGTAAGATTCTCCGAATAATCCCTACACAAGCCACTCGAACATCTTCGGATGATCCATTGTAAAGCAGATCAAAAAACCAAGACTGTAAACAATAAAAATCACAATCCAAAACTAGCTCAGAGCTTCGACAACCAGGGGGGTGGACAGCGGTTTTATAAACCCCCTCATTCAGCATAACTCCAGTATCACACTTTGAACACCTGAATCCTCCCAATAGATTATCCACACTTGGTTTCTTTCCACAGCTCCCTAGGTTCAAGAACAGTCTGCAATCACTTTCTGACTGTGTTCCTACACCAAGACAAGAACCATATAGACAGGCCAGGGCACCAAGGGAGAGAGGAACAATCTTATTAGTATGATATATACTCTCAAACTCTAATTCCCTGCAAAACAAATAATTTAATAATAATAATTTAAAACCTGACAGAGAATGCAATTTCCATGTTTGAAAATTTTAATGAAATCTAAAATCTTGAGATAAAGATATAAGCCCTATGCTACATGCGCATTTAAAGTCCCCTGCAATCTAATAAAGGCTTTAAAATTACTCCTTTCAGGCCAAATCAAATTGAGGGTAAGCGCAAGCTAAATCAAGAGCAAGCAAACTGCTCCAGAAATAACTGTAGCAGGCAAGCAATAAGTGATGCGTGCTAGCAAGTAGCAACAGGTGAAACAAAGAGCCGACCAAGAAAACGTCACATACATGAATTCACTAGGCACACTTTCTGAATAAAAATTAGGCAGGCAAATATTAACCAGCTTGTAGCCCTAAACTGAAGGTATAAGCTAATCATATGAATCTAAAAAATTATTTTCCACTTACTTGAGCCTCTTGAACATTTGTGTCAGCAAGCTAAATCCAGACCAAAACACAATCACTGGCATACACGTGACAGCTTCACATCTAACCTCTTTTACTTCATCAAGAAGGCTCGAGTCTAGGATATCAAGATAATTTTCTATCTTTGGAAAGCCAATCTTTGACAAAACCAGCAAAGAGAGGTATTTTGCATCCCGTGGAGGATTGGGATAAATTGCAAGAGAATTCGTCCATGGACGCTTCAGAATCGAATATAGGGATTCTGATGAATCATCATCCCAATTAATAAGCTTTCTCTCTGAAGGAAGGGACCCTGTCGGTGGAGTAACTGGAGTAAGGCTGACAATAAATTGTAGCGAACATGAAACCACAAATCTAAAAAGAACAAAGATCACTTAACATAAAATGTTTCACCATTGGCCAAAGCATATTAAACTTGTTAACCAACATGCTTGAGTTTAGTTGCAGTAACAAACTAGGAGAAATAAAAAGTATATTTGATGATTAGAAAAGTTTAAGGAAGTTGTGTATATGTAGAGTAAAAACGGCTTCAATAAAAATCATCCTAATTCTTTCTTCACTTTCTCTGTTTCTTTTTCTCTTTCAGTAGGAAGAACAGTGCACATTCAGAAGTTCAAGCATCAGAAAGAAGTCAAGGAACAATAGCCCCTTCCATAATTAAAGCAGGACAACCCACATGACAGAGAAAATTTATCTACACACAGGCCAGAATTCTTATAGTGGAAGAAATTAAAACATACATTTTTCTTACCTTGAGTGAGCAATATGAAGTGAACTGCCTCTAAAAAGAAGGATAAGTCAATGTTAAGGAACAATTCTTTCTTGACCTGCATAGTACAAAGAGTTATTCTCAACAACAAAGACAGTTATTAAACTGATTCACAAACTACAAACATTTTGCGCCGACCTGCTCTGATATCCAGGGTATCCACTTTTGAAACTGCTTAAAAATAGACGATGAGATATTCAGGTGTGGATAGTCACAAAATATGATGCACAGAGTACTAAGAGCAGTCAAAGCCACTTCTGGCTTCAGTAACTTAGTTTCCTCACAAGGAGGTATCAGATCTTCCACAAAATGGTTCAAAGAGGTGGACATATGATCAGCATATTCTCTATCTCCTGAACATGTGAATTTCTCGGTCATAAGCGGAGGATTTATCATAAAATCCGCCGGCTTTTCCACTATCTTTGGACGCTTTGAATTAGGAGGATCAAGGTCCAGAGCTGGTCTTTTCTCTCTAATTCTAAAGTTCTCATTTTTGCCACTTTCCGAGGTTGACAAAACGAGGTCCTCATTTCTTCTCTCAAAGTAAGGACCGAGTCTAGAGATGGCAACTTGAATGCATTCCATCATATGAGACTTGGACGTGGTTGAGCAAAGCAAATAGATAAGATTCTCTGGCCTCCAGACATGAGGGGGACAACATTTAGCGATCCTAACATATGCACTGCATAAAGCAGCCTGAAGTAATAGGAATGGAAAGATGTGATCAGAAAAATAAACTTGAAGGGAATGCAAGGATTAAAAACCAAGCAACAGAGCTGACCATTAGCTCCTCGCTATTGGTCTTCAGCATTGACTCATGAAAGACATTTACAAAAGTTGCAGCTGTTGACCTGACAATATCATCTGAAGAGCTGGAGTATAAAGCACGAATGCATCGAGCCAAAGAAGAGTAATAAGCTGAACTTCTGCAATTATTTGACAAAAAGGAAAAATAGAAGTAAGAAAAATGACAGTGTGAAAAAACAAACCGAAAATATTGAATGGCAGCATGAACTGGACACTACAAATTCTATCTATAAATACAAACCAAAGATTTGATAACGAACATAAAGAGTACCTATAAGTCGACGGTCCATCCAGAATGACAGCTACTGACTGTATTATCCTTTCAGCCGGAAGGATGTCATGATCTATGACTGCTCCAATTAGGCATATGAAGTCAAAACATGCCTTCAAGAAAAAATTTGACAGTTACAGACCTTATATGATGATGTAACTAAGGAACTGTTCCAATGAAATAGATAAATTACATGCTTGCATAGCTACTCACAATATGCAAATCAGCGTCTCCATAACACAAAAGGGAGCAGGTACCCCAAACAAACGATGAATGGATAAGGCCTTCAACATATAAAGTTCCTTCAGTTAAGCATTTACACAGTAACTTGATGGCAGATGCAGCGAAAGGCTGCCATCTGTCTCTGCCAGTGACATCAATCAAAATGCCATACCCATCCGCTGGTCTGATGAATGCTGGTAAATCACAAAGAAGGGCATTCTCGCCACAAGCTCCAGAAAAGGATACAGAGAAGCATTTTATACATACTCTCTCCAACCCTGTCGACGGTGCTTTATCACATACAGAGCATACGTACAGAAGATCTGAAATCAAGTACAACGACATTACTTTATCAAACTGTCAAGGCTGCAAAGAATAGATAATATGTTAAAGGGGAAAGATTTTGAAGTTCTCCAATGCAAGGTTCAACATGCTTTAAAGTAAGTTCAACAAGTCAAAGAGCGATATAACCAAATGCAGATGAAAATGGAAAAGGTTATGCAAAGGTATACCTTGAACAAGTAACATGGTGTCCATGAAGAAGAGGCGATATGAATCTCGGTCCCCAGTTCGAAGCAATGACAAAAGGGAGCCAATTGTCTCAAATAGGACCCCATGTCGAGACCTATAATGCACAATATCAAGTCAAAATAAAGAAATTGCAACAATGAGCACAAATTGATTTTTGACTACTGGCAAGTTACAACGAGATAGCAACTTGATTGATGTTAGGCTTCTCGTGCATAGCAAATACCAGTATATATTGGTATGCAAAACTTCCGAATCAATCCAGCGGAACTAGTTCTAAGTACAGAGAAAATGACGACTAAACCCTACAACTTACAATAACTCAAAGCAAGTCGAAGCAGGAATAAATGTAGATAAAAATTCGCGAAAATCACCAACCGAAATGAAGGTTCGGCAAAGAAAGGCAATGTCCGACCAATAAGAGGCAGCACAGCAGCGGCCTTGCCGTGGTAGAAAACGCCGGGAAAAACCTTGGCAGTAAGAGCCAATAACGTCAACACCGCCGCCGCTTCTTTATCCTTGCCTGCAAAAGCACGAACCGAACCGGAACGAAAACTTCTGTAAGACAAATAAAAGGAGCAGTAGAAAAAAATAGTATTGCAAAGAATGCGCCTGGAGTAAATTGAAGCGTGGTATTATTAGTACTGGAGGATGACGGAGACCTGATGAGGGGACGACGAAAGAATGGAGGAGGTTGGGGATGACGGAGCGGAACCGCGCCTCCAGAACGTCGTCGTGTTCGTTGGAAGAAGAGCCTGCAACACGTTGCCGGAGCTCGTGCACAAGGCTCGAGAGGTTCGCCATCGGCCGATGACGTCACTCACTGTCCACCGTGACAGTTGCCCTCAGAGTGCCTTTCCGTCTCGGCGGGCGATGTTTTGAAACTTTAATTTCGATTAAATGATGATGCCATGCTTTCCCATTTCAGTTTTAAGCGCCACTTTCCGATTTTATTGAAACCCGACCAAGGTCCTACCCGGTTAAACCCCCAACTTTTCCTTGATTACACTAAAAGCAAATCAAAATAATGAGTTTTTTTTTTTTTATAAAAAAAAAGCCTAGTTATTGGTAATGAGTATTAAAGCAAAAAAACTGAAATTTTCATTTCCAAAAAAAAAAAAAAAAGAGTTCATGAATTTTTTATTACGAAAGAAAACATTTTTAAAAAATTCCACTCACAAATATAAATGAGTCAAATGTAAAAATATTAGGTACAGCTGATGTGTCCATGTTAAGAGCACCATCGAATTTTTTGCGTGAAACTTTTTTCTCATAGTGTTTAAATGATTAATAATACGTATTCAAAAATAAATAAGCAATAATTATTACTATCACCGTGATCAAATAATAAATAGTCTTCTGTTTCAAAATTATTGTCCATTTTATATTTTCAATTTTAGTTCAATATTTGTGAAATCTAAAACTAAATAATAATTTCATTATGGAGTGCAGCAGAGTGATTAAAAAAAAAAAAACGTCGCATAGAGTTTCAAACAAAATCTTTAGCGCCCGCCACAATTTGAATCTACTAGTATTGTCTGCTTGTTAAAAAGCAGGTGCGGAAAAACGCCAATATGTAAAATGAGCATCCCCAAAACTTTCGCCCGAAAGAAATCGACGGCTTCGCCAGCTTTCCTGGTATTCCTCAACCAAAAACAAAACTAACAAAGAATCCTTCTTCTCCTCTCTCTCTTTATCTCTGTTTTTTTTTTTCGGTAAAATTTCCTGCTATATATTATAGATAGAAGAGAGATACGTACGTGAATTAGCAAAACAGAACATGTGTCACTGGTTTAACACGTTATCACTACCTCATCACCATCCTCAACATTAATTTTGATCATCGTCATCTGCCAAACCCATCCAAAGATATACGTCTTCTTGGATTTCATCACGCAAATATCGCCACGGCATTGAAATCTTTAGCTAAAACTCTATGCCGTCGTCTGAAGGAGGTCGTTGATCATCATCATTCAGGAAATATATTCTGATTGATTGATTTTATCAAATGATGGAATTTTCTTCCACCTTGAAGAAATCATTCAAATCCCACCACGGTAGAAAAATCTCCATTGAGGACGCCGATCAGGATCCCCACCGCGAGGAGCAGCCCATTCTATCCCGTCCCCCAATGTCGTCCACGTCATCTCCCTCCTCCCCTCCTTCTTCCTCCGGCGAGGTCATTGTTAAAATAGACGGCCAGGGCCAGCAGAATAATAATATATGGAGAGAGCCCAGCTATGATTATTTCTGGAACAATAAAGTCGCCGACTCCAGCGGCGATCCGCCGTCCAGGCTAATCGGCCAGTTCTTGAAGAAACAACGGGCAGCCGGAATGGAAATGTCGCTGGACGTGGACCTTGAGATGAATGAGCTCCGACCGTCGGACCGTAATAACTTTCCTCCTGATCCTCATCATCATATTAACAGGAACAATAATGATGGTGATTCTTTGGGTGGAAGCCGGAGGATTAACAACATCTCCAAGGATCTTAGAGTATCGTTCCGTTCTCCTCTCAATGACAATCACAATGATGATAATGATAAGAATAAGAACGATGTGATTGATATTGAGGCTGATGATCAAAAACAACAAAACTATTATAGCCATCAGCAGCAATATAGTAGTAGTACTAGTACTACCACCAAGAAAGAAATCGAGGAATTTTCCTCTGATGATGATGATGACGGAAACGATGACTATGATAACGGGAAATCAAAGGTATTATAAACCCTCTCACGTCTATTTAAAATTCATTCCTACTCAATAAACGTTACAAAATGTTTGTGACTTGCATGTTTAATTTCTGATTTTGATTTTAAACGTTTGAGTAAATGTGGGGATTACGTACATTGTACTAAAAGCTAGTAAAAGATTTATCACTGTGTGAAATTGTTTTTTTATTGAGCGCCTTATATGTATTTTGTCTGATTTCTTCAACTGCTGAATTGGCATCCACCAGGAGTATCCTAGCAGGAGAAGATCAAATGCGGATGGAAACGGGAATTGGAATGACACCAGTGATCCTGCTCAGGTTGTTAGGTGTAGCTCGGTGCAGAGGAGAACCAGCGTGCTAGGCCGGCTAAAGACCAAATCCAGGTTGATTGACCCGTCGCCTGAGAGGCCGGTGCCGGTGCCAGGGCCGGATCGTAGATCAGGGGGGTTGAGGTCGTCAGGGCAAGTCAGGTCAGGCATGTTAGGTAGAATTTCAGGAATGTTAGGAGTTGGGAATGGGAATAACACTAAACAGATTGCCCCAGAAGATGAAGAGGATGATCCTTTATTCGACGAGGATCTTCCTGAAGAATACAGGAAGGCCAAACTCAATGCACTCACCCTCTTGCAATGGATTAGTCTTGTTCTGATTGTTACATCCCTGTCGTGCACTCTAGGTATTCCAAAATGGAAGCGCCGCACACTGAGAGGGCTTCGGTTGTGGAAATGGGAAGTTCTAATCCTTGTGTTGATTTGTGGGAGGTTGGTATCAGGTTGGGGGATCCGAATAGTTGTGGTCCTGATTGAGAGGAACTTCGTGTTGCGAAAAAGAGTTTTGTATTTCGTATATGGTATTCGAAAGGCTGTCCAGAACTGTATCTGGTTAGGACTGGTTTTAATTGCCTGGCACTACATGTTTGATAAGAAAGTTGAAGGGAATAATGACTTTTTGAAGTATGTCAACAAGCTGATGGTTTGCATGTTGGTAGCTACCTTGTTGTGGTTAGTGAAAACGTTGATGGTCAAAGTACTGGCATCTTCATTTCATGTTAGCACATTTTTCGATCGAATTCAGGAATCGCTTTTCAATCAGTATGTCATTGAGATGTTGTCTGGCCCACCCGTGATCGAGATCAAGTCTATTCAGGAGGAAGAGGACAGGACAATGGCAGAAATTCAGAAACTTCAGAATGCTGGAGCTACTTTGCCACCTGATCTTAGGCCACCTTATGATAAGAGTGGGAGGATGAGGGGGGTGTCGCCTATTGGTGGCGTTGGGTTGCCCCCGAGGCCATCACGGGCACTCAGTGTTAAGGTTTCGGGACCTATATCCAAGAATCAGGATGATCCTGGCATAACAATTGATCACTTGCACAGGTTGAACCCCAAGAACATTTCGGCCTGGAATATGAAGAGGCTGATGAATATGGTTAGACACGGCGTCCTTTCTACATTGGACGAGCAAATCATGGGCACAACTCAACAAGATGAATCCACGACACTTATCAGAAGTGAGTTTGAAGCCAAAGTTGCTGCTAGGAAGATTTTTAGGAATGTTGCCAAACCGAGGGCAAAGTAAGTATATATCTCCCCCGCCCCTGACCTTGCTGGAATGTTTTTACCATTTTGTAAGGGAAAACCAAATGAATGCTGCACCATATGATTGACAATAACCCTTTCCTTCCAATAATCATTTCATTGTTCATTCTTTTTTATAGTACACTTATCATTCTATTGTTCTCTAAAGCCTTGAGTTCTGACTGAAAACTCTGTACTAATTGGCAGATACATCTATTTGGAAGACCTAATGCGCTTCTTGCGAGAAGAAGAGGCCTTGAAGACAATGAACATTGTAGAAGGATCAACTGAAAGTGAAAGAATCAGCAAAGCCTCCCTCAAGGATTGGGTGGTAATGTCAAAAAACAGAACCCATGATGGGATGATGCATCATCATTCATGGGTTTGTCCTCTTACATATCCAGTTAGAGTGTCTGAAATGGGAATGCGCTGATTTTTCAGGTGAATGCTTTCAGAGAGCGGAGGGCGCTTGCATTGACACTCAATGATACAAAAACAGCAGTCAATAAACTTCACCGCATGGTCAACATATTAGTTGGCATTATCATCGTGATCATCTGTCTCGTGATACTTGAAATCGCGACGAGCAAATTCTTGCTGTTTGTGAGCTCTCAGATTGTTGTGGTGGCTTTCGTGTTTGGAAACACCTGCAAGACAATATTTGAGGCCCTCATATTCTTGTTCGTAATGCACCCCTTCGATGTAGGGGACAGATGCGAGATAGATGGAACTCAGGTAAAGGAATGAGGATCTTTTTGTCGTTTATATTCAGAAACATTGACTTCTTTTATCTTGATGAATACAGCCGATGATGACTTTTGGAGGAGCAATTTTGTTTTGTGTTTCATTTCTCAGTCTGTCTGAAACAAATATTTGTTCTGCTCCGATCTGGCTAAAACTTGCAGATGATTGTGGAAGAAATGAACATTCTAACTACCGTTTTCCTGAGATATGACAACCAGAAAATCATCTTCCCAAACAGTACTCTTTCAACGAAAGCTATCAGCAACTACTACCGCAGCCCTGACATGACAGATACAATTGATTTCTTAATCCACATTGCCACTCCAGCAGAAAAGATTGCAATTATGAAACAAAGAATAACCAGGTCAGAAAACGGACAGCCATTTCCATTCATCATATTCTTTCCAATTCTAATGAATTGTTGATGATCATGCGTTTAGTAAGTCTCTTGAATTTTGAGAACGTCTTTATGTACTCATTTCAGTTTAATCGAGAACAAGAAGGATCACTGGTACGGCGCCCCATCCGTGGTGGTGATGAACATGCAGGACTTAAACAGTCTGAAGATGTCGGTGTGGATTCGACACAGGATGAATCATCAAGATATGACGACAAGATGGATTAGAAGAGGCCTCCTGATTGAGGAGATGATCAAGATTTTCAAGGAACTCGACATTGAGTACCGCTTGTATCCCCTGGACATCAACGTCCGCAGCCTTCCGCCTCCAGTCAACTCCACCAGGATTCCCTCAACCTGGCCTCCTTCTGCTGACTAAGAATTGATGCCACAACCAACCAAGACAAAGGAAGGGAATCAAAGCAGGGTATCGATTGGGGATGAGTGTACGATGAAGTGTTTGTGGGTAGCAAAACACACAGAGGAGCCATCCCATCGCATTTGAAATGTTTGAGCTCGAAACGACCTGTGATGAGCCAGTCATGTCTTCCATTCATTTTTTGGTTCTGATCTATGTCTTTTTCTGCTCTTGTAGTGGTTTTCGGTATTTTAATTGGATGCATCCAGGCATATGATACATAGTTGAGCAAACATCTGGGAATTCTTCAACTTTTCCCAAATAGCCCATTTGAGTTGCATCCAGCAATATTATTCACTCATTCATTTCAATGGGATGACTGAAGGAACGTCGAGAGAGAAAATTGACTCAATTCATATTGACTATCGAGACATAATTTTTTTTAACTAAAAAAGAAGAAGAAGAAGAAGAAGAATGAAGAAACATAAGGCTGTAAAAATCACCACATTGGCAACTGTGACAAGTAAAATTTCAAAGCGAAACAGGAGCATCAGTTTGAGTAGCATCAATCAAATATTGTTCGCTCTCTCTTTTATGATCAACTTCATTCAATCCATGGAATGACTGGAAGAAACATAAAACTGAAATGAAACAACAGGAATCAGGTGTTTTTATAATTGGAAACATCGGCATTGAAAATTGATTCAGATTCTCTTATTAACCTGACCAAAATAACTAACCTGACCAAAAAAAAAAAAAAATTGTACTCCAAGACATCATTGTATAAACCAATCATGTTTAGCTGCTCAAAATACACATTTAGACCTGGCATGTTTTTTTTGAAAAGGAGATCTGGCATGTTATAAAGTAAGACAAAGGCGTTTCCTAATAACATATTGAAACAAAGACAGCAGCTGCGAATCACTGGATTCTGTGAATAGCGTTTCATAGTTACATAATTTTAAATATAGATTTTTTTTTTAAATGATTTTTTGTACCATAAAAATGGCATGAAAAAATAAGATCCGAGTGCCATACACCAAACCAAAACCACGCAACCCAAACAGGGCCCACCCCTTCAACTCTTCCTTTGAGAGTGCATAATCTTGAAATCTTCTATTGTCAAAAATATGACCAGTAAATCAACTTGATTCTTTCTCTCATTTGTTAGTGATTTGTTTTGAGCTCTTGTGTATCTCTGTTTCCTTTACAAATGATGATAGTATATGAATGGTTAATTGGATAAGCTAATACCTTTTCCAAGATTTGAGGGGGGAAAAAGGAACAAAGAACTACACATCCATTCCTCAATGAAACTTCAAAGAGAAGTGTATAGCTTTAATCTAGTGATGCCCCCGTCTCAGGGCAGAAAAAAAGCCTCCAGATTTCTCCTTGCGGCGGTCCTCTCCTTCCTCACCAACCTGCACCAGATACACGTATACACATATAACCAGAGGCAGGGGCATGTCATACATTGAAAGTTAAAAATGAAAGATTGTAAATTACACGTAAGCAAGGTTTAGTATGAAAAGCATACTATACAAAACAAGCAAAAGGATAGCTTCACTTTACCTCCTTAACGATTTGCTGCAAGGTTTCAATTATTTCAGAGAAGTCAGGTCTCAAAGCTGGGTCTTGTTGCCAACATCTCTCCAACAGCTCAGCAAGTTTGGTCGGAGTGTGCTTGGGGATAGTTGGTCGCAAACCCTAAAAGAAAGTCAAAAGGTAATACTGCTTGTTTCAACATTTCAATGCCCAGAAATCCACTCGTAAAACTTTCAAATGCAAAAGAAAACAATTTGCGGAGGAAAAGAGAAATGCGCTCAACAATCTATATGGGATGCTTAGTGGTTTTTACCTTTTGCACCACGCCAATGGCTGCTTGCAATGGAGTTAAGTACTCATATGGAAGCTGGCAAGTAAAAGTAGATTCAATTAATGAAGAAAAACTGTGAGAATTCCTGTCTGGAGCCCCAGATTAAATAAAAGCAATTAAAACTTCATACCTTTCCCGTCAGCAACTCCCACACAACAATCCCAAAGCTGAAAACATCAGCCTTGTGGTCATAAGGCTTGTGTTCTATAACCTTCAAGGCAAAGAATAAGCAAATTCAATGTGATGTGCAATAAAATAATCCAACGCTCGATGATTTTCAATTTTCATTCAGCCATCCAACAACAAAACGATAAGTTAGAAAACTGTATACTAGCAGGCTCTTTCACAGTGAAACAATAAAAGACTAAAAACTACTACTCGATGAAACACTGACAGCTAGAAGAACACAAGCAACAAAAGAATGCAACATATCCCAAAAATACCTCGGGAGCCATCCACCTATAAGTCCCCGTTTCAGCAGTCATGACACCGGTCTGTGCTTTTACTCTGGCCACCCCAAAATCAGCTACCTTGACAACCTGGAAGGTATTTCATAATTACTTTTCTTTGCTCGCGAGGGAAGAAATGGCATTGGGCCCGTCCATACAGTTGTGAAATAACTAAATACATATTTTAAAACATAGTTACATCTATAGCATATTTTACTTAAAGAAACAGTAATGTCCTTCCTTCATGCCACTTAATTGCTTTATCAAGTTAACAATAAACTGTATAATTGGAAAATGTCTGACTTCTCCAGTGGTCGCATGAAATCGAAAATTACTCCCCCTTTCTCCCCCCCAAGGGCCAGAAAAATATTTCACTTTGCTGAACTAAAACAATTAAACAAAGTGGACTATCTTTTTAGGACAGAGGTAGTACAAATGTTTTAATGCCTGTGCACAATTTCTGATGCAGAAGAAAAATAGTACTCAAATTTAAAATACTAGTCAACTGGAGAAATGTTTTTGTAGATTGAAATACCGGGTTAAAAAAAAAAAAGGAAGCTTACTTCATTTTCATCCATTAGAAGATTCGCAGCCTTGAGGTCTCTGTGTATTATATTATTCTGATGGAGATAATTCATCCCCTTTGATACATCAATAGCTACTCTGAGTAAGGAAGGAAGCTTGAAGGCCCCCTTTTGTTTGTGTAGATAGTCATATACACTCCCTCCAGACATAAATTCTGTTTTAAGTGGAAGTGGTAAAATCAGACCTCTAACATGGAAGTAAATGGAAAAAATATAGGGTAACAACAACAAGAGATATGAACATCATTTATGTTAAAATTATCAGGCCATCAATGAGTATTTGCGAATTACCTGTCACAATGCACAAGTTTGGAGGTCGGGTACATGCCCCAATGAACTGCACAACATTCTTGTGGCGGACTTTCCTGCATATTACGAATACTGGCTAATTAAAGAAGAGAATTTGTCCATAATTAAAATACTATTGACAATGTTGTATAGAATGAAAGGGAAAATACTAGAGCAGTGATCAATTTAGGGAACAATCTTGCTAAACCATGAATGATGTTAGTCTCAGGCATTCGAATTCCCCAACCATCAATCACTCAAATGCATATCCAACCATATCAGATTATGTACTTTTCCAAGATGAATATTTTTTTAACAAATGATCTTTCCTAACAGGGAAAAATAATAACATACGGCAGGATCAAAGTAAACCCATAAGCTTTATCTGCTTGCTAAAAACTGATCACCTTCTGAGATATAATACTTCTGGCTAATAACAATTTCAGTAAACCAACCTCATTATATACACTTCTTGGGCAAACTCTTTCTGCAGCTCCGAATTTAATCGCTCAGCTTTCAGGATTTTAATAGCTACTTCCTGACTACAATATACGCCCTTGTATCTGAAACCATCAAATGCTTTGATAAGTTACACTACGCATGCAAAACATAATTTGCTCGACCAGGTGTAGACTTACAGATCACCATACGATCCTGATGCAACTTTCAAGTCAAACTTCAGATGCTGAGGGTCAATTTCCCAAACATCACTACCATCATCAGGTATTGTCAAATGATCAGGCTTACATTCGATCGCAGGTTTATCAAAGCCACCAAGAGAAGATGAAGAGCGCTGATTAGGCCAAGAGTGTTCCTGCAACACGCCATAGATTCTTGAGTCAAAACTAATAAAACCATTGCAACATGGGATCAGATTGTGCAAAAAAAAAAAAAAAATAGATATACCTCAATCTTCAATACTTCCTTTTCTAAAGCACTTCTAAGCTGCTCAACTTCCTGAAAGTCAAAACCGGGTTCCTTTAAGATTAAATGAACCAAAGATAACAATGCTTATATAAGCCATTTTTATCTTGTCAAATGTCAACTAAAAGAGAAACCAAGAATTTTGTGTATGTCAGTATGAGTAACAAGCTACTATTGGGTCTTGACGAGAGAGTTACAAAGGCATTGTAAAAATGAAAAATAGGATGAAAAGACTTCCCACAGAAAGTATGACTTTTCAATAACAAGATTGAAGATTCTCTTGAAATACCCCAGGACTTATTTATCTGACTTTTTAAATTCACATTCCAGAAACCACAGTGGTGATGACGAATGAGGCTACAAAAAGCTTCAGGATCGCCCATAAGAAGTTAAACCTATGGTCTAGTCATCTAAATTTAAGTGAAAACCAACAGCTAGATTCCATTAGATAAAAATAGTAGCTAATTAGCTTAGCAGAAGTCGTAGTATATGAAGTCCCAACATGTTGTGTGCAGTGATTTGGATTAGGGCCATTAAAGAAGGCATAGAATGATATTGGAGAAGAACAATAATAGATACCTCAAACGGCCAACCATCAACAACGAAGACATCAAGGGAGTATCCATCCACAGTCGAAAAGGCATGTGCTTCTTGGATATTCAGGCCAACCTCAGCAAGCAATGAGGTCAACTGCGCACCAGATAAATTAATTACAGCATGAGTTAAGGAGACATAAGTCAAGGGTGATGACCAAACCCATAAATTGATATAGACGCTTCTATGTAACAGAAAGAAGTTTTGTACTTGTCAGCATGAAGATGTCTACAGTAAAGGCTAAAGATATACCGCACTGAGTTATAGAATCAATGACTGCAATTTAATCTTTTGAGTAAGAAAAGGAGATGGATCGGGATTTTTCCAAAGTTATTAGAGCATAACGAAGTTCAGAGAACTTCACTGAAGCCCATATTAGGCTAGCTCGCAGAATTCAACAACAGTTTTGATCAAAAAAAATTTAACCTCACATTAACTTAGCAGATAACTGTTCAAGTTTTTAAGAACTATTATATAATTAAGTAACTAACAGATTGTTGACAAAAACATAAATATGCACAAGCAGACATAAGAAGCCATGAGCATAGTCCAGGCAAACATTTAAATTACCTGACTAAGGACTTTTGGCTTGTCGTCAGTTGAAAAGGTAATCTCGTGCATAGGCCTACATAATCATCAACAACATGAACGTAAGCTTTGACTATCATTGCAGGCTTAGCATTCAACTAAATAAAAAAATGACGAGGCTAAAACTTTGCCAGAATATCAAGAGAATCTCAAGACATATTACTGTAAAATCAGTGTCGCATACTTCAGTTTTATCAAACAAACTGATAGACTGATAGTTATATTTTGAAAACAGTAAGAACATCAATGTAAAAACCTTGATTTAGAATGTACTGCAGTGTCGTCGGCTTCATCTGTACTTTTACTAGCTTCAAGTGCAAGTGCTTCAAGATTTGGTGAAGAACCAAAAGCAGGAGGTGGATGAATACTGACATACAGGATGATAGGATTGTCAGCAGTCAGCAGTCAGCACCATGAGCAGAATGCAGATAAAGTGGAAATGCACTGAACGACAACAAGTGTCAAATGGTGTCATAGTGTTTACTTCTCCTCTTTAAAGTGGGGGCTTACAAAGGAAAACATAAATAGGTAAAATCAGAAAAACCTAGTGGATGCTCTCACACAAAAAGGTACCTGCGGGGAGCTTCTTTTCTAGTAGAACTCGGGTCCGAAGAACCAACTGAATATGAATCAGATGCGGGAGGTACCTACACATAATTTGCAAGAATTCACGAAAGAGCCATAAGATGGTTGTCAAAATATGGGGATGTTATCAGCAGGTCTCCATATCTGATGATCAGCAAAGTAAAATAGTGCAAAACATATAAATGGAGAACCAATATATAAAATATTTATTACTCTAGAAAAATAAAGAGAAGATGAAAGTGCATATAATCAAGTCACCTGTACAAGCCGAACCTCAAATGCTGGCCTATTAGCAGGATCATGAGCCAATTGTAGCAAACGCTTGTGGGTAAGAACATCTTCTGCTCTCTCCACATTGACATCTAATGCATACCTTCATTCCAGAAGTATCCGATAATACATCAATAAACTCATAAGTGTACAAACTTTATACACATCAGTCTTCAATAACAGGTAAAAGTGAAGAGAACACAAATTCGTGTACTATCAGTCATACTACCAAAACCAACCAGCATACTTTATAATGGGTTTGTTTTAAAGATTTGACCAGGCAAGGCCAGTTAACTTATTACCGGATGAGTGCAGGCTAACACAGCTACGAAAGTATGACAGTATGATCATCATCTATGCCACTGAAACACTGAGGAAGTGTTCATTTCCCTTAACCCTATTTCTTTGTCTCCCAGGACAGAGATTCAAAGGACTGTTCATGTGATAACGAGGACCATACGTTTGACCAAACCATCCAATCTCCAAATCTTAAAACAATTGGAGGATTATAGAATCCTTCACTGATGTTGAAAAGCTTTTTTACAAAATCCAGTTTACAAAGGACGATATTAAGTTGAGAATAGTAAAGAATTAAACCTATAGTGTAGAATTCCTACATGATAATTATAATCATAAACAAAGAAAAAAAGTGATGTAGCAGGATGTCAAGATCTTGATCCAAATTGCCACGAACAAACCAAACAATGAAGGAGAAATCAGGAGAGCACAAGCACACACGCGAAATGCACTTCCACTGCTCGTGTCGTGTGTGTGCCCCGCATGCGACCATGGGAAAGAAAGAGAACAAAAAAAAAACAGCCAACAAAAAGCAAAACGAGGAACAAAAACAAAACAGAGGAATTAGGGCAAATGTGGACGGACCTGGTTGGGAGACGATTGAAGTGCGCCCAAAGTTGATGATCGAAGTCCGGCGACAGAGACTCCGGATGGCCCAACTCCTTGAGCCTCCGGAGAACCTCATTATAGACCTCCACCTTTTTGTTCAGCTGCCGATTACTATTGCTACTATTACTACTATTACTGTTAGTGGATTCTGCCGCCATTCTGCTACCGCAACTCTCGTTGTCTTCCATCACCACCATTTGAGACGTCTACTGTTTTCTCTTATTGTAACTCTTTATTACGAATATGCATATACATACATAAAACAAGAATAATGAATAGAAACAACGAAGCGTATCCTCCTTTATGTAAATCGTGTGAAGATAAACACACGTGAAACCAAAACCGGAAACTGTCCGGAGTATATACCAACCGGAAAGCAAAATCACGGCATCAATCGAAGGAGAAGAAATGCGCGGCACGGTAAATGCGGCGGCATGATGAAGAATTTATACAGAATTCAAATCTGCGCCGGGAGAAGACGGCGGAGGAAGCAGTGGCCGCTGTCCGACTGCTACTTAGTGCTTAGTCTCCTCCTTAGCGCGATGGGAGGATCGTTTGTTCTTTCGTTCAGTCACGGCGTCAGTTCCCGGTGTGTACCTTTTTTTTTTTTTTTTTGGGTTCTCTTTTCCAAGCGGAATTCTACAATAGGGTGATGTGGCGGTGGTGGGGGGTGGTGGTGGTGCGGGGTGGGAAAACGATGAAAAGGATTTAACGGCGAGAGTGGCGGAAATATTAACGGCGAGAGATGTGTGGATTTGGCGAATATGTGAATAATCGAGGCCGATGGGGACTCATGCTAATCCATTCCGTCTACCTTTTCCGTGTATTTATATATAATATATATACTCATTATTTTATTTTTCCCATTATTTTAATGTATTAGTGGAGTGCTTAGCTAGCAGACTACCCAGTAACTCAATCGTGGGATTTTTTATTTTTTTTTTATCAATTAATTCGTCACAATTACTTGCCAATTTTTCGTCGGAGAAAATAGATTTCTTACACAGAATATTGTCCAATTATACCTAATCGAACATTCATAAATTATCATTATAGGACATGATTAAAATGTTATAATAGAAATTAGTAAAATTCTTAAATTCCTTCTAGCATGACATATGTAAACTAAAATCCATAAAGAAACATTTTCTTAATTATTAAAAAGAAAATTCTAAAAAGTCATATTTGTCCCTTTTATTACATGTAAATTCCTTTTTTTTCAGGAATCTTTTTCCAAAATAAAATAAAAAATCTCCCGTCCTCTAAGTAAATCAATATTAATTACTCCCTCTATTTTGAAATATATATCATTTTAGGATTTAGTAAAAAAATTTTAATACATGTCGTTTCTACAAATCGAGGCATATTTGATCACTTTTTGCCAATATTACCCTTACATTAGAAATGACACAGGATTAATAATGAATTTCTATTGGTTTGTGATGCATTGTATAGACAATAAATAAAGGTATTTTTGTATTTTAACTATATTTATTAATTTTTTTTTGATTTTGATAATTTTTCTAGAAAGACATATAAAAAAAATGGAGGGAGTAGCTTTTAATTATATATATATATATATTATTTAATGTTTGCCCTCCTTTGGCTGGGTTTCTTAGCTCCCATTTGGAGAGTTTATGCTCTCTTCTGGATGGATATTTTGGCCTTGTCGAAAAGAAAATTGTTTCTTAGTGAGTGTTGTTAATTTTGTTAGACAACAAATGGCAATTAGAGTGAAAGATATAACAAATTTAACGTCTACCATCGACGAAATGATAATCATGTGAAAGTGATCAAAAGTGAATGTGAATTCTTTTGAGAAAATAAGAAGAAGAAATTACTACGTACATGTGACGGTAGCTTTACGCACATTCATAACATGTGACCGTAATTTTAGCTTCAAGGTAGTTTAATTAGAGCTCTTTGTAATTTATTATTGATTTTTTTAAAAAAAAATTATTCAATTTATGAAAAATCGTGAGAACAGATTGAGATAGAAGACCCAAGATACGACTAGTAATATATCAAAACAAGATTTATCTTGTAAAATATATAATTTATACTCGTTACACCCTAAAAAAAAAATAATCCGACATTATAGATTGATTCCCAAATATTAACATAGTCATAGAATATTCTTTCGGAATATAATGAATACCAAGTTTTAGTAATATAAATAAATGATTATCACTTCTTTTCTGGTTAATATTATCACCTTCACAACAACAACTACAAAAGAAGAAAGAAGATAAAGTTTTTAATTGGCTGACATAGATTGTAGTTTCATCATCTTTTTCAAAGAGAATTTATAGATTTTTATATAAGCAAAAAACTAAAACCAAAATCGAAAAGTTTGTTCGAACAGACATATCCTCAACAAAAACAATAGTTCATTTTTGCATCATCGCGTCAAGCGTTTCACGATTAATAATAAAATTCTCGAGATTTTAGTGAAGCGCGAAGACGAAGTAAATCTTGATGTTTACAATATTGTACGTAAATAATAATTGGAGCGAATACATTACAGCCACGACTAATCACATATTCCCCAAAGAATCCAACAGATGCTACGATCACTTTACTTGCCTACCAATAACCAAATTGACTTCTAAAACAACCCCCTGTCACTAGACTGGTTAACTTTTCCCATTTATTTTCACTTTTTACTGCGTATTTCATCCCTATAATAAACTCCACGTATTTAGAATTTCCAAAAGTAATTCTGCCTCCAGTCATCATATTAATTATATAAGATTCTAACTAAATTAAATTTAGTCCAAAGTGTCACCATCTCAAGTTCATGTCACGTTTTGATCTCCCAATTAGATGAATCAAAGTTACGAAGTACATATCGAGCTAAAAATTTATAAATACAACTTTTTTATTGTCATTTAAGTTCAAGCAAACTTGATAGGAGAATGCATTGAGAAAACATTTACATAGAATATCACTGAATACATATATATATATATATATATCAATTTCATCTCATAATCCTTTTTTTTTTCCCTCGACAGACATAACAACCCTAAAACGCAATTAATGTGAACCAAAATTTCCTGCACTCCATATACATAAGGTTTTTTTTTTTTTTCCTTTTTTGTTAAAATATACATAACTTCATTCAAATGAACCAACTGAATGACATAATCAAATCGCAAAAGGCATCACAAAATTGACCATTTTTTATTTTTTTGAGAGGGAGGTCGCAGCAGAACGTGTACAATGGAAAAAGCTTCATAGGAACTGTGTGAATGGCAGCTAACTTTAGAAAAAGAAGCAGAAAGAGACACATATTTGTATACTCCCATTATAAGGCACTTTGAAATTTTCTTAAGTTCTATTTGTCATTCTTTTAATAAAGATAAAATTTTAAAAATATTTTACGATAATTTGAATAACATAATAAATTTACAAATATATTATTAAAATTTTATTTTTTATTATAATATATAATAAATAAAATTTAAGAGAAATGAAAATATATTTTATAATATTATACGGATTACGGAGTTGAAGAGGGGGTGGGGTTATATACTTATATTGTGGATGCTGGCGTTTGAGGTGGAGAATGAATAGTTTCGTAGAGTCGGGATCGGAGGATAAGAAAGAACACGATTGATGACTATTTTGACTCCCTCCCTATATATATTTTTCATTACTTCCATCGTATTGCATATATATATATATATATATATATATATATATAATGTTGTTGATTTAGTAGGAACTACAACGTAGGAACTCCATAAAACACAAAAAAACTACCAAGTCGCGACATTACCCTATTGCCATGTCAATATCAATATGTCTAGCATACTTTTTTTTTTTTCCTTCTTATTTTTCTTTTCTTATCAAGAGTCAAAAAGGATACATATTTACCACTATGGAACAAACAGCCTAATGTTACAATTCCCTGACAATTTCAAATGGCGGATTACATTTATATATATATATATATATATATATATATATATATATTGTCACCATTATGAAATCCGTCAAGTATGTTATGAAGTGTCATCGTGAATTATGTTAAAGACTTCACTTAATGATGGCATATAAACAAAGTGCATCCCCGAGATATTGATTTCTTTAGTATGTATATTTTGTACTATTAGAAATGTGAGGTTAGACATGCAAAAAAAAGTATGTTTGGGTGAGGAATTTATCAATAAAAAATTCTGAAAAAACTTACTCAAAAACTGAAACAATAGCCAATTTCTTTTGTGGGGGAAAAAAAAAATTATACCGGTGCATGATTAAATAAGACCTCTGTTTTTTTTTTTTTGGGGGTGTTTATATTGAAGAAAAATATCTACCAATTAATTTCAAGAATAACAAGCATAAAATTGTAGCAGCCCCCGAATATTCATACTAAAGCTCTAAAATAAAAACATCCATGATATTAAATAACCAATAATATAGTCTACTAGTAGTACTACTACAAGCTATGGACGAAGATGTTGACATGATACAATACAACAACAAGGAGTGTGAAGAGACGAGGAAGGCTGTTATATGCACACGTGGCAGAGGGTTTGACCTAATTAATCAAAGCAGACAAACGAACAAATCTTTAACGATGATTCGCATAAATTAGGAGAATAAACCCTAGTTTGTACTCTCCATTAGGACCAAAAAAAAAAAAAAAACCCACCTGCTAAATTCAAAACTGATAATGGCGAATGCAGTACAACCCAGCACACTTGCCAATTTAAGGATCATGTGATGAATAGTACACTTTGTTTGTTAATAACTACATTTAAACAATACAAATGGGTGATTAACAAAATTAAAACTTAACCACCAGCTAGCTAGCCAGTACACCCTTTCAGTACAATACTTATGTACAATCCCACATCATGCACATTGTGAATATAAGTCATTGACTGTACCATCAGTGTTTAAATTCGTTAATCATCCTGCTTTTTCTCTGAACAAGTTGAATAATTTCTATATATGTGTTAGAAATTATATTTTATATTTTTAAAAAGTATGGGGTAGCAGAAAGATTGAATAGCCGGCCCCATTTAATATTCTACAATAATACTCCCTCCGTCCTAAAATTATTGTCCAGTTTGAGATTTCACTTTTAGTACAATTTGAACTAAAAATGAAAATTCAAACTGGACAATAATTATGGAGAATGGAGAGAGTAATTTTTAATCATAACTATAATAAATCCAAGTGAAAGAAACCACGAACGTAAACATCTGTTCTTGATCCTCCGCGCCAGGTCGGTAAAATTCAATTGAAATTGTGTCAAAGTAAGCGGGATGATGATGTTGGATATATATCTCTTTTGTGGAAAAAGAAAAAAAAGAAAAAAAAAAAAAAAAACAGATAATCCGATGAAGGAGGAAAAACTATTGGTCAACTACATACATACCCATGTGTCCCCCAACTATGTTTGTGGATAACGTTAATTATTTATAATTATATGCTGACTCAGATTGCGCGTACTCCTTTCTACATTTGCCCTAGGGTTTTTTCTTCCTTGTCATCGCATGTCCCAAGCATCTGTGTATTATTTTTATTTTTTTTTCTTCCAATAATAATTTTCTATTTTTTCCTTAAAATCCTTGAACTTCCTTCTCCCACAATATATATATATATATATATATATATATATTTACATTACATCACTAATAGAGAAGTTTTGACATCATGTATAAGTTGTCACCCCCCGATCATAATACATACATAAATGCTGTGTATCCGTGACTCTGATAGGGTTTTAAGTAGCTGTGTTTTAATTAAAAGCTTCAAAACTAAGCTCCACAGGAAGCAATTGATATATGGTTGTTAATTGCTGACAAAAATGTAGATACAGTTCGCCTTCCTTCCACTTCTTCCTCTGTGTAATGGACAAGTGGCAACAGTATTATTAATTTCAAGC